TTTTTGTCGATTAGTGAATACCTGCATTGGTGTTGGTAAGATAATGATGAAAACTAATTAATGTTGGGGAGATTGAGGATTAGAAGATTAGTGAGCTGAGAAGGCACCCATCCTCACCGTCCACCCATGGCCGCCCATCCTCCACCGTACACCCGTGGCCACCCATCCTCCACCGTCCACTCTTGGCCATCCACCAATCACCGTCCACCCTTGGCCACCCATCCCTCACCGTCCACCCTAGGCCACCCATCCCTCCGTCACCTCCACCATCCTCCACCGTCCACTCTTGGCCATCCATCCTCCACCATCGACCCGTGGCCACCCATCATCCACTTTCCACTCTTGGCCATCCATCCTCCCGTTGCCATCCATCCTCCACCGTCCACTAGTGGCCAACCACACTCCACCGCCTACCTGTTGCCACCCATCCTCCACCGCCTACCCGTTGCCACCCATCCTCCACTGCCTACCCGTTGCCACCCATCCTCCACCGCCTACCCGTGTCACCCATCCTCCACTGCCTACCCGTTGCCACCCATCCTCCACCGCCTACCCGTTGCCACCCATCCTCCACTGCCTACCCGTTGCCACCCATCCTCCACCGCCTACCCGTGTCTACCCATCCCCCACCGTCCACTAATGGTCAACCATACTCCACCGCCTACCCGTGGCCACCCATCCTCCACCGTCCACTCGTGACCACCCATCCTCCAGCACCTACCCGTGGCCACCCATCCTCTACCTCCCACCCTTCGTCAGCACACAGGCTGCAGGGCAGATGGTCCACCTGCCGGTACTGAGCCTTAGGGCTGGCAATCTTCGTCTCATTTCCTGGGTTGTGAAGCAAACATTCCTGGCGCGTCATCTCAGCACACCTCTTGTTTGTTGACAACTCAGCCACCCTCACTCTCAAGATGCCACAGTTCAAGGTTAGATCAGAGGCGGATCCAGGAATATCCAAAGGAGGTCGAAGAAATTTTGGGTAGGGGAACATGGCAGCGCAGTGAGTCTACCCAGCTGGGGGGTTGGAGGGGTGGGGGCGCTGTAAGCCTCCCCCCTGATTTTTTTTAAATCTGACCAATATCATGGCCATTTTGAGGAGGTATTCTGAGGTCAATAGTAATTACTCTTTACTTTACAAAAATGCGTGAGTACAATACTGCATTAAAGAAAAAGTATTGGAAATTTCTGATGTAAAGGGGGTGCGGATCCCCAAGACCCCCCCTGGATCCGCCCTTGTAAATGTAGCTTTTATCGTTAATACACCTCATAAATATGGTTAGTTGGTTACAGAGCTCTGAACACACGTAATCAGTATTGACTGAGTATTGTCGTACAAAACAAGCTTAAATAGTACTGTATTGAGAAACTGGGACTTGGGGAGGGCCTGGCCGTGACCTTCACAGCATCGTCTCGGTGAACTCTTTGTTGCGCGATATTATCCGCCTACATCCCCGCTGCTTCCCGCCACCTCCACCTACCCACCCCCCACCCACACCGGCTCAACTGTTGTATGTCCCTCTTTACACTCTTTTTTAGTATGAATCTACATGATTTACCCAGAACTAAAATATCAGTTTCGTCGAAAATTATACATAAGTTTCCTGACTGACAACAGGAATCAGTAAACAGGGGCGGATCCAGGAATATCAAAAGGGGGGTCCAAGAAGTTATGAATGGGGGCAGTGGCGGCTCGTGAAAAATAAAATGGAGGGACTGCAAGCCTCACACAACAGTAGGATACACAAATTTGACCTACCTCAGGTATGAGTTGTAGTTGATGTCCACGAATTCCCAGGGCATGGTAGTAGTGTTGGTGGTGATGGACCAGTATTAATTGAAAATAAAGTCGGCGTGTCTGCTCTTCGATGTAGCAAAATTGTTTATTACTATTTCATTAAAATCCTTTATTTCTGTTATCATTTTATTTTCAATGGATATCACTGCTAAAGCAGACAGTCTGTCATTCACTGATGTTAAACTGGCGTGTATATTCTTTGTTCCTGCTTGTACTGTTCTGTTGAATGGATAAAACTGGTGTAGGTCTTCCTCTTGCTTTGATTTCAGTCTTTTCATTTAATGTCAGCTGGGAAAAGTTGATGTTTTGCAAATACTTCACTCGATTTTCCATCGTCAAAGGGTAATTAAAGAAAGCACGAGTTAACCACACCGTCCACACGCAATGTAAACACCAGACTGAGCGGCGCCAATTAATAACAGACATGAATCGTACAGCATTGACAGCAACTATGAAAGTAACTTAAATTTTGGTCTGATTTTAATGAAAATTCACTTAGCAACGTATTGAAAATAATTAAATAACATATAAAATTATATATTTGTTGGTAGTGTATTATTCAGCTGTCTCTCTAAAGGAATCATACGCCTGGCAGTGAGTGTCTGGGGGGACTGCAGCCCTATGCACGAGCCGCCACTGACTCGATTGACCTGGTTTTTAATAATTTCCTCTTTGAAGGGTATTTAAAGGCTGTGTCACACAGGCACTTGTACAGTCTCACCCAAAAGTTTATTAACTCTCCCAGCCAGCTACTGCTGCACTGCCTGCTTCAAATGTTTGAAACTGTCTCTGTCCCAACCAGAACATGAAACCGATATGAATAAACCTAAAGGTTTGAAGTAAGACTCAAGTTCATACATCTGAAGCAGGCAGTGCACCAATAGCTGGCTGGGAGAGTTAACAAACTTTTGGGTGAGACTGTACCAGCATTTTTCACTTTTGGCTAACAGTAATTCCCCAATGGTTTTTCCCGCATTTTTAAGAAGTATGTTCACACAACAGGAGTACACCTGACCCTCACTTTATGTGCACTCGCTATATGCAAATTCGCAATTATGCGAGGACCATACTTCTAACCACAACTCACCACTATATTATGCCGTGTACAAGATATGGGAAGGGGAAAAACTGGGGATGAGGTGGCCTGTTGCCATTTTTCTTATTTTATAATTTATTTTATACAGGGGGTCCCCAACTTACGAATGCCCGCCATTAAGAGCGAGATCCCATAACGTCAATTATTTTAAAATTCCGACATAAGTACAATGGTTCGTAACAGTTACGTACAAGAACTAGTCTGCACTGCATGAGGGGAGGTGGAGCGGCGCGTGGAGAGTGATGCATCGCACCAAGTCACCTGCCTTGAGGGAGCAGGAGCATCAGTACACTTTCCCCTCATTGCCTAAATGTGCGTGATCAAGTGCAAACTGGTGATTTTTTCTTATTAACTCTCTTTTTCAGCCCTCATCATGACTCCCAAATGCAAACCTGATGCAAGTGATAGTACTGCATCCAAGAAAAGGAAAACTATTACAATGGAAGTGAAAGTTGATGAAATTAAACATTCTGAAAAAGGCGAAACACCCTCGGTGATGGATAAGGTAGTGGGTTTCAGTTGTTCAATGGTTGGAACAGTTTTAAAAGAGAGAGAAAATTCTTAAATGTGTAAAAGATCTACACCTATGCACTGAACTGTGATAACCAAACAAAGAAGTGGATTGTTAATTGAAATGGACAGATTGTTGGAAGATCAAAATCAACGGGATTTGCCTCTTAAGTCAAGCCTTGATTAAGGAAAAAGCGAGAAGCTTGCTTGCTAACTTAAGGCTAAACGTGGTGGTGAAAATGATGAAGAAGATATTATTGCTAGTAGGGGCTGGTTTAACCAGTTCAAAAGGTAAGGGCATATGGTGTTTCGAAAAAACACTGCCCACAGTTTGTCCAGCTTGATATTCATGAGGACGATGTCACACAGTTGCTCGAGTCTTATGCTGAAGAATTAAGCAATGAAGACCTGATTAAACTAGAGAAGCAGATGAATCTCCGGCCACTAGTACTAGATGAAAGCCAAAAAAATGCTTCTACAAGTGCCTGTGTGATACCGCATAAAGCTTTCAGTTTGTCCGAGTTCTTCGTATTTTTTTTTTTGAGAGGGGGGGGGGGGTTGTCAGGTTGGGGGTGATGTAGACATTACTGTACTTGGTTAATTGTCAGAGATTTCATGCATTCTTTGAGATATCCCTACAGTCCTCATGTTCAGGGATCACCACCACTGCATAAATTTATTAAGTCTTCCATTTTTGTGATGTACAACTTGTCTTCAGAGCCAACCACATTTCTCAGCATATCTGACTCTCCCTCCTTCCTCTTCAGATTCTTTATAATGAGGTTGTCTTTACATTAATTCATCTCTCATTGTTTCTTTGTCTTGTCATGGAGATTTTGTGTTATGTTGACCTGAACTGCCATATTATCAGTCTGGACCTCTGTGGGTATCAATTTGGCCATGATTTCATGCAAGATCTTTAATCACTTAATGTTCTACTTGGGATTTTGTTCTCTCTGGATCAGTAGTATTACAGTACTGTACTTAAAACTATTCTAATGCACTATGTTGAAATTATTTACAGTGACTAGTGTTAGGCCTAACCTTCAAAATGCATTGGCTGTTCTAAGAATCTAATGAGCATGCGACACATAACAATGAAGGTATGTATTTTTATAAAAGATTAAGATACGCTTAAGCTTATGACTTAATACTTACCAAGCGAGAAGCTGGGTGACCCATATGCACTCTCGTGGCTCCACAACACTACTGAAGGCATGAGAGACGCAAACACGTGCCCCCATCATATCACAAATTCATTTAAACCTCCCTTACTGATGCACATGGGCAATGTTGCACATTTTGTGAGTTACAGGATATCCTAAAGGACCACAGGTAATGAATGATCAGTGTAAATAACTGATTGGCTACTTTGGCCAACCGATGACCACTATGATCAACTGACAGACCACTGTGGTTGTCTAATTGACCAGCATAAGCAAAAATTGGTTGGTAAAAATGTAAACCACATCTATGCAAATCCATTTATACCGTGAAATCCATCTGACACTTTGTATTATTGCTATAACTTAATGGAAAGTAGCTAATTTTTAATAAAATTTGCTGTCAAATGAGTTATATTAGGATCAAAAACTATTTTTATGATTATAAAATTTATATTTAGATAAAAGTACAAAAAGTTAGAATTAACTATTGCTTTAGGAATTTTAAAAAAGATCACAGGTATTAACCCTTCAGATGGCAAAGCAACCCTTAGGGATTTTATTCTGGCTAATGCCAGACAATTTTATTCAGCCGAGGGGAGCCCCTGCCCGCTAAAGGGTTAAATCAACAAACCCAACCACCATTGACACTGTTATCATCATATAGTGCCTAATATGAGTACAAAAATAAGCTTTACCACAACCAAATAAACATTTTAATTAAAGTACCTCAAGCGCTTTAAGCATGATATAAAATGTGCAATAGTCAGCACATTTGACTTACCAAACACAAATAAAAGTACAGTACATGTACTATAATATAACAATAAAAATGCAGTGTACTGTATAACTTTTTAACAACCGTATACAGGCAGTCCCCGAGTTACGACCGTCCGACTTACGATCATCCGCACTTACAAACGGGATCCTAATGCATTCATCGCAAATATATGTAATTAAAATAATTTTTTTTTATTGTTTTCATTATTCTATATTGTTTAACATCACTTGATTTATAGTATTTACATTATTTGTTACATTTGGGTTATTACTGTTGTTTTGTATGGGCAGGGTTGAGATTTAACCTAACTTAACTCTGGAATTAACAAGGTTTTCACTTACAAACAAATCAGCTTACGATCAGGGTCCAGGAATGTATCTCTATCGTAAGTTGGGGACTGCCTGTATAATATATATACAGTACAGCAATCTACAACATTTCATAATTCTTTCTAAGTTAGAACAATATGGTGGTTCTGGAAGTACATATATTGAAATATCTATTAATTTGTATTATTCCAAATTGGAATAAATATTCTGAACGTATCCGGTTAACTGTGCTCAACTCATGACCATTACAAATGTTCATTCTCTAATTTGTAATTTATAAATTATAAAATTTTTATTATAGTAAAGTCCTCATATGATAGCAATACAGCAATTAAAAAAAACGTGCACTCCTACGGGTATTCTATAATATTTGTACCATTCACAATGCAACGGACTTTATATAATTACTGTTCAATTAAATTTAGGTTCAGGAATTGGTGGATCAATACTCATGCTTCTCAATCAGCTTTGCACTCTGTTTTACTGTGTACATATGTCTTTGAACACTCCTTCATTTTGTGTGATGCAAGTGATCTACAGTATTTAGTTATTTTTAATGATATATTTATTTCAAAACAATGAATTGCTTTGAAGTGAAACATACATACCAGTAATTTTACTGAGTAATTTGTGTGTAAATCATTTGTTGGGGTGAGACATTTGTTATTTATAATTTGTATTAATGAATTTAAACAAATCTGCAGAAACATCATTAAATGCCTTGTAAATTACATTTGGCTGTAAATTAATCTGATAACATTGTATGAGGAAGAGTTGGCAGTCCGAAACATGCTTCATTTCTTCTTGTTGATTACATTTCAGGCAAACTGCATGCTAGTGTGGCCACACCCTTAGGACTAGATCTAATAAAACCATTAGTTCTTTAATCTTGAAAGGAAAGTAATAATAATAATGAACATGTTATGATTTAAAACAAATACTTTATAAAGCAGTAATCACAAATCTTTTTATCTGAGTATTTCATTAAGTGTAAGGTTCTTAATCAAATATACTGTATTTGGAAACTTCAGGAAACTATTAAAAACTTTGTAAAACACGATATGAACGCTTCATTTATTTAAGCTTTCATTCAATGCAGTTATTTGTATAAAAAGAAAACATCCATAACAAACTAACACTTGTGAATTATAGAAATCAACAACAGTATTGCTAAAAAAATAGTTAAACAACTTTATAAAAAAAATTTAAGAAAAATTACATATAAAAAATATACAGCAACTTTCTTCATATTAATAGGAGTATGCTGCATGAACAATCTCCTCTCCATTTCACTTTCTACAAATATCGCTTATAATTGTCACACATTTTCCTTCTCGCCACCAGAAAACAACCCCACAAACTCAACTTACTGTACTGACAATGTTATGTTGGTGACATGACACTGTCACTTCCTTATCAATGTATGTACTATACATTATACAAGATAAACATAAATAAAACTGTAATAGTTATATCATGGAGTACATTTTGAGTGAATACAATACCTGCATAAAGCATCAAATCATCTTACCTTTAATCTGTATCACACTCATGTGAGCCTTTATATTTAATTTTATTACAATGTTGGATTTCAGTGTACAGCAGGTATAGTACTCACAGCATTAATTCTAAGTTCCAAAAATTTTGATAATTTCCATAACTGTAATACCTGCCAACATAATGAAATTTCATCTACCTCTCCATTTAAATAAATTAACCAATTTATGAATTTTTCTTCTCTTCCTTGAGCCATTCCAGAACAGTTGGTGTGAAATAAGAGATGACCACATCAGCACCTGAGTAAAAAATAAATAAATCAATCAATCAATCAATAAACAAACAAACAAACAAACAAACAAACAAACAAACACACAGTGATATCCCTATTAGCCAGAACAATTGGTACAGAGCTCTTCAGGGGATGAGAGATTTCTAAGTACATTAATGAGATGATCCTCTTAAACCCGGAAAAATCCCACATCCACGGAATTTTTCAGGGTACAGGTACTGGGAAAAGTTTGCGAGAGTCTAAACCATGCATCTTGCACAGACAGACACTAACCTACATCCTCGGAATGTTTTTGGGTGCTGGGGAAAGTTTTTGGGAGAGTCTAAGAGAGTCTAAACTACGCATCTCATCTTAACTCTAATCTAGGGATCTCATCATCTCACTTCCCACGGATAAACACTCCCCCATTACATTTAGACTGTGGGCACAAGTAAAAATTTTTACGACTACTGAAAAAGTGTATGAACTTCTATTCACAGCATCTGTTCTAATTGTGTCAGAGATGAATTTGATACCATTATGATCCTGGATAAATTCTCAAGAAGACAGTTCCAATAAAAGATCCTTAAAAGAATATTTCGACACAATACAATGATGGGACTAAATTCTTTTACGAAAAATGTAAGAAATCTTGATACCAATCTATAAAATCAGTTCTAATTAAGTTACACCATTTTTTTTTATCAAAATAATACTGAATAGATTACTGGTACCGTTTGTAAAAGTTTGGTTAAATAAATATATTAAAAAAACCAAAAATCTATATGATATAGGCGAGGGAGGAATGATTGGAGCGGTGTGCCGGTGAAGATGGTGGAATTTTCCACTCTGCACTAGGGAACATTTTCCAGTCTAAACGACGCATCTTGCATGGAGCTGTATATATTTATGCAAACACCCACTGTATACATAAAATATATTGTAAATAAGCATGCCCTTAAAATTCGAGGGGGTTTGGGTCTCAAAATGGCCGCGAACTGCCATTGGCATTGGCATCCACCTACATATGTTTACTCATCCCATAAGAAATTGACCCAGCATTGATGCATATTTTTAACAAAATACCATCTAAATATTTTTTGATGACTTTGCTAGTCCACTATGATAGATATGTGGAGACAAATATAAAAGAATTAAGAAAACCAATGATTTAAAAGTACCGGCAAATGGACAAAAGAAAGAAAACTAGGAAATGGTATATTAAGAAGGTTATTGCAGAAAGTCCTGGTGTGGTAGAATGACACAGAGGAGCCAGGGTGAAAAATACCAATTAAATTACTAAACATTTGGAATAAACAACAATTAAATTTTCTATAACTGATATTGTTCGCTGTACCTGCTCGACGCATGCTGGTGAGAACTTCCATGAGTGTCACACGGAGGTTGATGGCTCCTGCTTTGGCTCCATGGTGTAACATGGCATATTCTCCAGACACCTGGTAAAGCATATAAATCATGTTAGCAGCAACCTAGTAAGGCGACTTGGTTTGGCACACACACAGTCTCTTTTCACTGACAGTCCACAGGATGGTGTCGTGGTAAAGGTCTCTGCGTAGCGTCCCATTCCCTTAAGGCAGGGGAGAATGAGGACATTTTAACTAAGCCATGGTCTAGAGCCTACTGGATAAAAATGTGGCTTTGGGGGCGTGAGACACGATGAACAATACAACACCGTCTCAATCCCACACACACACTGCCTCACATACCCACTAATGAAATAGTGATGACAGAGTTACAGCTCGCCTGGCATCTTATCTCCCGTAAAACAAACACTGGAGTAGGGCTGTGTGAGTAGACCTAATGCAACCCATGACACAGACAAATAGCCAAGTGCAATACAATATTAAAGTAGGATTGAATTTTCTATATTGACAAACTATAAATGTGGTACCACTCCAAAGTACAAACACACAAAGATATATTTTAACTCACCTGATAGATAAACAGTGGATAATGTGGGTATCTGTCCTTAGTTTGACGTACCACATCAAGGTATGCTATGCCAGGTTTTACCATCAACATGTCTGCACCTTCCTCTACATCGCGATCCTGGAAAATTGAAAGAAAGAGAAGTCATATACTGTATAGTAATCTCCCTGTTAGCTGGAATCCCCAGTCCCCAACGAACAAATGTTCTGGGAGTTCCGAGAAATTGCATCATGCTCTGGCACGTCACCAAGTGCCAACTGCATGGGTGGGAACACCACTTGGCTAACTTGGGCTGTAGACTCAAGTGCTACGATTGGCTAATACTACTGTCATGTGACTGCATGGGTCGCCTGTGATAGGCTGATGCATCTCCCAGCTTATCCCCTCTAAGCCTAGCTACCATCATGAAGCATTTAGTTCATAGTCTTCTGCCACTGTACAAGGTTGATCCCTCGCTCACTGCTGTTTTTGCGTAAATTTGCATTCTGCAGTACTGTACCAGGACGCAATCAGCCAAGAATACAGAGTTAAAGCAGTTTCAGTGTCAAAAGTGATTACAGTTATGTATCCCTGTATTGTACTGTACATTCGCTTAGTGTGAAAATACCATATGTAAAGGAAACAGGATATACTGGAGCACTTTAGCTTTTGTTTATTCAAGACATCTTCAGGTCATGAGACACACTAATCCCCCCACCCTGACAAAGGGTGACCTGATATTGCATCAGAAGGTCAGTAACATGACACCACCAATCCTCCCCACCCCACCTCCAACACAAATGAGACAAAAGCTTATATACATTGGGTGACCTGACATTGCATTAGGTCAGGTCATTAACATGAGACCCACTAATCCCCTGTCGCAAGTGTTAAGAGGTAAAAATTTATTACAGTTAAATATTACATTCAGCAGAGTAGACAGTGTAATGTAGGCTCAAGCTGACAGCATCTACTGGTGAGTACAGTATACACATTATAGTGCAGTATTAGTAAGCAGTACAGTATATCATTTTGTTTATTTACAATATATTGTTCAAGTACAGTGGTGTTTGCATAAATAAATACAGCTTCATTCGAGTTGTGTCGTTTACACCAAAAAAATTTCCCCAGTGCAGGGTGGAAAATTCCACTGTCTTGGCTGTGACAATAGCTCCATTCATGCCTTGCATGCCCATATCATAGTTGTTGTTTTTTCTGTTTTTTTATTTAACAAAATCTTTAGATAAACTATTTAGGATTATTTTGGTTAACAAAAACAGTGTTTCTAACTTAATTAGAACTTATTTTATTGACTTCGACATTAACATTTCTTATTTTTTTTATAAAAGAATAGTCCCCAACATTATTTTGTGTCAAAATATTTTGTTTAAGGATCTTTAATTGGAAATGTCTTGTAGACAATTTATTCAGGAACATTATGGTACCAAATTTAATCCTCTAATCACAATTAGAACAATGTTGTGAATGAAAGTATTTAATTTTTCTCTAGCCATAAATATACTTACTGTACTGTATTTGCTCACAGCCTAGTGTCTCAAAAATGCCTTCATTTGATGTCCTGTATTTATATATATATATATTTTTTATTTTTTATTTATTCAACCAAACTTTTAGATGACTATTCAGGATTACTTAGGTAAAAAATAATGTTTCTAACTTATTTAGAACTGATTTTATAGACTCCGGTATCAACATTTCTTACGTTTTATTAATAAAAGAATTTAGTCCACATCCTTATATCGTATCAAATATATTTTGTTTACGGATCTTTTAGTTTCATTATTCCTCGTTACCCTCATTTAGGATATTATCCGTTGATTAGCAATAATTTCACTTAAAGCTAAGTTTTTAGGAACGCATCCCTATCGGTAAACGAAGGATACCTGTATATTACAGTACAGTACAATATATAAAAACAAAAATATGGGCCATTAAATGGAGGTATTTTGGGGTATGAGGCTTGAATGGAGCAGTGTGTGTCAGCCGTGACAGCACACACACAGCTGTGAGACATATGAGAGTGCCCATCAACAGCAGCCAATAGGTGGCTCAGTGAGTACAGCTGTACTGAGATCCAGCACCAAGCTGCGAGACTGTATGAGAGACCAAGGGAAAATTAACTGTATTCAACAGATGTTAAAACCCTAAGCAGCTAAAACAAATGTTCATATGGCATATAAAATTTATGAGTGTTAAGTCTAATAAGCTAAAAATTACAGTAGGTTCTGTGTTCTTAGGTAGCTTGAGCTGGTAATCCCCTATCCCCTGGAATCTTCCACCTTGCAATATAGACAATGCAGACCCCCGGCCAACCCAGAATTTCGGCCAAACCGGACAGGCCTTCACCCCCATTATTTCGGATTAGAGGAAGCTTATTGTATATATGTTCTACCTTTTTCACTTACAAAATACATAACATTAAAATTATTTTAAAATAAAATCCTATATTTTTCATAAGAACTCACTGCTGCTCTCATAGCCAATCCAGATGATCCAGGAGGTAGTTGATAGCACCGACGATCACCGAAAGCTGGAGCTGATTTTGCAGCATCCCTGAATGGTCCGTAGAAAGAAGAGGCAAACTTCACTGCATAGGAGAGGACTGACACACGATTGGCTAATCCAGCCTCTGCCAGTGAAGCCTTAATTGCACCAACTCTGCCATCCATCATGTCTGAGGGGGCTATGATCTGAGCACCTGCAAAACAATGAAATAACCAATGTTATGCCTCTACAGCCACACAATTATCAATCAAGTACGAACAGGTAAACCTTGACTTATGATTTCTCTATTTATAATATTTTCCTTTAACTATGGTGATGTTTTAAGACCACCTCCCTATTTACAATGTACACATGAACAATGGCCATCATCCAGCCAAACTCACTGATGAGTGGATACTGTGTCCCCTGCTTAACAATTGGGGTGCGTTCCTGAAAAACCGACTGTAAATGCGAAATGATCGTGAAACGAGAATAAGGGGAGAAATAAAATCCCAAACGAGGAATAACGAGGAAAAATATCCATAGAGATGGCACATAATTGTGTAGCAGAATTTCTGACTCCCCACCCAGTAGCACTCAGAGCAGGTAAGGTTGAGGTGTGAGCTATGTTATTGTTCAACATATAATTTAGGGTAGATTTATATAATTTTTTTAGTTTTACTTACATCAACATAAGGTAAAAAACATAAAGGGAATATATGTTTCTTCGTGCCAGCTGTACTGTTATGGTTATTTTTCAACACATAATTTTGGATGAATATAGTACATAGTTTACTTCATTTTCTTTTCTTTGTTACATACACAGTCATTAATACAGAATGTGCAAAAAAATAAAAAAAATATCATGAAATCAAAACAAAGAAAATATAAATTTCACGGGAGTTAAGTGTCAGATTGTAGGAGGGGAAGGCGGTGGGTGGGGGGGGGGTGCAATAGTGGGGATTTCAGCCTTCCCCTACCAGGCCTACCTGTGAGCTGTTGTTATTTGTTTTCAACTCGTTATTTTATTTCTGGTAGATATACAGTACATAGTTTGCTTCAATTCTGTTTTATTCTGTTACAAGCAGACACGATCGTTCATACAGAATGTACAGGTACTAAAATAATAATAATATTGTAAGGTCAAAAACATAAAGGGAATAAACATTTCTTATGTGCATTGGAGTTAGCCCTCAGAGTGTGCGTGTGGGGGGGAGGGGGTCTGGCAGATCTCTCAGCTGTTCTCTGTCTCGTGTCCCATGAAACGACTGCCAAATGGCAACCAAGCATTTTTATTATTATTATTATTATTATTATTATTATTATTATTATTTATTCCTCACATTTACTGTGATTGTAAAGAGTTTATCTCTGTTTTTGTGACTGAAGTAAGCAGTACATATAACTTTGAAAATGTATCATTTGCAGTGGAGGTAGGATGGGGGATTAATGGTCTCATATTACTGAACTTTTGAGGCAATGTCACATTACCCATTGTCGGGGTGGGGGATCAGAGCGAAAGCACTTCACAGTCAGGGTGAAAGCACTTCACAATCAGAGCAAAAGCACTTCACAGTCACTAAAACATAGTAAAATGTGATCTTTAGTGATGTCCTCTCACTGTAAGGTAAAAATAAATAAATAAATAAATTATGATAAATAGCAACACCAATAATGACCACTTAGCCCTGAGCTACAGCTCATACACACATGATGGCTACGTTTGTGGTATGTGGGTAGATGACACTGCAGCTGACAAATGCAGTGAGAGAGGAGTTCCATATTCCAAATTGGCAGGTGATGAATATCGCTAATGAGGGTTTGTTTACATCGCAAATAGGGAAGTGGTCTTAACACATCAGCATCGTTAACGCAAAATATCGCAGAAAGGGACATTGCAGATCAGGGTACAGTACAGTATACTGTACCTGTACGGGTAACCCATTCGTCAAGTGAATTTTGTGTCTCGAATAAAAGAACACATGGGAAAAATAGGGTTTGGTTCCCCAATAAATAAAGTACCCTAATTCATTCCCCAAAATCACAAAATTGGTTCAAACACAACAAAACCTACCTAACTAATGATAAATAGAGTAAACCCTCATTTAACCAACCTATTTGGGGGGAGGGGTGGGTCGGAAAAGCCAATAAGTTGAATAATCGAGGTACTGTACGAAATATCAAAAATATGTAAGTATTAAAATAATAACTGTACGACAATTTTAAAAATTTGGTACAATGGCGCTCAGCTGTGTAAGGGATCAGCATGAGCGACATATTTGTTATTGTTTGGTGGTTGGTCGATGCTCTTCCAACATTCACTTAAAATCCAATTATAGTGATATCCCCGTTAGACAGAACAATTGGTGCAGAGCACTTCCAGGGATGAGAGATTACGGGTAAAGGGACGACTCTCTCAAAGCCGGAAAAATATCCCTCATCCCCGGAATTTCCCAGGTAACGGAAAAACGTTCTCGGAAGTTCCAGAAACTTCCCATTACGTCATCTCTCAAACCTGGAAAAAAATCCTCCATCCCCGGAATTTTCCGGGTATCAGGAAAATTTTTTCGAAATTTTCCGGAAAATGTGCCCCTCACAAAATAGTTCCCAAAGCAGGAATTTTCCAGACCCAAATTTGTATAAGCGGGTGAAACTTTTGTATTTTAAAATAGTGGGGTCAATTTAGGAAATTTATATAGGCAAATTTTCGTATCTCCAACGATCATATCTCGAGATACCTGTACCAACTTTGCAACAATTCATACAAAAGTACTTACCTGCTTTGGCATAAGCAGTAGCTTGTTCAGCCAACCGTTTGATACTAGGGGTGTTGTCAATAGTCCCATCCTTTTTCAGAATGCCACAATGTCCATGACTTGTATAAGCACACAAACACACCTGAGACAGGCAAATATTGTACATTATTAATCCTATTTCTGTACCATCCAATCAAATTCCAACAAAAAATTTCACTATGGAGGATATGCTTTCAGCTTTTACAGCTACTGTACTTGTAACATCAAGGCTTGTGACAAGAGACCCTGGAAGCAATTGCATCAGAGAACAATTTACTTTTTGGAGTAACTAGCACTAAAATATTTTTGTTGGCCCTTTTGACACACTTCTTGTAAGTGAAATACCCACATCATCAATTTTAAATATTAGTCTTGACTTATACAAATGTGATATAGTACATGCAAAGTTTCAAGGTTAAGACTGTTGAAAGGTTGATTTGTGTCACTTTCCTAAAGCAGAACAGGACCATGTCTTGTAAACTAATCTGCCTAGATATACAAACTCTCCTAAGATACACAAAAAGGATCCCCTTCAATACCCATGACAAGAACTGACAAGTGAGTTAGGTAAATCAAAATACAAATCTAAAATAGTATCTAAGAGCACAAAAGGTTATGTCAAGATGTAGTATTCATAGGAACAGGAACTTAACCTAACTGAACCAGAAGAGAAAGAAAATGTAGGTTATAAGAAAAATATTCTGTTCCATTTTGACTGACACTGTAATTCCTTTAATTCTTTGTTAGGATACTTGTTAAGAGAAGTAGTATACTGGAACCTAAGGAATCTCTGATGTGACTATTCTACTTGTGAAGTAAAATCTTAAAAAACAGGACAATGTTTCACAACAAGAGAAAACTCCTTTCAGATTATTACAAATTAAAACTAGTGCCAGTTATTACACACCCTTTGTTGCCCAAGAAAGCATAACCTAGGGAAAAAAATAATGGGATTATTTAAATATCTTATACTAATAATATATATATTTTTTTCTTCAACAAACCGTGTTGCACCTTCAGTTCACAGAACCACACATTTTCCTAATCTCACATTACCTTAGAAGAGAGTGGGTGTGAATCATACATGTCTATACTTATGCAAAGTTAATCAAACAGCTTGTCGATTAAAATATATCAGCCAAGGGTGAATGTGAAGTACAGTAGTCTATAACATTTAATTGTTTCATCTACATACATCATACTCAATTTTCTAGCTTGGGTGGGAATTAAGAATAAACTAACAGGTGCAAATCAATCTTGCTTCCTCTTTATATGCAATAGTGTGGCAACAACAACAAATATCACAGCCTTTTGTTTAGTGACCTTACTTTACCCGAAATTTCTACATCACCAATCAGAATGGAATACTGTACCAGTATTTGGCAGTCAATGACAGTACAGTAAACCCTCAAAGATCCAGACAAAGAGGAAGGACCACCTGTCCGAAAAAGCTGATTGTCCGTATCTTCCAGCAAATGTATTATGTGTATAAAAGCAATAAATAATGACAAAAAAAAAACATAAAAATTGAAGTACCATATTTTACAGCAAATAAGACATAGCCCTCATTTTAACAGAGTATTTAGGAAAAAAAATATGTGTTTATTTTCCTCCTGTAGCCATAGTTTTCTTAAAATAATATATACAGTACCAGGAAATGTGAGGAATAAACTAAAATACCAATAAATAAGTTATAACAAAAAGTACTGTATTGCCAAATCAGTAAATAAAAGCCAAATGAAAGTCTAACACAGTAACCATTTGCATACACTCACTGCTTCACCATAGCAACAGAGACCGTCTGGGATGCCAATTCCCTAACAACACTCGCCACCCACTACACTCTGAACCCTGCTCCCCTCCCTCACTGAGCCGGTAACTCGTGTGCAAAAAAATGTATATTCCCTTTGAGTGTTTGCCATTAGGAAAATTATTACTTTTACTTTTTTCAAAATATGTATGTAGGATGGTGTGTGCATGTAGTGGAGTAAAAATAAATGAAGAAAGTTGTGTATATCTACCTAAAAAATACAAGATGAAAAACAGCCATGACGCTTCACAGCTTGACCCAGTAGCCTGGTGGTTTTAGTGACGAGTCTAACCTGACTACAATGCCATGATTAATCACTAATATATCAGTAAACACTAATAATACTAACAGTAAATCCAGTGAAATATGGCAGGGAGAGAGGAGAGTTACAACAGCAGACAATGCTCAACTAGTGGTCACTCACTCCCTTAACGCACACCCGTTGCCAGGCGTACAATTGAAATACAGGAGGTCCCCAACTTACGCACATCCGACTTACGAATGCCCGCCGATGTGAATGCCGTTAAACATGAAATTTACAGTGTTTTATTTAGCTGATGACTTATTTTTTACTTTTATTTATTGTATTTTTACATTCTATTTCTTCTTTTGTCTTAAATTAAGTGATTTTAGATGTATATAAGGACTTAGGCAATGATAAAGTGGGATTTTAAACATTGTCTTGTAAGTACGGCATGCACATAGCATGTGTTCCGACTTACATACAAATCCAACTTACGAATGTCCTCAGGAACGGAACCTGTTCGTGAGCCAGGGACCCCCTGTACGTATGAGAAATACATATCTTGTAGTCTAATTTGAAACAGTAATGGGCACAGCGATAAACCAAATTATATAAACCATGCATCATTGTATCATTACTAGAGTGAATGAAATAATATTCCCACAAACAACAATTGACAACTCTGTTTATATTTCCATCCCTGGCGACAGCCTGCGTGTGTAGCCGAGCACTTTTTACAAAAAATAATGGAAATAAAATAAATTCTAAATGAATTATTTATAGGAAATATGCATTATTATCAGTAAATATGTGCATTACTGGTCATCCCAGACACAAAGACAAGCAGAAAATGGCTGCTAAGTGAGTAAGTGACCACGAGCGCTCGCGGTCAAAACAAGCTGTCCCCTTATCTCCCTCGCTACTGCGGCCCCAGGGAAGTTTCTAGATCTAGAGCAGGGGTCACCAAACTACGGCCCGCGGGCCGGATCCCAAGTCCTTCCCCGGCTCGTGGTAGCTCAAAACTACGCTCTGACGTTACCAGAGCTTTCGTTCTGGCTTGCAAGTATTGAACAGAATGATTATGCGGCCCGCGCTCGTCATTCTTTCAGTTATCCGGCCCACTGTGAAAAAGTTTGGTGACCCCTGATCTAGAGGATCAATATATAGCTTTTCTTGTTTTTTATTGTTTTATCATTTAAAAAGGTTAAAAATTATTTTTGGAAAAGTTTATTTTTCTCGATTTAACCCATGTGGGAGGTTCGGCCAGCGGCACCCTACCCTGGGGCGTAGGGGTTATTGAACATAATGAATTTCAAGATTTTTAAGTTCCTGGAATGCATGTTTTTGATGTAATGATACAGTAGGCACAAATCCCACACACATGAAGTTCGTCCTCTTCAAACATCAGATCATTGGTGTTAGGTCATGGAAAAAACAAACTTCCAGAGTCATAAAAATAAAATTAATATCCAAGGTTCAGCAAGTTTTACTTTTACAAATCCTTACTAAAGTTTAAATCTAACTCACATCGCATGCAACAAGTAGATCAGGAAATGCTTGACGAAGGATCTTCACTGCAAGAATAACTGGAGTATTAGGTGAATCTGCACTTGAGCCACGGTCATCTTTTGGCATATCTGATGGAACACCAAACAGCAAAACCTGTGGGATATAACACAGAAGTATGAGTTATGTTAAAAAAATTCTATAAGCCATTTCACTCGGGTTAACATCAGTTATGGGATTAAGTGATTTAAGGAGGACAGGTCCAAATAGTATTACTGGAGAAGAATGTCACTTCATATATGTGGAAAACAAGGGAGAGGCATTGGACAGTGTCAAGAGTGTTCACTTGTACAGTTTGATGATGATACAGTGTGTAGAACAAAAGTTTTTATGCAAAAACTAAACATTGACAAAAAAGAAGAATATCAAAATAAACATGGAATTTCTTCTTAGGAGCAAGGTGCCTAAATAACAATAGTCTATGTTTACAGATGCATGGAAATTCAGGATTCAAAACCAAAATTCAATGTTTACCACCAAAAACACTGCCCTTTCTTAGGGGACGAATATTTATGCAAGGAAACTCAAGGTATGTCTTGGAAACCACCATGCAAACAGAGACTATATAGGTACTGTACTCCATTTTGCAGGTTTTTTAAAGAACAAAGATGTGACTTCGATATCTACTAAGAAAGTAGTATCTGTCTTTGAAAATTTAATATTTTTTCTACAGTACAGGATGTTGTACAAATACACTTCTCAGTTCTTCTTTGAATGAAAGCAAGGTGAGTAGAAATAATAAAACCTTTAAAAAATAATGTACAATACAGTATATACCTGTATTACTTTTCCTTCCTTAACAGATTCACCACAAAAATTAAAAAGGACAACTAATAACTTGAAATTTTTTGAACACAGCTAAGTGACCACCCATTTTTTAAACACAACTGACCTCACAGATGGGAGTTTTTTTTTTTTTACACACAGGAATTTTTTCAAGAACAAATCAAAGCCACCAATAACCAAGTCTTGGTCACCCTTATAATCAGTTACCAACCAAATCAGGCCTTTCTTCACAGTTGCCAGATATGATCCTGTATTTACTGGGTAGTTATTACCTTTGACTAAATGAGTTTTAAAAGAAATTATTACCCCTGAGTGATTAAAGAGGTTTGCTCACACTGTATATATGACTCATAAAGAAGAGGAAGAAAAAGAGAATGAAAAAAGCAGGTTATGAATAACAAAAAGTAAGCTTAGCTACACACAATACCTAAAGGTTTATCTTTATGACCACCATGTTAACACAGCAAAGGTGCAACCCTATACAGTACAGTATGGTATTGTATTTACTACTTACAGAGGAAAGTCCATTCTTCACATGTGGCTTTAGAGCAGCCTCAAGTTTGTTGATCCCATACCGAGTCACACCTGGCAGACTGTCTACAGGTTGCTCTGCATCAGCATCATCCCTGAAACAAAAGTTCTCAATCACAACACTACTGGTTATGTTAGCCACCCTAGTGCCTATCTTTCCTGACTGACTAACCTGATATTTCTTTCTGTGAGGGGATTTATAAAAAAATCTTAGATCAGCAGCTGGTCCACATTCTAACACTCCTCTTGTCTCTAGGTTACAGTAACATCCTTACCTTATCAACGTATTCACTGTTACTAACTAGCCACTGACTACCTACAAGACCAGCACTGTACAGTATTTGAAGGTAGTTGAGATACTGTATCACTGCCAACCTGTTAACTACTTAGGTGATGATCAAGTTCTTGTCTGAGAATTCTGGTCACCAAAACAGGATACAGGTTGTGCCTCTCTAGTCCGGTATTCTGTGGTCTGGAATGATTTTAGTTTGCCCAATAGCCAACATCCCTGATGTAACTCAAATGTATTATTTAAGCATTTTCGACTTACGACCATTTCGACTTACGACCTGGATTTGGGTCTCTAACCCCGTCGTAAGTCGGGGAGGAGCTGTATAGCAATATTTTTTTTTATTTCGCGAGGGAAATCAGGAAGGAAATATTTCAAATTTACCACCATGGCAAACAAATGTGTTATTTGCTCACCAGACGCGCCACCGTGGCTGCTCACTCACGCATTCACGTTCGCCCGCTCAGTCTTTCGGTGTGAGTGACGAGAAAGCAACCGACGTGAAAAGTGAAGTGAAGAAAATGGAAAGTTTAATGGGAAATATTTAATACTATAACTAATATTTTTGGTATTCATTTTTGTAGGTGTGGGATTGTCAAGTGAGGGTGGCAGTGTGGCGTCTGCTGCTGAGTCTGGTGTTCCCAGGATGGTGCATCAGCTGCCGAGTTTAATATTCCTTGATATTGATATTGAAATAGCCTGTTATTCCAGAGTCTAGTGTTCATTGGTGCTTTAGTTAGTAAGAAAATGAACTCGTTAAGTCAAGTTTAGTCACTTTTTTGGGCCTCCAGAACCTAACCCTATTTTTCCCATTGATTACATGTAATCATCTATCACAATTTAGTATATAGCGAACATCGTTGGACCCAATCTCATGATATATCCCAACCCCACTGTATAGTATTTATCAGGTGCCATCAGAGGGTTCAGGCTTACACTTGGCTCAGCCATGTCCATAATGTTGTTATTGTTCACCTTATATGCATCTGTATTTGTCTGGCTAAATACAGGGGGTCCCCAGGTTACAAATGGGTTCCGTTCCTGAAGACGGTCTTACGTCAGAAATGTACACAAGTCGAAACACATGCTATGTGCATACCGTACTTACAGAACAATGTCTCAAATCCCACTATATCCTAGCCAAAGTCCTTATACACATCTACAATCACTTGATTTAAGAGAAAAGAAGAAATAGATTGACAAAATACAGTAAATGAAAGCAAAAAATTTATCAGGTAAATAAAATACAGTAGTGTAAATTTCAAGTATAACCCCATTCATATCGGCAGGCGTTCCTAAGTCGGGAAACCCTGTAAACTGTTTCAACATCACTATCAAAATTCAGGTATTTTCTCTAATCCTGGTATAGTAATGTACTATAAAGTACAGTATATAAATCTATTCTAACGTTCAAGAATACAAAAAGAAATTTAAAAATACAGTATTTTCACACTTACACTATAAATAATGGATACATTAAGTTCCAAGGGTGGATCTCGGTGTTTGATGTCTGCCATTGTCTCAGGGTGGGGTTGAAGTACCCACTATGGAGGATACGTTTTGCAGGGGGTTCATATGATGCCATGATATTCTGAAAACTGAGTAAATACTCTGTACAAAATTAAACACATATTACCTTAGAATGGTTTAATTAAATTGCAAGCCTAAGTAAAGTAGGCCAACGTGAGTTATAAAAAGACCCATTACAATACAACAAATAAAATACTGTTCAGTGATATCCCCAGTAGCTGGAATAATTGGTGCAGGGCTGTCCAGGATGTGCAATACTTTCCGGGACGAGAAATTCGTCTCAATACCCGAAAACCTCTCATTCCTTCAACAGCTCTGTACCAATTATTCCAGCTAACGGGGATATCATTGTACAGTCCAGTACTACTACTGTACATTACTGTATATATACCTGTACTGTACTTACCATCAGAAGCTGTCGTCTGAGCATGTGATGCAGGCAGGCCAAATGGTGATATGATACTGTACAGTACTGACCTGCCTTTATCCTATATTGTCTCCTGTAGCAGGTGTTCCTAATTGTCACTTTTCTCTCCATGAAGAAGGCATTGTAAACACACTGCTGTACATACACTATCAACACTCTAGACTAAACTATCCACTCTGCAAAAATTCCGTACAAACTATCGACAACATAATAACACCCAAACCAACTTAGTTAACCTAACCTAAAATAAAGCACTTCCATCCTAGGATAGGTGGGGTACAGTATGCTCACTTAGATAAGGTTGAGCTTATTTACAATAAATCATTGGTTGCTGGTCGCTATCAAACATTCGTGGCCATTACGAGACGCTTTTCAGGTATGAAGCACTAACCAATACAAAATCGCCAAACCAATATACAGTACAGTACAGTACAGTACAGTACAGTAATATGAAAATTTCTGTAAAGAAAATGGTTCCTCTTCTGGACAAAAAAATTAGAAAACCATAGCCAGAAGTAGTAAATTCTCAAAAAACAAAAAACAAAAAAGATTCAAGACTAGGCAGCAAATTTTCTTGTATAGAATTTTTTTCTCAAGTTGCTCATTCGAACAGGACAATGTTATAAACTACTGTATTACCAACCCATTCAATGAAAAAGACCAATATCAACAAGGCAGATGAAGAGAGCTTGGCAGCATAGCCTCCTTCGATATATATATATATATATATATATATATATATATATATATATATATATATATATATATATATATATATATATATATATATATATATATATGGGTACGAACTGTCTCATAAATTGGGTACGAGTTATCTCGTAATTAGGTGCAAGCTGACATGTTCTGATGGGAACGATTTGCTTGGGTAAGAGTTGTCCAGCACCCCTATATAATTACCAAAAAGGTTAGATTTACAGGTATAAGTTTCTAGTGTTTTTGTATTCACTTGGCCATGATTTTTGTCGGGAAAGGTTTGTTTCTCTCCCCCACCCAAACCCCGGGTCCCAACAGGCTCCCCAGTCTTGTTAGGGGTAGAAGGGGGCGATAACTACAAAATACATGCAATTTCCGAAGGAAATCAAGATCAGAACCAATCAAACCACACAAAACATACTAAATGAACATAGTTTTGAGCACAGACCGCTTGTAATATAAATTCTTACCGTGAGAGTTAATTGACGCCGGCAACCTCCCGCAGCACCGCCAGACTCACTCACGTCAACAACAATTCTTCCAGGTTTTTAAAGGGAAAATAAATAATTATTTCAAGTTGTCTCTTCATTAACTTCTTATATCAATATTTTATATACTTAATTTACTGTGCATCATTTGTTTCGTTAATAATGAAATATCTTAAATATCAAGAAATACATAATATCTGATTAAGTCTAAAAGCATAACCACCAATTACATAACATAATATATTAAAATATAAATATGATATACAATGACATTTAAAAAAGACTATGGATGAGGAAATTGTCCCCAGCGACTGGAAAAATGGTATATATGAGTCATATACTCAAACAGATGCTCGCCTCTGCACAACAATTATAACAAAATAAAAAGAACAGACAAATCGCCGACCGACTAGTAATATGAGTGGTGAAATAAGTAAAAAAAATAAAAAATAAAAAATTGGCCAGTGAGTTTGACTAACCAGCATACAGTACTAGTGAGTAGTGAATAAAGGTTTAATGACCGTTTTATGCTATGTTATGGTGGAACATCTACTGCCAAACAACCTCGTTAAGGAATGCCACAATGGTTCTGTCTAGAGACTCAAGCCTAGAACACAGACTCTGGGCGTAGTCGTGGTGGCAATATTGATAATATATATTTAGATTTTGACAGGGTTTCCATAGCGTACCTCATGAAAGGCTAGGTTAAACTGGTATAGAATTCTGGGGAGAGTCCTTGCGTGGATCAGACTATAAGTTATTTTCATGACCGGCAAACAGTGTGTGTGGTGATTAATTGCATGAAATCATGTGTACCAGCGACAAGCGGGCTACTACAGGCATTTTTGTAAAGTAAAAAGGATTTACTATTGACTTCAGAATATCTCCTAATATCAAGTGCGCATGGCTTCAAAAGGACCTCAAAAGGACCATGATATTGGTCAGTTAAAAAAAAGCAGCGGGGGGGGGGGGCTGGTCTTACAGCGCCCCCCAAACCCCCCAGCTGGGTGGGCTCTTTATATAATTTAGCTAAATATCTTTCTAGTCAGAAACGATCATCGCAACGATTATGAATAAACTCATTTAGAAATACATCATTAATTCAGGACAAAATCGGTGAGGTTTGCAACAGCCAATCAGCTGTAAATCTTGGGGAGGGGGCGGGGTGTCTTTTCTCAGCTGAGAAAAAAACGCACTATTGTACTGAGCACATCATTGTCATCCTTAATATCTCTTTAGTTCATATTACGCTACATGGCATTCAAATCCACCGCGCTTGTAGAGTCACAGAAAACTGTAGAAAACATGAAACTTGGGTAAGGGATAACTCACCTATTGTATAATGTTTTATACGAATTGTACCAAGGTAAGGACATAGAATATTAAGAGTATGTACTGGTAGCATTAAGGAGAACTCAAGGTATCTATAGGATGATTGGGAAGGTCCAATTGATACGGACTAGTGTACTATAAGGGATAAGTGTAACCGTGTGTAGACCGTTTCTGAATGTCATCATATTTACGTCTGTGAACGATTAGTAAACATAGCTACCGCAGATATCAGATGAAAATATATGAGAACAATGATATGGAAAAAGGATAAATGTATCAGACCTATGTGAAGTGTTGAAAGTGGTCCAGAAACTATGCTTCAAAGAGAATATCTTGTATGCCTCGGTGTGAGCTTAGTTCACCTCGTTACCCCATGTGACGAATAACCACGAACAGTGCAATGATCAGAGAATCTTATGAATGTGTTCAACGATTGCAACGTGTGAGGGGAGGATCCCTAAATACAGAGTCAAGTGAAGTGGATATATCCAGCCATGAAAACACGACGCCCATCTCACCTGATCTCATCTCTCGCGACTCTACAGCTACTTGTGTCCAGTTCCCCTAAACTTTTTACAGAGAGTATTCTTCATACGAAATTTTAAGAATCTGATGCCAAATCTTAAATTACTTCTGAGTCCTTAGATAAGTTTGGAACGATAATAAAGTCTGAGAAGAACAGCCTTTGATTTCCCCAAATAATGATAATATAGGCTTTTAGGTGAAGATAAGGTACGAGAAGTTATCAGCAATGGGGTAGGTCGGTGTCCAGGTGGGTAGAAGGGTGGGGGTGCATGGGAAGATGTTTAATAAAGTGAAGTAAAGGAGAGGAGAGATAGTGAGACAGTTATGGCGAGCGAGAGCAGCCAGACCAGGATGGTGGGCACCTTGGTGTGCCTGATGGTGCTTCTGGTGCCAGGTACTCTCACCACATTTCTCGTGTCTTGACTCCATCCTCAAGTCTTGAGACATCCTCAACATGAGTGAACATCCCTGATCTGATAAATTGTGTATGTGGGGGAGATGAATAGCATGATTTCTCTAAGGGTATTTTTGTTGGAAATGGATGTTTTAATAATGCACGTTAGAGCTATAAATTAATATAATACGATGGGCGTCCACCATCCTGATGAGGATAATTAATTATGGGTATTATTTCTCTTGTTGCCACTACACTATCTCGGGAATTTTATAGTTGCAATCAGTAGTTTTGACAATTCTAAGACATTTTTCTTTAATGACATTTCTAGTGCAAATTATATGTTTAAGCAAGATATTGAAAATTTTATTATGTATGTTCGTACGTGGCAGTGCACACCCAGAACATCGAACTACGCAAAACATCGAATGACTGTGGAGCTCCCCAGTTAGGTTAAGTTAGTTTAGGTTTGATTAAGTTAGGCTAGATTAAGTTAGGTTAGGTTGGTTAGGGTTTTGTTTTTCTGATGGTTTTTGATGTGTTTTAAACACCTTTTACCTTGATTTTTTTTTAGAAAATCTCTAGATTCTGAGAGGGGAGGGATGCCTATCTCAGAAACTATAGATTTGCACCAGAAATGAAGTCCAATTCGTTCATAACACATCAAAAACAATCTGAAAAACATAGTTTCAACTTCGATTTCGTATAGTGGCAACAAGTAAAATTTTACCTAATTATGATGTGATCCTTTTTCGGGTTACCCAAGTGTGCGTTCTTGTTACAGGATCAGGTGATCCCTGTCACAAGTATGCAAGATTACCATCTGCCGCAGGTGTTTTAGGTGACCCCTGTCACACGTGTTTAGGTGACCCCTGCCACAGGTTAGGTGACCCCTAACACAGGTGCATTTGATGAAATTTTACCACAGGCGTCTTAGGTGACCCCTGCCCCAGTTGTTAGGTGATCCCTGACTTTCTGTGTTAGGGGACCCTTTACCACAAGTGTTTGAGGTGACCCATGCCACAAGTGCGTTAGTACTCCTGCTACAGGTATTAATGTCATTTACATCAACAGGTTTGGCCCAGAACTTCACACAGCTCGCCCACGACTATGCCCCCTACCTGCGCTTCGACCAAAAGGTGCGTGAATACTTTTGGAGTTCTTTTTAAGTTTTATTTTCTCATCTGCCTCTTTCCCTATAACAGTGTAATGCTAAGATGAGAAGTCGTAGATTAGATTCGATATTTAGTAACATAATGATATACTGATTGATTAATGGGCACTACTGTACAGTATTAGGCCGAGGGTTATGGATTTATTTGGCGAGGCTAGTCTATTAAGCATAGCCAAATCTCGATAAAGCAAGATCATGCAACAATTAAGCATTTAAGGCTTTGCAGGGCAGGTTTAACCCTCTGCGTGCCAGAGTTGACTGTGGCAACTTTGAAAATCAGTTGCATCGTAAACTGAAAAAGAAATTTTGTGCTAAGTTGATAGTAGGTTAGCTTGCATGTTGATAATGGTAAATGCTGTTGAATGCACATACTGCATTAGCCTTACACACCTGACTCGTAGATAGTAAACTATTCCGCTCCCCACCCTCCTATATGGCAGCGAGACATGGGCCACATGCAGGAGGCACATCAAGGCACTTGAAAACTTTCACCAACGTAGTCTACGTTCCATCATCCGAGTTCGCTGGGAAGACAAGAGAACAAATGCCAGTATTCTCGCTGACACCAACTATAGGAGCATCGAGGCTACCATTATCCATGAACAACTACGCTGGAGTGGCCATGTTACCCGCATGGACGAAAGTAGACTGCCAAAGCAGCTACTTTACAGTCACCTAACGAATAGTAAACGTAACGCTGGCGGCAACTGGAAAGGTATAAGGATAGTCTTAAGACAAACCTGAAAAAGTGTCAGATAGACCCCATCACCTGGGAGACGATTACTCCACACCGTAACGCTTGGGGGATCATCACATTAGAAGGTGTCAATACTTTCGAGTTAGCCCGATTGCATAACGAGGCAGACAAGCGCCAAAGCCGGAAAGACGCTGCCACCGCCCCTCCTGCACTAGATGTGCAACATCTGTGATCGATCCTGCCGGTCCCGTATCGGCCTCTTTAGTCACCTTAGAACTCACCAACCTAGATGACATCCTTAATAACTCATATCATTGTATCATAGCTGGATGATCGTCATACTCGATTCCGAGTGACAGTAAAGTAGTAGTTGTAAACTATACCGCTGAATCACTAAATTTTATTTTAACTTAATTGACTAATTACTGTAGGTAATGTTGCGTCATGCCTGGGGTTGGTTATGTTTGATATACGTTATGAGAAGCTGTCAATCTCAGAGCAAAGTACAGGTTCAGGGTTCATCGGGTTACTATGACGATTTAATCAGCTGAGTAATGTCACAGTGGCGTATATAGTGGGGGCATTCAGCCCTTACAAGAATACAGGCAGTGGATGGAAATCAACTATAATGTCCCCTTTTCAAGACTTGCCCCCCCCCCTTTTTACAATTATAATGTTTGTCAAATATTTTAATGCTCTTTGTTCTCCCCGTATTGTTGCTGGAAAATTTTATCAATATACTGCATTTTGGTTATAACACAACGGCAAAAGTAGAGAGAGATTTCGAACACAGGTTTGGATATGTTGTACCTTCTTCACAAGAATTCTCTCAGACCCCGTGGGAAGTGTCAGGTGTGAAGCTTTATCATTATCACATCCATATGAAAAGTATATTTTATCACTTATACCGAAGTTTGTTTTAAAGTATCATATACAAACCCTTGAGTGCGACTTATCACCCCTGAGTACTGTAACAAATCTAGTGTTCCCCAACCTTTTTAACACTGGGTCACAGTTCTCAGCACCTCTAAATCCTTTGGTCACATAAGTTGTCATCATAAAAGGATACATTTAATAGGAAAATCATACTTCTTTATGAGTGTACACTACAAGTATATTACAATAAGTTACATTTATCCAGAAAAATGGATCATTACATTTAAACTTGCAGTACAAAGTACAAAATAATAAACACTTACACATACAATTCATTGTGTAGCCACGCCTCATCACAAACTGCATATGGTATTGGATACTTTCAGTGTGATGTTTGTTGCTGGATAGTTGCAGCAAGAGAATTGAATAGTGGGGCGATATTTCTTATCGCTGCCACTCTCATGCACGCAAACAACATCGTCTCTCCGAGCCTCTGCCTTTTGTTGCTCATGATGGTGAGCAGATCTGAGAGTGCTTTACCAGCAATCATCTCATATGCGCAGGTTGCGGCTGTTGAAAAAGTCCTTCATTTCTGAGTTACAGTGGAGTTCGATCAGTGGGTCTTTTTCTTGGGTGGGCAGATTGCTGTCGTTCAAGTTTGAGATAAGGAACAGGTTTTCTTATCCGAGTATTCTTCTTTTCTTCCTCATTTGCAGGAGGAAAATAGTGGTTAAAATTCTGCTGGAGAACGGTGAGATGTTGGGACACAATTATCATCATTTTGTCGTCAATGACTTCATCCTTGGACTCTGCAATCACTTGCCCAAGCTCATCGAAGTCTGAAAAGTCCATTCCCATAACGCTTTTCTTCCACCCTGAAATGCTCAATTTGAATGCCTTAATTTTGTCATTGGAAGTGAACACACCTTGACCTGGCCCTTGAAGGGAGAGGTTCAACACATTGAGCTTGATGAATATATCACACAAGTAAGAAAGCTAAGCAACCCACTCCTCTTGCATGAAACAGAATGCATGCCTTCCTTAGTTGAAAGAGTCTCTTCAATTCAACTCCTCTTGATAGCCACGTGCCTCATATGCCTGTTGGGAAATCCGCCACTGCATGATTGACTTGTTCACTGATTTTTGTGGGTCACAATGTCGGTCAGTGTTGCTTCTGGGTCACAACACCTAATCACAGTAGTCTGTCGGGTCACACTAGTAAATGGTTTGGGTCACAGTACTGTGACCCGGGTCACAGGGTTGAGGAACACCGCTGTAACTTATCTCCATGAGTACAATTTATTAACGACTTGGTTATGACAAACGTTCTCTGACTTACACTCTTAAGTACGATTATTTAATATATAGATTGCCAGCTGAGTACAAAATATGGATTCCAGGATCTAACTCATTGAGCACGACCTGCTGTTGTATTGGGTGCCCTCATGTTGAAGTACCCCGGTGTCTTATCTAGCAAGGATATAATAGTAGAATGATTTATAAGTAAGTGGGTGTTATAATTTACCTTCAAGAGACCTAGTGAAATACTCTCCAATTGTTACAAAGAATGTGGTGCCTCAGCGACCGCGTTCTGTGATGACCCTACCTAGTAACCTGGAGAAGGGATGCCTAGTCTCGAGGTAACCTGGTCATATAGGCACCGGGCGTCACAATGAGGTAGTGTTACATCTGCTTGGGGTGACGTAACCGACTTGTATTTACCATCAGGAGGGCGACAGTGATCTCTGTTTCCCGCAAGACGCCGCCGAGTACTACGGGGCGCGGATGGTCGGAGACTGGGGAAGGAAGTGCAACACAGACTACAACTCGCTGGTCAACGGTGACGTTCCCACCTACTGGCACGCCCAGACCTGCGGTTTCCACCTCCACATAGGTCAGCGACATCTCTAATATTAACTGCTGAGGTACCGTTGTTTATTTTCCTCAATATATGTCATAGCAATGATAGTGAAGCTGAGGATGTGTGTGGTAGTAGGGAGGCGCCCGTGTCTTTTTGCCGAGTTTGTTCTTGTGTCCCGCAGCTTACTGGAACTTCTATGGCTATAACAACGACTGTGACTGCTGCTCCGGGGAGAGGAACGCCTGGTGGGAGTTTATCGTCATAAAGGTGAGTTTTTTTTTTTTCTGTGTTGCTGTGTTAGTCCTTGTAACGGTAGTTGACCTTGGAGCAACTGAGATTATTTTCGGGAAATAAACCTTGGTGTTGGAGATCTGGTGCGGTTTCTGTGTTTACCTGGTCAGGAAAATAAACTGTAGAAGTAAAGTGACTTTGGTGGACGGTCCAAACCCAGACTAAACACATGTAAGAGTCTTAAGCTTAAAGTTTGTTTGGAGGAGTAAATATATAAATTATCAGTAAGACATGATGTGACGCGGGCTGTCAACAGGTTCGTGATTGGGAACTCCTGCCGCACCTACATGAGGTGAGGTTTGGCCAGAAGTGGGGCTGGTACACGAGGATTCCCGGTCACTACGAGACCTACGACACCACTCATCCAGTGGCCTACGTGGGCAAGACCAACCACGGCACCTACCATGACGACGGTGGTACTGGCACCTGCTGCTACTACGAGGACTTCCGCAACACTGGTAACGCTCCCTCTTGAACCTCTTCCCTTGTTTATGTTCCGCAGTCACAAATTTTTTCCCAATTTGAGTAAACAACAAATACTTCATCTCTGAATGGTAGCAGATATTACGCCACGGTAGATACTAAACCCTTTTACAATATCTGGATATTACGAAGTATTTTTCAATATAATGTTGTAGTTGTGTCACAGGCAGCGCAAACAAGAACTTAAAGACGTGGATGAACCTGGTGGAGCTGCAGGAGGAGGGCGGGGAGGACTGGATGAGCGACCCCGGTACCGACTTGTGGAGTGGCATCCACGCACCCACCTTCAGGAGTGACTGGGACCTATGTAATCTCACCGGCTGTACTGGATCAATATTCCAGGTGAACCAATAATCATGTCTTAGGAAAAAATATACACTATGCTAGGAGTGTGTGTGTGTGTATGTGTGTGTGTGTGTGTGTGTGTGTGTGCCTGTGTAGACTTAATCTATACTAACATTACGGAAAATATCAGTTACAACTTATTTTGCCTGATCACAGAACATTACCATTTTCCTAAACCTTGATCCCGGGAATTCTGGACTTGACTTCCGTCATTCTTCCATCAAAAGTACAATGAGCAGATCATCAGCGCCATTCCAGTGACCAGAGACAACAGACAACCTCGCTAATATAAACGACACTTATGAATCAAACTTTGTTGTTATCCGGTAAGCAGAAATTAAGTCTGGGTGTGGAAAGAAACCGGATATTCTCTCGCCCGGTGACAAGCTAAGTTTTCTGGCATGCAATTGATCTAACCAGAATTAGCTCGCCACACCTTGGAATTACAATGCCGTACAGCCTACCTCCCGGGAGAATATAAGAGCCATCCGCTGACATGAGTGTGGCATAGTTTTCCTTCCTCTTTTTTTTCAGATGTAAAGTTATATTATCACAGAATCAAACAATTTTCTGACCTAATGACCCTGAAATATTAACATAAAAATACTAATATAATATACGCTGTCATTTATATTGTACAGACAGTATCTAGTCATCTACCCGTGTATATACTCATGGCCAGAAATAGGGTAGTAGTGTGGGTACAGTGTAGTAATGTATTTTCAAACGTAAACACTACATTTTTTACACACACACACACACACACACACACACCAACAATAATGTAATATCCACCACTGAACCCTTGATATAACCTCCCATAAATGATTACAGATTTGAAATTTTGGTGTACGAGAAATTACCTGTTAAGTAATAGTTTGCTTTCTACGGCAGGTGTGTGAGACGTGTGGCTGCCACAAGTGTGATATTGGAGAAGGACCCTTCTAGTTCGTTCACTCCATACCTGCCCCCCACACCATTGTTCTTCCCTTCACACCTGTGTTCCTCCTGTGTCAGTCGCACCTGTGCCTCCCCCAGTTGTATCCTCCACACCTACGATTCTCTACACTAGCGACCCTCAACGCCTGTGAATTGACGTCTAAAGCTAGGATTCCATTTACGCTGTAGCGGTAGCAGTAACGTTTGCGGCAAAAATAGACCACATTGAAATGTACACGGTTGTTTCCATTGCCACGGTTGCGTTAAGGATAGCGTTAGCATTATGCGTTTGCGGTACATGTCAATCGCTCCCTGTAGCGATTGAAAACGCAACAGCATGGAAACAGACTAGGGAATCCCACAGTTACGTCACTATCCCTGTGTTTGCTTTCTTTACCCAGCAAAATGCCTCTAGGAAAAAAAAAACAGTTTTCTGTCGAGGAGACTGAGAAGTTGATTGAACTTGTGCGCCAACATGAGTGTCTTTATGATGTAACTTCTGCACACCTACAAGGATGTACAACTGGCCCAAACTACAGGAAGAGCATCGCTGATATGGGAAGGGAAGATTTGGATGGTATCAACACTCATTCAAATAGCCTACACACACACACCATGCACGTTTATTGTTACTGGTACTCCACCCAGTACCTTACAGACTTAATAAAGCATGTATCCTTGTATGAAAAACAAATTAAGATATGACCAGGAATAATAGGTCATTTAGTATAGCCTATAGAGGGGTGTGTTCCTTCCCACGCATGGATTTTCAGATCTCCCCCCTGTAAGAGGATCTGCACACACACGTTAGACAACTTAATCAGTGTGATAATATGAGCGTAAAGGCAGCTGTGAAATTAAGAGACACCGAGGAATAATAGGTCACTCAGTATAGCCTAGTAAGTGACAGATGTAGTATTATAGATTTTCAGACTTCTCCCCTTCACAAGGTTCTCCCACACATCAGACAATGTATTTAGTAGTCAGTGTGACAATAAGTCAATCCAATAATTACCAAACATTTTTATTTCTTATCACCTGAGTATTGTAGGCTCCATATTTGGTCCTATTCAGAAGCAATCTATGAACCCACCATCTATGTTTCCTTGTCCGTTTTTCCACGCATCGTAGTTTCGATGCACTGAGAGCCATTTTCCCTGTCCTGTTCCCGCTAACAGAAAGACAGCTGCATGCAAATGGAAACGGGTGTCCGTTTTTCAGGGCAATTTAACGCAAACGCATATATGGAATCCTAGCTTAAGTATGTGGGTACTTCAACAGACCACTAAGGAGCGGGGAGAGGAGGGGTGATGGGGTGATGTGCCTTAACATCTCAGAGTATAACAGTTATTATATTTATACGAATATTTAAAGAGTATACACTACATCCAGCAGAAAATGTGAACTTTTGCTTAGGACTACTTGAAATTTTGTTTTTGTAGATTTTTTTATGCGTTTCATAAGTAAATTTATATTCTGAAGCGATTTAATATGGACAATAATAAAACTGTTAATTGTCCTGGAGTTTACTACGCAATTCAAATCACGATTATTTGGGCAATAATGAGTTTTTCAAATCCAAATTAATGCTGTTGAATTCACAGTTGAAACAGAGACAACAGACTGGAAAAATGCTTGTGTATATCTTGTCATTGTCAATATAATAATAAATAAAGAATAACTGATAACATTGTTTTATTATCTTAAACTAGATGAACAAAAGAATGAGTGGGACAAGCGTTGTGGGGTCGTTAGAGAATACTATACAGAAAATCGCTAAGACACCAATATCTGGTACACGTTTTTAAAATGAACTACAAAACTTCTGCACTGCTGTGAACTGATGTGGAAGCCAGGGTTGGGACTCACGTATGGTCGTACGATGTATATTTCTTGTATCTGGAGAAGTAACAATGCGCCTAACTTAATTAACTTTATCTACCCTAACAGTATCCAAAAATATTGTATCATCAAAACTGTACTGAGACCACCGTGATTACATCAAGAGTCCCTGAACGTGACCTCTACCCCAAGAATTGGATCCTGTTTTTAGTCCTTGCTATACCCTACCCAACACCGTCATTGTCACCATGAAACTCATGATGTTATCCTCCACAATTTGCTGACCATGCCATTGCCACTACTGAGCGTTCGTTCAGCACTTCACCTACATACAGGTGACTGATCAACGACTCACCAGCCTCACACACACAGGAAAAAGGAAATATCGAAGCACCTTAGCTTTTGTCTTTATACAAGACATCTTCAGAAGCAACTGAATTTACATGTGAGACACATGGTAGTTATAATAGAGATTACAGACGCTCAATGGCACATGTCATGTAAAGAAACATTTGTGGGAGACCTGATTGTGAAGTTTACAGGTATGGAGGGCCGCTGGTGTGATGTTACACTAGAAGTGATCGTCTCCAGTGTCACTCTTGTGGCAGCCACACGTCCCACACAGCTGCCAAGGGAGATATAGAGCATTATATAAAGCTTCACTTAGACATCAAGATTTTTCTTTACCTTGTTATGGCGATGTGTGTTGTTTTCAGAAATCAGGAAAACATATATCAACTGTGCGAAAGGAAATGTCATTTAAAGGTCAAAATGATGTAAAACAATTTTTTGATGAATATATTAATGATTTAAGGGGGCGCCGGTGGTAGAAGCGGTACCGCTCTTGCCTCGCAAGCAAGATTGTAGTGGATACTCTCCCCTACAAACTGACAAGCTTAGCCGAATACCATAGCGACAGAGTTCAGCCAACCGGCGAGGTTCTAATGGGGGGGGGTCGCCACCTGCGACGCTTGCATCCGGTCTTACTTCCGGTGGCCGAGTATATAAGCTCTCAGTCTCGCCATTGAAGTCCATTCTAGTTACAGCCCTGCAACACGCAACACCTCCTCTGAGCAAGCTCCTCGCTGACCAGCTCTCTCTCTCTTTTCCACGCTCCCGCACCAACAAGACCTCTCAACGAGCTCCTCATCCAACACCTCCTCTCAGCAAGCTCCTAGCCACGCAGCAACTTCCCAGCACCAAACTGCACTGCACATTCAATGCATTTATATACAGAAAACGCATTGTCAGTTTCCTTTCTCCAACCCATCCTGAGTGTGAGACCACATCACGAAACCCCACAATGTCACGGGTTCGATTCCCGGGCCGGTGGAAAGTTGTTTGGACATACTTCCTAGACCCAATTGGTCCCTGTTCACCTAGCAGTAAAGTAGGTACCTGTTGTAAATCGAAAGTTGCGAATTCGTATTCAGGGAAAGTTGTTGGAGCTTCCAATAACTTGATGACAAAAACGATTGACTCTTCAGGCTTCTACGCCCTTGACCCTTCAGGCTTCTACGCCCTTAACTCATGAGACATAAAGGCAAGCATGAACTTAGCATGCTTCCCTGTTGGGCACTGTAAACGCTTCTGCGCTTCACCTTACACAGGATGTAGGGGGGTGCCCAATAATAAAAAATATGATTTAAATCCTAACAAGACAACAGCTTATTTTAAACATTCTAATCAGGGTGGACACATTTATCTTTTTCAAGACATGATGGTTGGTTTACCTGGAGTATTGATCCAGTACAGCCGGTGAGATTACATAGGTCCCAGTCACTCCTGAAGGTGGGTACCTGGATGCCACTCCACAAGTCGGTACCGGGGTCGCTCATCCAATCCTCCCCGCCCTCCTCCTGCAGCTCCACCAGGTTCATCCACGTCTTTAAGTTCTTGTTTGCGCTGCCTGTGACACAACTACAACATTATATTGAAAAATACTTCGTAATATCCAGATATTGTATAAGGGTTTAGTATCTAACGTGGCGTAATATCTGCTACCATTCAGAGATGAAGTATTTGTTGTTTACTCAAATTGGGAAGAAATTTGTGACTGCGGAACATAAACATGGGAAGAGGTTCAAGAGGGAGCGTTACCAGTGTTGCGGAAGTCCTCGTAGTAGCAGCAGGTGCCAGTACCACCGTCGTCATGGTAGGTGCCGTGGTTGGTCTTGCCCACGTAGGCCACTGGATGAGTGGTGTCGTAGGTCTCGTAGTGACCGGGAATCCTCGTGTACCAGCCCCACTTCTGGCCAAACCTCACCTCATGTAGGTGCGGCAGGAGTTCCCAATCACGAACCTGTTGACAGCCCGCGTCACATCATGTCTTACTGATAATCAATATATTTACTCCTCCAAAAAAACTTTAAGCTCAAGACTCTTACATGTGTTTAGTCTGGGTTCGGACCGTCCACCAAAGTCACTTGATTTCTACAGTTTATTTCCGTGACCAGTTAAACACAGAAACCGCACCAGATCTCCAACACCAAGGTTAATTTTCCCCCAAATAATCTCAGTTGCTCCAAGGTCAACTAACCGTTACAAGGACTAACACAGTAACACAGAAAAAAAACTCACCTTGATGACGATAAACTCCCACCAGGCGTTCCTCTCCCCGGAGCAGCAGTCACAGTCGTGGTTATAGCCATAGAAGTTCCAGTAAGCTGCGGGACACAAGAACAAACTCGGCAAAAAGACACGGGCGCCTCCCTACTACCACACACATCCTCAGCTTCACTATCATTGCTATGACATATATTGAGGAAAATAAACAACGGTATATCAACAGTTAATATTAGAGATGTCGCTGACCTATGTGGAGGTGGTAACCGCAGGTCTGGGCGTGCCAGTAGGTGGGAACGTCACCGTTGACCAGCGAGTTGTAGTCTGTGTTGCACTTCCTTCCCCAGTCTCCAACCAACCGCGCCCCGTAGTACTCGGCGGCGTCTTGCGGGAAACAGAGATTACTGTTGCCCTCCTGATGGTTCAACACACAGCAGTTAGGTCACGCCAGGCAGCTGTGACACCACCACTCCAAGTTATAATGACACACAATACCACTATCAAAGAAGTTCACTACAGCACCTTGACACTACATAAGCACTAAATCCAAATGTTTCATCAAAATGTTAACTTTTGGGTCCGGATAAGTGCCTCCTAGCCTGGACAAAACCCCTTCAGTTAAAGTGGAAATTTGGGCAAAAGTCCCTCATGTATGGTGCAAAATAGATTATGTTGTGTTGTGTTATGTCATGTTATGTTATGTTTGTTAGGTTAGGTATTTTAGTTTAATGACATAATATATGTAATATTTTACATGTCAGAGAAATGTTCATAAACTGTAAATAATAAAGAATAAAAATAATGATTAAATTTTTTTTTGTCCTAGGGGGCTTTTGTCCAAGGGGGTTTTGTCCAAAGGGCTTTTATCCAAGGAGGCTTTTGTCTGGGGGGCTTTTGTCCTACACTCATTATCTTTCTGTCAATACAGGGACTCAGGCCTTCGTTAGGTATGTTATTTGGTTTTAATCAAGCAAGGTTTAAATTTTGTTTATGTTTGTATTCACATGTTGAATTCCCATCGTAATGTCGACACTTGAGAAAGTATTTGTTAGACCTCCAGATGTTCCCAAGGTTATCACACACACACACACACACACACGCGCTGTTGGAGGGGTGGGGGGGGTGAGGGGTGGGAGGGAGGGGGGGTTGACAGTTGCTGCTCCAAATAACTCTGGAAAAATTATTACGTTTGAAGTTATATCTATTGGGGACGTAATAAAAAAATCTTACCTCTCGCGATAAACTTAGTCACAGAAAATTTAATGTTTTAAGAATGATGATTGCAGCTCGTGTTAGAATAAAGTTTTATCCTATTTGATACTCTCAATGTCACTTCAGATATTTCAAGGTCACAGTACAAGAATATTCCCTCACCTTTTGGTCGAAGCGCAGGTAGGGGGCATAGTCATGGGCGAACTGTGTGAAGTCCTGGGCCAAACCTGTTGATGTAGGGGACATTAGTACATATAGCAAAAGTACTTGTACTGACATGTCTGTGACAGGGGCCACCTGACACTCCTCTGGCAGGGGCCACCTGACACTCCTCTGGCAGGGGTCACATCACACACTTCTGGTAGAGATCACCTGATACATCTGTGGCAGGGGTCACCTGACACACATCTGGCAGAGGTCACCTGACACACATGTGGCAGGGGTCACCTGACACACCTGTGGCAGGGGTCACCTGACACTCCTCTGGCAGGGGTCACCTGACACTCCTCTGGCAGGGGTCACCTGACACACCTCTGGCAGAGGTCACCTGACACACATGTGGCAGGGGTCACCTGACACACCTGTGGCAGGGGCCACCTGACACTCCTCTGGCACGGGTCACATCACACACTTCTGGAAGAGATCACCTGATACATCTGTGGCAGGGGTCACCTGACACACCTCTGACAGAGGTCACCTGACATACATGTGGCAGGGGTCACCTGACACACCTGTGGCAGGGGTCACCTGACACCTATGGGGTATGGCATGGGTAACCTAACACAGCTGGGGTGGGGTCACATTATACACAGGTAACGAGAACGAACACTTGGATCGCCTGTAAGAGGGGGAACCCGCCACAAATATTCTCAAGATGGTAGACGCCTGATAAAGATATGACAGTACTAGAGGTCGTGTACTCCCACCAAGATACGTCCATTGCATTTGTGATATGCATTTACACCAAGCGAAACAAACATATGTATAATACAACATAGTCCATTAAACGAAATAATCAAAGATGAATTACATATTCTCCCCCAAATACACAATTCAACATGGCAAAGATATTCACTCGTGCAGAGAATGTTCCCATACATGAAGATGGCGAGTTAAGTAAGAAAGGCGTACCTCCCACCCAAACTGGGAATCACCCTCAACAGCACCAGTCATCTTAATTCTGTTCGTTGTAGCACTTGTGAATACGTTACCCCCCACTAGTATAATTTTCTTTGACCTTCCCTTTTCACACCTCAGTGACCCTGAGTTTTTGCTGTTCCTTAATCAGTACCAATATTCCTACACTGATGATGTCGTTCCCTTAGATGTACTGGGCCGTATGTGTTACGGCGCGTAACACATGGTGTCGACACAATACCCCCTTATATTGACTCGGATGCCTTTCTACAAAACTCACAGTGTTATACCAACCCCAACTGTAACTATTACTTTCCTGACTCTCCTGATTTTAGCTCTATTCTCCCACTGCCTTATTCCTCCTTAATTAGCCATAACACCAACAGTATTCCCCTTCACTTAGATACCTTTGTAGGTCAACGTATATTTTTTTGCCCACAAATTTGATGTACTTGGGTTCTGTGAGACCAAACTCACAAACGATATTAAACATTTGTATAATATTCCTAATTATACCAGACACTGCGTCAATACGTCACAACACTTCTGTAAGAGATGATTTAAAAGTTCAGGGGGAGTGCATGGGGAGTGTTTTCACTGAATTTCGTGACGACTCATGAAATATCCTAGTAGGAATAATCTACAGAAGACCCCGCACTAATGTAAGGAACTTTCTTGACAAATTATCGGAGTTATCTCAATCATAAGTTCAGAGAGGAAACTTTGCTACGTTACAGGAGATTTCAACCTTGATTTACAAAATCCTAGACGGACACCTCAGTAATAGACCTTCTTGCTACCTGTCATTCTAAGCTCTTCTTCAACAATATAACCAAACCCACTAGAGTAACTGCCACCTCTGCCAACTCATTCGCAGACGATAGTAATCTCTATGCCAGCAACACAGATCTCCATTCCTTGACGAGAACTATGAACACTGAATTGACTAACGTCAGGACCTGGTAATACGTAATAAACTGACCTTAAACCTCGAAAAAACCCACTACACGATCTTTCACAGAAGGAAAACTTTCCCCCAGATTTGGATCCATGTACTTTGGTAATACAGTCCTCAAACGTGAACAAAATACTAAATTCCTTGGGACTATTGTTAATGAGAAACTAAGCTGGAGAAACCACAAACAAGCCATTCACAGTAAAGTCAATAAATAGTGCGGTATCATGTATCACACTCGACAGTTACTCTTACAGCAATGAAAGAAATCTATTATGATCTTGTTTACCATCACTTGATGCACTGTCACATACTATGGGGGGCCTCTGGTTCTACAAAAACACAACCCCTGATTACTGCACAGGAGAGAGTTGTGCGGACAATGACCTACTTGAAAAAAATTATCACACTAACGAACAATTTGCTAAATAGAAAATTTTTTAAATTAGAAAATATTGACACAACTGTTGTGCCCTCTTTGTTTACAAATCTGTCAATCACTTGATTGACAATAATTATTTCCAGTTCCTGAAAAATCAGAGATACAACTTAAGACACCCAGAGCTACTAAGACCAACCCCCATGCGCTCCTCTCAGTCCCAGACCTCCATAAAATATCATGGTGTGAAGGTGTGGAACAACTTACTCCCACCCATCCGAGCAAAGACTACGTTCCCTTCCTTTAAATCATCTCTAAAAAAATAACTATTGTCTGAGTATTGATATTTTTGTAATACTACTTCATATTCTTACCTTTATTGTACCACCAAAAACATTACATCATAAATTGTCATGTAGATAGATAGAAATTACCATTACAATAATTATATTTGCCGACAAAGCATGATACTGACAGCTTCTGTCCATTTGTTTCATCTTAATACAACCCATGTTGTATAATATCAACTCCACTGTAAAATATGCATATCCTTATTCTATTTTATTTTTTAATTTGTATTATAAAATAAAAATAAATAAATTAAGTAAATAAATAACGAAGTGATAACCGTGGTAACGTCCTGATATGTTCTTACTACCACCATGTTACGTGTACTGTTCCAGATGATATTAAATGTAACATAATACTTCCTTGAGATAAATGTACAGTACAGTATGTATCAGGTGCCTTCAAGAGAGCTCAAGCCCTCAACTGGCTCAGCCATGCCAATATTGTTATTATTATCGACTGTGTATCTGTATTTTTTCTGGCTAAATAAACTGTTTAAATATCATTACGAGAAATGTGGCGAGAGTACCTGGCGCCAGCAGCACCATCAGGCACGCTAAGCTGCCCACCATCCTGGTCTGGCTGCCCTCGCTCGCCATGACTGCCTCCTCACTGGCTCGCCCGTTTTCCCACTGATTGGCTCTAACTCCAGCTACCTTTTTATACAATGACCCACAATCGCTATTATCACACATCCACCCAATTTTACCCCCAAGCTGAGTCAATATCTCGTCATCAAACTATTTAAGTTATGGACACAGAAGGCAAACGTTCTCCTCTTTGGTAGTTCTGTAATAGAACTGGTATTCCCTCTCAGTAATGGTCACAACATATCAAAACCAACATCAACAGAAGTCTCATGAATCATAAGCGCTTAATATATAATACATGTATACCCAAGAGTCCACTATCTTTTATAAGTAGAGCGCCTGTTTCTTACATAGAAGAGCAAGGGCCGATTTAATAGAAGTTTATAAGTACAGTAAAGTACCATACCTTAAAGTACATTACTCAAATGTAGTGGAGTTACCCCACTAGAGGTCACAGCGGCATGTCAAATAAACCAACAATACAGAAAACTGCTAGAGACATGTTGCGTCTCTGTAACAAAGCGTGTTTGGCATTCGGGCCTTCGTTGCAGAAGGATCTCTGTGAGCTCCAGGAATGGTCGAAGAAATGGCTGCTGAGATTCAATGTCACGAAGTGTAAGAGAATGAACCTGAGGCGTACCAACGGTAAGGGGGCGTATCATATGTCCCAACTGGATGAAGAAACTGCATTATTTGAGACTGAATGTGAGAAAGATCTAGGTGTGCATTTTGACAATGAGCTGACGTTCTCGGGCCATTGAGACTGAATGTGAGAAAGATCTAGGTGTGCATGTTGACAATGAGCTGACGTTCTCGGGCCATTGCGAGAAGAAGGTAAATCAGTCAAATAATTTATTGGGTCTTATAAGAAGGTCGTTCAGATATCTAGACGGTCCGTCCCTCGCAACGATCTTCAAGCGTAAAGTGTTTCCCCATCTGGAGTACTGTCACCCCGTCTGGTCCCCGAGATATGCTAGGGACTGTCAGTTGGTTGAAAATGCTGTACTCAAGCGCCAGCTGACCGGTTTTCCAGTAGGAGAGACAATGTTATTTGTAATCATGTTGAGAAGGACTTTTGTACTAAAAATAAGGGTTTTGTAGATCATATAGAAAAAAGAAAACGCGAGGAAAGGGACAGAGAGAAGAATATTCAGTGTCTCAGCAATAGTGGTGACATGCAGGCAGTGGAGAAGCAATACGAGCGCCTGGGGTGCATGAAATATTTATTTTTTCTTAACCGTAATGATAAAATAAGGAAACAAGAGACAGCGAACGACGGTGTATGGAAAATATCCGCTATGTTGGGATCCAGACCAGCGAGAATCCCTCATCCTAGATATTTGGGAACAACAGTTAATGCTGGGCTTCTATTTGGCAAAGGAACATCATAGTTCTTCAGTCACTATGAAAATTTATAATTAATATATAATGGAAACAAATCCACCTAATTGGCTGGACTGTTAACAGTACAGTAAAATAGTAATGTTTGAGGACTATACCTGGTTGTTATCACGAAGCTGTATGTACAATGTAAGACAAAAGTCGTGTCGTGAAATTTGGTGTAAACATATGCTGAAGGGCTAAAGCTTTTGGTCCGCTCTGCCTTGTGGTGGGGCTCTCATAATGTTTCACGAGTTATATTTAATCTTCGGACAAAACCACGACACTACTTTTGTCTTTGATTGTACACAACACTGGTAGTGAAACAACCTATTAATAATATGTAACATTCTCAACATATCACTTTGTATCGGAGAAGTTATTGATTACAAACTGTATAAATTAGGAAAGTTAATTACCTTTTCCTTGGCGTTTCCATACAGCGCTTCCACTGTACCGGCAACCTTTTGTCTCCTATTCAACCCACATCATCAACTCCCCACTTGGCCAAGCAAGAAAGATAATAGGTTGTGAAACTTGGAGGTTAAGCTTCCTTAGTTGGTGGTAAATTGAATTATTTCCGCAGTGAAGGTCTGTTCCTGCCTTCATTACCGCCGCTTTGGAACTGTCCCTTCCCTGTCCGTCTCGACCTGACGATAGATAGTTCGAATCTGCCTCACAATGTCAGACCACATATTCGGTACAGGATCAACCAGTGTATTTGTTTACTAATTTTTATAAATGCGACTCTATACTTCATGGAAAATATATTCATCTATTTAGATGAAACAAATTTTAAAATTCACAAGAATCCTGTAGTAAGGAGAAGCATTTGTTTTTAAGTATGATGTACAGTAGCACCACTACCATAAAGTTTCGGTTATAAATCTGACAAGATGGGTGCCTGGAATTGAGAGGCTTATGGCTTAAAACTGGAACGCGGTGATTCGCGGTCGGTAATCTTTACGGAATGACTGACGCGGTGTTCCGTGTCAATGCAGATATACTGGTAGCTTTTATGAAGACCAAGTTGTCGAGTTAAATTTTGATGGGACCGAATACAGTGCGGTATTGAACTAAAGTACACTTTTTTTTTTTTTTACGTTTTACGAGTTTACAGATGTACCAGTTCTAAGACTAAATATTAGTAACATGGGAAGAACGTACAGTTGTACTGGAGAAGAGGAATGGTTACTGAAACTTTTCTTATCTGGGATGAACACGTAAATATTACCAGGTATATGTCTCTTTATATATAATTTCTGTACAGTAGAAATTTTAGGATTACCAATTTGAGACTGTGATAATTGTGAAGAGTGGCGTGTGGAGCCGTCACTGTGGTTTATACCCACAGTTAATGGAAAAAGAGCAAAGGCTTAAAAGGATGACGAAAACTAGGAGGAAACATGCAGTATACGGCCACTTAGATCATACAACACATGTTTTGATGTTACCAACCATCAACTCCTTACTTGGTGGGAACTTACAGTACGAAATTATCAGAATCCAGCCAAATTAATGGTTTAGTGTCCTTCAGCCCAGCCCAGCCCAGCCCACCAAAGGTAGAGGGACTAAGGTCGCGTGAGATACTATTCACCACAGCTGAGACAATTCTCACCACTTCAAGTGTTTTGTAAGTCTTTATCTGTTTGTTTTTCTCTCAGGTCTATCCATTTCGTTACTTGTATGGGAAGGATTGGGCAAGAAGGTTGTGAAACATGTAATTGACTGCATCTTTAAAGTTTTTAAGACTTCAAAGGGGCCCCGCAGTGGCTGAATTGCACTCTCGGGATGTAGGGCGGCCTTTGACATAAAAAACACCCGGTAAGAATAGCATAGTATTAGTTAAACTGGAAAATCTAGCTACTTCTCTAGTGTATTTTTTCGTAAGATGGCAGGTCAATGGGTAAAGAAATCGCTTAAATTCGCTATGATAATGATATTTTTAAATAAACGTGGCCAAACAGTGTAAAAAATAAGGGTTAAAGTTGCTAAAAAGTTACGTAACTGCAAAAAGCTCTGTGATTGGTTGTGACGTCACGGGTTGGCTAGAGCCCAAAGACTATATAGTCTTTGGCTTAAGAGGCAAGCAGTTCCCTCCGAGAAGACCCATATTCCCACTAGCAGACATACTCAAACTGATGAGAAGAAATATACCAGCATATTTTCTGGGTGACCTAAATGCACGACACCGCGTCTTGGGGCACCAGGATATCAACGCCGTGGGGCAGATTTTAAACACATTACTGAGTCACGGCAACGCAATACACCTTGGCCCGGAATTCCCCACATACATCAGAGCAGGTCACATCGGACATCCAGACTTCTGTAGGAACACCGAACAACAAGTAACCAATCACAGGACACTCACAACCCACATCTGGCAACCAAGTCCCAACATAGACATAAACACTCTTGACGATCTTTCCACACTGATCAAACCAATCACCGCAGAGGAAATACACAAAACAATAAACAGTTTCAAGAACAAGGTCCCGGGCATCAGTAAAATAAACAAACCCATACTCCAGCATCTACCAATCAACATGATACTCCAACTCAGAAACATTTTTAATGCATCACTCGCCTCTGGCTACTTCCCAAGGAAATTTAAAACAGAAAGCATCAGACTTATACCAAAACAAGGTAAATCCCCAACTCAAGTATCCAATCACAGACCAATTTCTCTTCTAGAAACACCGGGAAAAGGTCTAGAAAAAAATCATTAACCACCGACTGAGAGTACACCTCGAACTTGAAGAGAAATACAACCCCAGGCAGCACGGATTTAGAAAACACAGAGGAACCCATACAGCCTTAGCCCTAATTTACGAAAACATAGCAAACGCAATGCACAACAGTTATCATTGTAACGTAGCATTAAGGACGTAGCAAAAGCATTCGACAAGGTCTGGCACTTAGGGCTCAAATACAAAATTACCACCCAGGAACTTCCCAACAACTTTACTTCCTTCTTTGTAGCTTCCTTGGCAACAGAGAAAGACACTCTCAAGACTTACCTGAACGTGGCATTTGGGGTGTGAAGAGGCCACCCTTTCTACTACCACCGACTGCAGCGGTGAGTTTGTTGGAGAACGTCTTCTGCTGGGAAACTGGTGACGTCATTGCAAATAGCGGTCCTGTTTCTAGAGAAATAAACTTATCTCAACTATTATAGCAGGACTTTAAACTTTTATTACAAATTATATACACCGTATCACTCTACGAACGTGGCAGAGTGTATTTCTTGTGTTTACTCAGAACCGACAACTCGTCCATTCTGGGCCATAAAGGTCGAGTTATAGATACAGTTGTTAATAAATATGTTTATAGGTTCACGGCTGAATAGCCTGGCTGTCTATGTGCCAGGCTATTCAACCGGTGACAGTTTGTGGGCTCACGGCTGAACAGCCAGGCTATTCAACAGGGGACGCCTGAATCGCCACTGCCATTATATTTAGTGAGTCTGAGTGAGGGTCTTTGTCAAAATTTATCCTTTATTTACATTCACTGTTCCATCATAATATGTTCTAAAATATTTAAGTGAGGTAAATGTGTCTTGACATCGTGTTCTAGTTACTAATGGCTGACATTTCCTGACTGTCAGGGTAACTGCTGTCGTGCAAGACCTGGGTGGCGCATTTGGATCATTCTATTTAGCCTGTCTGTTCGTCTAATTGTAATTATATCAATTTAATAATGGATGAAATAGTATATAAAAACACAGCACAAAGAACGCCCTCGCGGATAATCTTGCCTGACCGTCATGTTTAAAATTATACCTTAACAAGAAAAGTACATATTCTTGAGCGGCTAGTAATTTCTCTAACCATCACAAGCGAAGACGTCCCACACATCTCTGTCCTGGCCGCTATAGGAGCTGGTAAAGCGATGTTTACCAGAGTGTCTCGCTTGTCTCACCACTAAACACTGCGTCTTTAGAAATATTCCGAGGTGTTTCTCCTGGTGTTATTGACTTCATGTCAGGTCCGTCTTGGATGATATGTGTTGTGAAGATCTTTTCCCCCGTTTAAATGTAATGGATATATCTTACTGTGCATAAATGAAGACGATTCTTCTTCCAGAGGAAAACTTCCATCTAAGTGATATCACTCTGACCAGTAGGACGAGAAACTGAACTCTACGACAAGTTGGCAAATTACCTTTGGAATAAATAGGCAACCACCCATTGGGGAGAGACTGAGCACTAAGACATGGGCAGCTGACCAATAGAAATACAGACGACAGTCCATATTCCGGGGTATAGGGACCGGCCCCATCAAGACCAACTACACAGAGGGTCGCTGTACATCGCTGAGTTTACCCGCTTCAGTCCAGCCGCGACTGCTCCTTCACCACCAACACCTCGAAGTTCTTAGTCTCCAAGAACACCTGAAGCACTTATGTGTCTTGAGACTTTGAATATAGTATACAACTGCTTATCTGAAATCTAAGACGTATATACAATCAGACTTTTAAAACGCAGAGTCCACCTAGAACCCATAAAGCGTAGTCTGTCTTAGAATCCCGGAATACTGTCAACATAGAGTCTTCGAAAACTGACTTAGGAGCCCCAAAATTTTATTTTCTTGGATCCCTGAAAAAATCTTTGATCTCAAAGCCTCGAAGCGCTGTTCACCTGAAGGCTTCGATTATTGTTTATCCAAAGTACAACAAGTGTTTGAAATCTTAACTCTGTGTACGTGAGTGCAGGTGTGTGCGTCTTCCTCCTAGTCTTAATCACGTCTTGAATGATAAGTTATGCAAAAGAAGTATGATGGTATATTCAAGTATATTCCTTTAATTGATTAAGGAATATACGTACACACAATCCCTTATTAAAGGCATACGTTTGCAAATACTCCCAAACACATGTACAGTACATACCGGGGCTAAGGTCAAATGCGTATTATATTTGTTGATTTTATCTAAACAATTTGAATTTCTATTTGCCAAATAACATTTGTAAGTGTGTATTTCTAACTGTATTTGACCATTCCAAAGTTACATAGTTGTATTTGTAGTTTACAAAATACATCTGACCCCAGCCCTGGTACATACTTTCAATTATACAAGGAATGCATACACACTCACACACACGTTTAGATCATCGATTAGTAAAGGCGTAAACACACACACACACACACACACTGGTACGGTCATCTCCCCTTTCCCTCAATATTTGTTTCAGTTACCCATTGTATTTAGTTTTTATTGTGTCCCAATTTTCTTTAGAATCTAAATTAAATACTTAAAAATGTATTGATTGTTTTTATATTAGTATGTATAATAGTATTTGCTTGATTATGTAGAATCTCTTTTTATTTTTCGTACAGTTATAAAAGACTGTAAGAAAGAGAAGTGAAGTATAAGAAAAATTAGAAGTTATATGTTGATGAAACATGAAAGTATTGGATTTTTTTTGTTTTGGCGACGCTCTCTCTCTGTCACTAGGTTGAAGAGGTTACGAGGGTCAAGCTTGTGTGGTGCGTATTTATCTCTTATTATCTGGGCAATCATGGATAATTATGGTGTTAACTAAAGTGTAATATGTTCATTATAGTCTAAAGATTATTGTAGTAGTGAGATAGCATTGTTTTTGGTGGAGATAACATTATTTTGAGTGAATTGATTTGTGGCCTTTTTGTATGTGCATGGATGGAGAGCGCATATTAATTATGTTTTGTTGTTAAATATACAGGGTATCCATAAGTGATTACCCTAAAAACAGTATGTTAGCATGCTTTAATCAGGGTAATCATTTATGGACACCCTGTATTGTGTTGTATTGTTTAAAGCTGTTTTGATTAAACCAGTTTTAGTGGGAACAGTGGTATTAAAATAAACACTTGTCAGCAGTCAAGAGAGTGTTAGTCAGAAATAAGGTAAGGTTTGTGTTTAACATGAATCTCTGTTAGCAGAAGCTGTTATTTCAGTCTCCCCCGATACAATGGGCCTGTGGGCTGACTATACATCTTCTAGTGAGTTCTAGAAGAGGGTGTGAAGGTTGTAACAGTAATAAATATTCTTCACTAAATATATTAGACTAGTAATTTATCCACTTTCTTCAGGTCACTGCTCACAAACGTAACCCACGATGATTGGTGTTATGACGATGACGACGATGATGGTGGCAGTTTCTCTGAAAGGTGTGACTTCCATGAAAATGGGATTCTTTAGTAAGGTAAGTTATGAATACTGAAGATTATAAAGATGAAAGTTGCAGTACTGCCAAGTAGTAGTAGTTGTTCCCTTAAGCCGACAACAGTCGCAGATATTGACTGTGGGGAGCAACAGGCACTGAATGCCGCATAGATCTGCAGCTTAACTAACTCAACACAGCTAGGGCAGCTACTTTTGTAATGGGATATTTAATATCAAGGTAATAAAATGGTGGAGAAGGTATGGCTATAAGTGGAGGTTGGGGGCCATATAGTGTATTAAAAAATTAGTATTAGTAGTTGAGTAGTAGAAACAGCAGCCCAAAAGCGACGTAGTGGCCTGAATGAGATGTCTCCTATCCTCCTCTCTGCCCAGGTCTACTCTGCAATGCCTCACGGGTGCAAGTTCATTGGCCCCTAAATCAACAACAACAGTCGCATACATAGACTAAGGTAACAGTCACGGAATGCTGCAAAGATCTGCGGCTCAACAAACTAAACTAGGGTTGATACTTTTGTATCAGGATAGTTAAGGAATAAAATGGTGAAGGTGTGGCAGTGAAAGAAGGGTTGAGGCCATATTGATAAAAAACCTATATATTAGTGGAAGTAGTATTAGTAGTCAACGTACTCAACCGTAAGGCTACATTGCACAGTGTCAAGATCAAGTGTCCAAGCTTTGCAAAATGTGTGGAAAATACCTACAGGAACCAGACAGACGTCTATATATAACAAGCTTCAGGGCTTTATAGTGGGGCAGCTAAATGCAATTTTTCAAGAGAATCGTGCAAATGATGATACAAACACCAAATTTGGCATGGTAATTCTCTAATGGTTACTAGTCAAGTCTGCCTGATTGGCTATTTGAAAATCCAAGATGGCGGCCATTTTTCAAGATGGCCGCCATATTGACCTTCAAAAACTGATTTTTCTTATAGAAGTTGATGTAGTTGGTCAATCTGAGTGATCTTGGTGTCGATATGTATGTTTTCAAGCACGCCCACGTGATTTTTTTTTAGTTTTAAGTCCATTGTAACATTTTTATCCACATAAAATAACACTTTTAGTAAAAAAAAAATAATATAAAAGAACTTACAAAAAAAAAAGTACTCACTATTAGCACAGGTTCCTGTGACTTCTCCTGACAGTACATCTTTGTGCATTTACTGCTGTTCACATATGCAGCTGCAAAGTGCTGTGCAGGAAGGTCCAGAGCGAAAGCATTTGCATCTCTGGTTGCAGTCTTTCTTACAGGAACATTTGGTCAGCTCCTGACAGCATGTCGCAATCGGGGGAAGAGTCGTCCAAGGTATCTGCCATGCCTCTCCCTTCTGCGTCCATCCCCAGTTGACAGGACTGCTGGTTTCTGGATTGGAGATTGTTGCCTGGCCCCAGATGATACCAGCCTGGTAGGCAGCCCGCTTTGCATGTTTCTTGAGGGCTGCCTGGGTTGGTGGAATGGATTCATATGGTCTCTGCTTGCGGAAAAAGACATTTAGTCTTGCCCCATCTACACCAGTGGCTGCACTAGATCTGTCGTACATGAGGGCAACAAATCTTTCCAGCTTCTGCAGGTCAATATCAGCAACTGTTGTTGGACATTGGCTGAGTTTGGTGAATGTTTCTGAAACTTCATCACAGACATTCCATGTCTGCCATGCAGATTTCTTTCCTTTCCCACGGAAGCCAGACACAACGTCACAGCCAGTGAAAGCATGAAAGTATAGGATCCCACTAGCTTTCTTAGGCCCTATCGCAGAAACTTCATCATGAACTGGAATCCATCGGTGACTGGCTCCTTGGCCAAAGGCAATCCACATGTTATCAAGACCAAGCTCCTGTAGTGATGGCAGTACAGATATTGCTATGACGACCACGTCAGTGTCATCGGCTTTGATGATGAGGGACTTGCTACCTTCCATTGCTGCATCCCTAGCATGCACAAATATTCGTGTGCTCACCCCTCCCCTGTGTCCCACCACTTTTTGTATAGCACTCGACGCCGCTGTCTGGTATAGCCCCCCTATCGAGGAAACTCTGGCATCACCCCAGGTTGTGACATAGTTGCATAATTGTTTCTCTACCATTTGGTTGCACCCTTGCACGTAAGTACAGTCCACAAACAAAGTCCATTTTTTTTACTGTAAATAAACTTTATACTGTATAAACAAAATATCGCATTTCTACAGTACAGTAGTTCCATATTCTATTCGACTTGTAAACATATTAGATTAAAGCTAGGATTCCATTCACGCGTTAGCCGTTGCGTTAGCGTTAGCGCCAAAAAATAGATCTCACTGAAATGTACACGGTTGTTTCCATTGGCACGGTTGCGTTAGCATTATGAGTTTACTGTCCATGCCAATCGCTCCCTGTAGCGATTGAAAACGCAATCGCACTGCAAGCGCGAAAATGGAATCCTAACTTAAGCCATCAAGGTCATGATAGTGTCACCACATAGAATTCACTGTACTGTACACAGTTACCTGAATGTTTACTCTTATTAGGGTGTTTGTGTAGGTTTTCTGCCCCTTTTTTTTAATTCTAACAAATGTAATGATGTTTTCACAGGTATATGTGGCTGAATCAATATCGGAGTGTCATCTGGGTGTTGTGAATGTCACTACTAGGCTAGCGTGTGCGAACCGTTGCCTCCAGACACAGCAATGTACTCTATTCTGCCTCAAAAGTTAGTAACCCAGTGGACTCTGAGTTTTAATCTTTTGTAATAATATTACAAAAATAATGCTATAGTAATATTAAATGAATGAAATTGATGATTTTAATGATTAATGATAATAATCTTACTGCAGAAATATACAAGACATAAAGTAACAAAAACAATGACTCACTTAAGCAAACAATTCTTATTTTACAGCACATTACATAACTGACGTTAAAATCACTTTTACTGTGTCGAATCTCGAAGCCAGCACCAGCCAAAATATATCCTTAGGCTGGTGGCTGAGTGGTTATTGTTACGTGATATAAGTTTAAATGAAACGCGCTACACATCCCGATGTTCTTTTGTCATTGTTTGGCCAAACATGTCAGACCTACAAATAGAGTCCTTAAGACCTAGAACCAAGGCGGTCAGGTTCCAGTTGGTGTATGCACTAGGAATTTGTACGACTCTGTAACTGGTCAGAATATCCAATTGATTTAATTGTCTTTAAAGAGAATCTTACACCACTTTTAGGGATGAATGCTCGTCAACAGATGTGATTGGTGGAAGTAAAGGAGGGCAACTTTGAGCGAGTGTACAATATGAAACTAGAAGATGAGTATTTGGGTGTGATGAAGGGCTCTCTTGGAACCCTCCCTGGTGTACAGTCCCTCAGAGTTGACCCAAATATTAAACCTGTAATTATGCCTGACAGAAGCATGCCAATTTCCATGAAGCCTAAACTAAAGGCAGAACTAGAGACTCTAGTCAAGCTGGGTGTAATTATACCTGTAGATGAACCAACCCCCTTGGGTGAGTCAAGTTGGTGAGTCCCAAAAAGTATGGGAAAGTCAGAGTTTGCATAGACCCAAGAGAGCTGAATAAGTCCCTTCAGAGAGAACTCTATACACTTCCTATTCTTAAGGACACCCTTCATGAATTGGGCCAGTCTAGAATATTCCCAAGGGTCGACTTGGCATCTGGCTATTGGCATGTGAGGCTTGATACTCGAAGTTACTTGACCACATTCCAAACATGTCATGGTGGATTCATGTGGCTGCGCCTATCTTTTGGACTGAATGTATCCTCATAAATTTTTCAGAAGCGATTACTTGAGGCACTAGCTGGTATGAAGGTAATTGTCTGCATTGCTAACGATGTCATTATACATTGGGCCAACACAACAGAACATGATGCAACCTAGAAAGTTTTTTTCAAATGTTGTATAGAGAATAATATCCACCTTAACACAGACAAGATTGAGTTGCGGAGTGACGCTTTAACGTTCATAGGACATCAAATAAGCATAGAAGGTCTTCAACCTGATCCTGAAAAAGTTAAGGTAATTAAGAATTTCCCAACTCTAGAATCTGAAACTAACCTCAGGCGGAATGGTCCGTCAAACTTGGGTGAAAGCTTGGACTTTCATTCAGGTTCTCGCACTATAGCGGTTTCGCCTATTTCTAGCATGACAGGCTTAGCTTGTTTATGTTGCTTGTATATCATTTCAGCGTGTGACGCTGCTAAATGTTTTCGTACTTGGCCATGAATATCCGTGAATACGTTGATTTGCCTGGCAGCGAAATCGTCCACATTATAGACTGGGCATGGCCTGTCTGTAAGTACGTCATACGGTAGACGTTTGTCTGTGCCGTAAACAATTAGTAGGGTGATTTGCCTGTAGAGCTGTTGATCGACCTATTAATAGATGCGGGGACTTGCGGTAATCAATCTTCCCATGCACAGTGCATTTGACTCACTATTGGACGAAGAATCTCTAGGGCGAAGAGAGATGGCTATTGCAGAACAAGAAGAGTACTGTGTCAGAGAGACACCAGGACCATAGATCGCTGAGACCGCTTTCAGTCTGCGAGGCGGTCAGGATGCAGCCCATTGACAACAAGACGCAAGAGTGGAAGGGGGCTACAGTCACCAAGAAGATCAAAAACAGAACCTATGAAGTCGAGACGGAAGAAGGCAAAAAGTACAGAAGGAATCGGCAGTGTATACGACCCACAAGAGTTAGAAGAAAAGAAGACATTAATCCTGCCATAGTCAATAAACCTCAAAGAAGCCTAGAACCTGAAATCCAGGAGGAGCTTGAGGGGAAACCAGTAGAGTCTGAATATGGTTCAACTCCCATAGCAGAACACTTTAAAGTAGAAGGAAAATACAGGACTAGAACTGGACGTGAGGTGACTGCCCCTAGGAGACTAGACCTCTAGTTTGACTTTATCAATGGGACTTATCTACCTGCTCATAGTGACTCTGAGGTCTAATCTGAAAGCTCTAACTGTAGGTTCTGTAAACTATATACTTAGCATTGTCTTGGAGCAAAACAAAGATAAAAAAAAACAATAGAAAATATGAAGCGGTCTGGTTGAGCCCAGATTCTTTATACTCCTACTGTATTTCAGTTTCACCACTTTTCTTCAATCCTTGATAATCTTCTTTCACCTCATAACTCATGACTCCAAAGCCAAGCATTGTCTTGTATTATTGTGAGTGTGTTTTTGTAACCTTCAATAAAATCACTACCTATGTTACTTAAAGAAAGATTCCTTGATTTTTAACCTTAAGCACATTCATTAATACTGATATACTGAAGTATCGAACAAAAGATTTTCTAATTTTTATTATTATCTTTCATTTTTAAATTTGTGTTTTTTGTTTTTTTTAGTTTGTTAGTTTATTTTTACCTTGAGGGGAAGGATGTTACGTGAGGCTAGATTAAATGAAGCGGCTGCGCATCCCGATGTTCTTTTGTTATTGTTTTTTAGAGAGGCACGTGGCCGCCAAGTAAACAGAAGGACTATTCTCTCCATGTATTATTATTACGATACAATTACCATTGCCGTGCCTGCTCGACACGTAACAGTTATTGTGCTGGGATTGTCGTCTTGTTAGCCCTGGGGGTAAATTTGCATAAGCGCACCCCACTCTGTTAGAAAGTCAAAAATATATTTTTCTAGTGTATTTGTCTGTGTTTAGACCGAATAGGACCTTCATTTCCGTCGGAAATTGGTCGGGTTTTTTTATCGAATTTTTTCGTGAGACGTTTTCCGAAAAAAAAATAATGGCTAAGCGAATACAAAATACACCAAAAAACACTAGAAAACATAAACCAAACCTAACCTAACCTAACTGACTCTCACCATATGATGGAATTACCTATTTCTTACCTTATTGCCGTCTCTTCTTTATCTTTGGGATAAGGGACGAGTTAGGACAACGCCACATATGTTGGATTTTTGAGATATTTACATTCAGTCTTGCACTTACGACACTTTACTGAGGTCGGAAGAACACCATGCGATCGAAAACATGCTGTAGCTTCTTCGTTTGTTTCCCAAAAACTCACAATCAGCTCCATATAATTTAAGTGACACCCATCACAGACTTCCATGGTCGGAAATGAATATGAATTTGGAAATATGAGAGACCCAAAATAAAAATCGATTTTGATTGGGCCAAAAATACCGCGAATTAAAACCAAAAATCATTTTAATTGGTTGCAAAAAAAAACGCTTTTGATTGGCCCCGTGACGTGTATGGGAACGCATGCGCATGATGATTTATGAAGGAGACACGCAGTGTGGGAGGTGAGGTAGGCGATAATGGCGGAAGATTAATGGAAGAAAATAGAGAAAGTCTTGGATAAGCTATCTCCATTATTATACATTTGCGACGGTAATGTAATAGATGAAAATTATCTTATAATTAGACGTCTTATTCGAATATGATAATAGATTAGTGGTAGGAATGTGGGGTGTGAAAATGCGATAATACCGGCCTGGGCCCCGAGTCTTAATACGGAAGACATTTTTGTTGGAGACTAAATGTATCACTGAGTGTGCCTCTTTTTACCAGGTGATGGTTGTCATCTGTCCAACGCGAGGGTGGCGTTGCACTACACCCCTCAGGGAACATCAACTCAGTGCTACTCAAGCTGGATCAGTAACAGGGACGCAGCCAGCAACGCCTCCATCACTTCCATTGGCGACTATAATGCTAAGCTTCTCGAGACTCATGCAACAATTGGCTTTTACTGCTATGGTGAAAGACTATGCTTCAGCTCCATACGAACCTACAGGCCATGGTGGGCTGCTAAACTGGGCACTCGCCGTCGGGTCACATCCGTCAGGATTCAGATACGGAGGGCTGCAATATCATACTTCGAGGATGTTGAAATTCGTGTGGGAGATGATGAAAATAACATAAACAACAACCAGCTGCTGGGGTTCTACAGTGGCACAGCATCCAACGGCGAGGTGGTGACCTTCACAGCCAACCCTTACGTCCTAGGCTCCATCGTCTATATCCAGTCCTTGGACAATGACTACTACATGCAACTTTGTGACGTTCAGATATTGTACATCTAAGTGTATGAGCTAAGGAAGTTTAAGCGACATGTTTGATATCTAAACATAAACTGGGGAAGCTCCTATAAGATATGTACTGATGTGTATGTTATGCCCAGTTCGTGAACGGGACAGTTCATTTTGCTCAGTTTGCATAATGGGCTCCTGACCTAACCTAAACAAACCAGACTAACCCAACCTAACCTATGGTTGGTTTATGTTAGATTGGGTTAGGTTAGTTTAGGTAATTTTGCCTAGATCGTAAAGTTGGCTCCTAATTTAGCCAAGATTAGATTAGGTTAGATTGGCTGAGTGTGAGTTGGATTAAGTATAGGTAAGGTTAAGTTGAGTTGAGTTAAGTTGGGTTGGGTTTAGTCAGGTTAGATTGAGTTGGGTTTAGGTTGTGGGTTGGGTTGGTTTAGTTAGGTTATGAGCCCATTTCACGAACGGGGCAAAATGATTGCCTTGTCCCTGAACTAGGCAATTTCACATTTACCATCTGTACAGTACACAGGAAGTGGGGAGCTTAAGTGGAGAAGTTCAATTAGTTATTTTAATTTGTAGAAGACGTGTAAAAGGAAATGAAATTATTCTCACACACAATTATAGAGACTGGACTTGCTGAAGCGATCCAAAGGCCCGAAAATATACGGGCAATCCCGCGTGCAACTCACTCACCCCACCCACAACACACACCTGATGTTCCACGTATGCAAGAAACCCACTCATTCTAATTCCCTACTTTTCTGTAAATGATGAATCCGTGCAACTTTTATATCTTCTATATTCTTAAGAGCTTATAGAATTTATGATCCTTCTGAGCTGTCATCTGAAACTGATGAGATTTTCTGTACTATCAAAGAACGAGGGAAAGCATTTAAAGATATATCTTATTATCATAAAAGAGCCATCAGGGTAGGCAATCAAAACAATTATATTTTTAATCATATTTTGCAAGAAAATTACCCTGCAGATACAAATAGCCCAATTTTACACTATAAGTCCCAGGATTCAATAGAAAAAAAATATTGAATCAACATTAATTCAAAGAATCGGCCAGTACAAAAGGAATGATATTGTTAATAGCATTCTTTACAAACAGCTAAACCATAAAGGTCATATTCGTCAGTTTATGGATAATCCTCAGATCCACCAGATCTCACTCCACCTCGAGTTAGGTTGTTGTTGTTGTTATAATGTTATTACTGAGCTTCAACAACGAATGTCTTTAAGTGCGTTACAGGTTAGTAATTACACTATTCTAACAACATTTAAAAATTATGAGAGATAAAACTCTCTGTTGTTAAGTTCAGGTAATGTTGGCTACGGTATTACTGTAAAGGTAATTAATACACAAGTATTTTCCTTTCAGACCACAATTAGTTTGTAGCAGCTTTGTGTGAGAAAGGTCAGTGATTCACTGAAACATGTACGCACTGATACTGTATTTAGAGTTTTCCAATACAGTAATGTTAAATTTAAACATATATGTGACGAATAAAAAGTTGTTTTACAAAAAATTTTATGATTAAACTTTACTAGTTAACACACGAATTAACGCAAAAAAAATCATTCTTCGAGTGAATTATTAATTTGCATCAAGAACAAATCTCATTTGACATTTGTATCAACATGTATACTTTAAGTGCACTTAAACTGTCTAAACGTAATATATTGAAACATTTTTATGTTTTCATTTTCCTTGTTAGAAGTAGCATACTATCCTTAAGTAAGCACTTTTTTTTAATATACTCAGCCTACATCCTTGTCCACAACAAGGAAGTTACACGAGCGTAATGTACATCATTGAGAAAAAATTAATATTTCCTTTCAAAACTACAGAATAACATTAGTGAATACTGTGGTCAGTGAGTCGAGGCACTGTGGTAGCTAACCTTAACCGCCGACAAGATCTAGTGACCAGCACTAACACTGTTCTTGGCACGTCTGCTAGAAGAGTGGTGGGAACAAGACCATTTATTTGGCACAAACCCGAACTTGGCATAAGCCTTACCCTGGCACAGCTGCTGAGTGAGTAGTGGAGAGCTACAGCCATCCAGTTCTCTTCTGCTTGGTGACCAGCGACACTCCAGACACCAGGGGCTCAGGCGTTGGTGTCGCTGGGTAAGGTGTTGATGGTTGAGAGACTGGGGAAGCTTTTAGTGGTGTTGCCGCGCTTCTTCCAGGTGTTGTTGGGGCTGCTGGCTTAGGTGATGCTTCAGCTGGTTTAGTCACTGGTGGTTTTGGTGTTTCAGTTGGCTTAGTCACTGTTGGCTTTGGTGTTTCAGTTGGCTTAGTCACTGGTGGTTTAGGCGCTTCAGTTGGCTTAGTCATTGGTGGTTTAGTTGTTTCAGCTGGCTTAGTCACTGGTGGCTTAGATGTATCCGTTGGTTTAGTCACTGGTTCAGCTGGCTTAGTCACTGGTGGTTTAGGTGTTTCAATTGGCTTAGTCACTGGTGGTTTAGGTGTTTCAGCTGGCTTAGTCACTGGTGGCTTAGATGTATCCGTTGGTTTAGTCACTGGTTCAGCTGGCTTAGTCACTGGTGGTTTAGGCGCTTCAGTTGGCTTAGTCACTGGTGGCTTAGATGTATCCGTTGGTTTACTTATAGCTGATTCATTTGGCTTAGTTCCCACTGGTCTAGGTGATTCTGATGGTTTCGTCAACACTGATTTCGACTTTGCAGCAGGTTTGCCCGGCGAGCCATTTGGAACCGGTCTCTTTGGCGATGCGGAGAGGTTGGTGGGGGAGGATTTACCAGACGATGAACTCTCATTAATCCGTGCTTGCAGGCCATCACGTGTCATCTCACCTTTGGCGCGGAGGTTGTGCAGCACACACCAGCCCCTACCGTATCTCTGTACAATCTGGCCAAAGAAAATAGACAGTAAGGAAGGAACCATAAAAAAATATTAAATTAAAATCATACAACACTACAAGACTAATTTGATAACTACCGTTTTGTAGCACTTAGCTCTACCTAAGGAGTAGAGTTCTAACACACAATCATGAATCAAATATATGCACAGTATGTGTGTGATTATAAACAGCAACAAGGAAAATAAGTATATTATGTAATGATTCTTAGTAATGACTCATTATCACTGCCTTGGGTAAACAATGCATGAAACACAAGACGGCCTGGAGTATCAAGGGTGGTGAACCTTTGATAATCCACTGACTTTTTCCCTGACTGGTAATATCACAATGCCTTTTACTGCTTCCCGTAACTTTGACCTTATGGTGACAAAGAAAATAACACTAAAATGTCTTCTAAATCCAAATGAAAGTTAACGTACAGAATAGTGAGAAACCAAACCATGTAAAATGGTGTTAGCCCTACTTACATCCGATTCTGATTGGCGAGATTTCGTTACCTCGTTGAGCATCGTAGGGTTGATTTCTCCTCCCATGAACACTCCACGCTTCTGGTAGAACTGAACCTACAAGACGAATTTGAAGGTAGGTAAAAATATTGAGAAATTTAATTTTCAGTTTGATAGTTATTAAAAGTTTATATCGAATGTCCTCTCTCTCTCTCTCTCTCTCTCTGTCTCTCTCTCTCTCTCTCTCTCTCTCTCTGCATAACCTTACGCCTCTCTATCATCTATTATCCTGCACCTCAATGTATCTACTGTATCATATCCCCTTTATTCCTGGTACTCACAGCTTTCCAAGTTTTGCTGTTTTGCCTCGTACAGACCCGTAGTGTCTGGCGCTGAATGCTCGTCTTGCTGGAGCCGATATGATCTCGTCTCTCCGAGCGCGTACGGACCATCTGGTTCCAGTCCTTCTTCTTCTTGTTCTGTGAAGGACATACTTGCATCAGCATGGGATTCCTCAAGAGTATATCGACAAGAGGGTAACAGGTGCAAGTGTCTGTCCCGTACAAACAAAGCAGTGAAGTGGGAGAAAGTAAGAAGAAGACGAGGATGAAGAAGGAAACAAAATGAAGAAATGAAGAAAACGAGGAGGGAGGTTAAGCAATAAAGTTGTTACAAGTATACAACATGCAAAATGTAAATTGCTCACATCGTCGAAGCAGATATAACAAGAGGAAAAAACGAAGAAAACAAAATAATAGTAAAAAGAAGCGAGGGAAGAAAAAACTATACTACTCGTAGGTCGCGTAACATCCTGACTCTGCCAACACTGTGTTAAGGCGGAATATCTCACTTCTTGCCATGAATCATTGCTATCCACACACCCCAACACCGAGATCCTCTAACTAGGGGATTTCAATGTACATCACAGAGAGTGGCTTGGCTCTGCAAGGGATGACCCAGGTGGAGCTGAGGCACTCTCTTTTTCCCTACTTAATGATTTGGAACAAATAATCAAACACCCTACACGCGTTCCTGATCAGCACGATCAACTTGCTAACAATCTTGATCTTTGCTTTACCTCTAACCCCTCACACTATTCATACTCAATTTCTGCCCCCTTAGGGTCTTCTGATCACAACCTTATTTCTATTAAATCAAACTGGGCACGACCACCTCCCCCACCCCCCTCCAAACGTCAACTATGGCACTATCAGAGGACAAGCTGGCAATCCTTGCGAAAATTCTTCACCGACTTTCCTTGGGATGAATGTTGCTTTTCCACTCGGGACGCCTCGGTATGTGCTGACAACATTGCTGGTGTTATACAGGGCTGTATGAGTGCATTTATCCCATCTACCAAAACTTTCACATTACAATCATGGTTTGATCGCTCCTGGCACTGTTCCTCTACGCTGGCACTGTCTCCTACCCTGTCACTGTCCCTCACCCACGTACTGTTCCCCATCCTGGCATTGTTCCCCCTGTGGAACTATCCCTCACACTGACAGTCTCTCAACCAAGTCCCTTACCCTAACTCAGAAACTGCCCTTCACCTTGGCACCCACCTTTAAGTGGAGGTTAGTGAAGATACTGAGGGACTTCTGGACACCGGCCGCGATAGTGGCGTCGAGACCCTCCACCAGACCAATGTTGAAGCCCTTCATCAGCCGGCGCTCTCTTGCCTGGTGTTTCTTGCCCATAGCAGATAAGCCTGAGGGCGCAGGGACATGTCATGCATAGCTCAACACAGTAGCGTAACACAGGAAACAAACGGTACACACAAAACAAACACACCGGAGCACACAACAACATAGGGAACACACAGCAAACATACAGAAGTACACAGCAACATAATGAACACACAGAGATACAATGAAGCAAACACAGAAACACAGAGAACACACAAGGCTATATTCATCGCAACACAATAAAAGTAACACAATAAAACATACCAACACACGAAGCAAACAGACAATACGCTTTAAATCGAATATGAATGGAAAAACACACAACAGTACACAGCACACCAAACTTCATAGTATCCAAGTACAGACCACAGCAACACATAAAAAATACAACACAAAGAATACAAAATTTCACACAATAAAAAGTAATAATTCAGGAACATACACAGCACCAGAGTAAGACATGATGAACCGCAGCAACGTAAAACACCATAATATTACCACAGTGACACAGCTTCAAAGCAAGACACAGCTTCAAAGTAGGATCGAACACAGTGAGACAATTTTACATAAAGAGTTTTCACCAAGGTATCACAGCAAGACACAATACCTGTACTGCAGTTAAACCCAGAAGCACAGCATAACACAACGCACTACAACATGTGGGACCACTTAGCATCTCACAGCACCACAACAAACACATAGCACCATAATAAAGACACACGACACAGCGCCGCATCAAGACACAGCAACACAGCAGGATCCAGCAAGACACAGCAACACAGCAGGATCCAGCAAGACACAGCAACACAGCAGGATCCAGCAAGACACAGTACTTACCATCAGTCTTGTGAGTGCCAAGCTTCCAGTTATTCATCCTCAGGATGTCCATGAGTTCATACTTGAAGGAAGTGATATCCTGCTTCACCTCATTGATGTCATCCTCGTTGATGAGTCGTTCCTCTGACTTGCGCTGTTCCGCGGTCACGTATCGCCGTACCAGGTTCCTCATCACCCCCTGCAACACAGAGAATCCTGCATCCCTTGCCACAAAAGTTGTACACAGTACATTATGTCCAACATTTTGTTATTAATAGTTCTATACCCACTGCAAAAACAGCCAGTCCTATATCCCCTGCAACACAGTAAGTCCAACTAACATAACACAACGTCATCCTTTATCTAGTACAGTTCTCCCCAAGTCAGTAATTCACAGCATTCTAACCAAACTTTGAACAACTAAACAACTTACGAGTTTCATGTAATCCCTCATCATCATCATTATTATCGTTTTACAGCTATTTTTACACGCTTGCAAGGGTTAATCGTGACTACCTGATAGCAGCTCTCCATGCTGCATGGTCCCTTGCAGTCTCTCTCGTCAGGTGCTTATCTCTGGGGTCACTTCTCACTACCTCTCCCCGTATCATTCCTGGTCTAACCCTAGCTCTCCTTCCCTCCACATTCAACCTCATGTATATTTTGACCCTACTGGTCTCATCCATTTTCTCTACGTGCCCGAACCATCTTAAGACTACCTGTGAACAGAACCTTCAATACCCAACCACCTTCTTGGCTCTCAGCAGCATTTTTTGTCTCAGTGTCACATTGTAACAGCACCATTTGTATTATATAAATATTCAACTGTGCCTCAGCTGTTGACATTATACATGGCTGAGGTTGTAGTTCCTTCGGGGAGTGAGCGAGGTCTGGCTGAGGTCAGCTCATGTTAGCACAACAGTATATCTGACGTGTTTCCTTTCTCACACTCTAGAGGGCAGACGAGGTCAACCAAATCATAACAGACCTGGCCTGCTTCTCATCTCTCTCTTGATATAGAGACAGGAGAGTGATCAGACTATTATCACTTGTTACCCAGTGAACACCTCACTTAAGTGTTCTTATATATAAGTGCACTTAGACACTTCCCCTAGTAGAGAAGGTATAATATACTCTCAACCGAACTAAGTACCTGTGAAACTAAACTAAAGACCCAAAGTGTTTCATTTGTTTTACTTTTATATATATATATATATATATATATATATATATATATATATATATATATATATATATATATATATATATATATATATATATATATATATATATATTATAAATATTTTTATTTTCAGAGGCAACTGAATTACAAAGACTGAGAGAGAGCTTATGTACACAGGGTGACCTTACAAAACATGAGGCAAGGTAAAAAAAAACATGACATCCACTAATCCACACACCAACCACACAGCAAACATAAGAAGAGATTATAAGAACGGGTGACACATGATGATTTATACACTTCTAAACTGTTTTCCCAATCTATGGGATGATTATTGTTCCTTATATGAACGAACAGTGCACTGCTTTCAGATGCTGTTCTAATATTGTACTTATGTTGTTTAATTCTGAGTTGCAATGCCTTCCCAGCCTGTCCTACATAATTTCCATTACAGTTGCTACATGGAATACAGTAAACACTTCCATTTACATTCAATGTTGGGCTATTCTTAATTAATGTACTATATTAGTAATAGTTGAGTCATACTTAAAAACAACGTTAATGTTTAATAATTTAAGGGACTGAACTAACGGGACAAATTCATTGCGATAAGGTAGTCAAAATATTCTTAAATGTAGGAACTTGCCAAGTTTGAGTAGAACAAAGGACCATCACAACATTACACATCTATCTCACCATACGCATTTCATTTCGCTCTAGTCTACATATGTCATTCTCCTTAACTTTCCAATTTTCGCTCCCATACAACAACACATTTCTCGCGCCGGCTTAATACATCAATCCATTCACAGGAAGAGTAGGTCCTCTTGCCATCAATAGAGATAACAGCTCTCTAAACTTTCTCCAGCCACTTCTGTCTCTTGCTACAGAGCTTGTTTTGGCGCCACCTCCAGCACTAGTCACGTCACCCAGGTAGCAGAACTCATCAACACAATCTAGGGATATATCTGCAATGTTACATTTTCCCAGCCTTACTAAGACCACAGGATTACCTGCACATACAGAGCACTTAAAGACAACAACTTTCTGAAGTCTGCCCTTTACACTAATGCACCTCTTGTGTACCCACCTTACACACTCATTGCTCCTTATTGGATTACTGCCAACCCTCAGTTGATGGTTTAATAAACTAAATATTTCAAAGCCTTTAGTGTTTAAATTGAGAAGAGAGATAGAGAGAAAGGCTCACCTGATACTGAGTCTCACGAAGAGTTTCTTGCCTCTTCTTGAAGGACGCCCGGGATTTACCCTTATTGAGTGCCAAGAGGGAACTGAACTTGGGCACCAGGTTGAAGGGTGCGGGCATCTCGCGTCCCTCCTCAAAATAACTCATCCACAACTTGGCCCGAGCGAACTTCCACTCCATGTCACACTTAGCCTGTGGCGAGGTAATTTTACGAAATATTACAGGAACTGTGAACTGTGTCGTGGAAAAAAAACGCAAAGAAGAAAAACATATGAAAATAACTTATTCACAATATGAAAGGCTCCAATTTCCATTTTACTATTAACTGTTATAGTAAATTAGAAAATAGTTATCAAAAACGTCTGGTGATTCAATGACTAGTGTTCTCCACAAAAATTACTTACTTACGTGTGTGTGTCCCACAAAGTACAACTCCATCTAATACTCGAATTTGCGTCACCTTGTCGTGGTGTGAGAACTCGAATGAAACACTTTGAAATACGCAGGATGGGTATAAGGTTCATCTTTTAACCTCAGTTAAGGAGGTTGGAAGTGGATCGTCGCTAAATACGCAAATTCACTTCTTAATACGTGAGGTATGAGCGACCCCTACACCCCATAGTTCATTTCTATATTTTTCTATACCCATAATTTCAGCATACCTAAGGTCTTATTTGCAGTCTGGGTAATTGTATTAGAATCATGTTTAGCAAATGAAGCTTGGAATTATTTTTTTTCCGTTGCTGTGTGATGGAAATGGGAAATTAAACCTGAAACTGTACCCTATACTCATCCTAGGCTTGCCTAGTGTACACCACAAAGTTTACAAATCAATCCAAGCCATTTACCATAAGGGCCTGGGGTCACATGTTACAGAGAGTTTGAGGCAGAATATGTGTATTTTCCTTGTGGTCTAGAAGTTTTGGTGCCAGTTGGGTTTTTTATCTATACTTAAGAAAACTGTGGGATACCTCCTTCAACTGATGTCATCAGAGAACTTACTAATTTTTACATTTATGTTACTGTTTATATATTTCAATTAAAAATTGGAAAGCAGTTTCAAGTTTCAATATTTCTGAGCGTGAAGGTGTAATTAAAATCAGACTTGAAATCTATGGGCTTCGCCGATAAAAGTGTTTTCCCCTGGAGTTCTCCTTTGAAATTGTATTAAACAATAGTAACTAACTTTAAATACAGGCATGTATTCCTAACCTGAGGCCACTTACACAGATGAAGGCGTAAGAGTTGGACATCATAGCAATAAGCAGATTGAGGAGGACGATCACGTTGATCACATTGTAAGAGCCGAACATGAGCATACTCCAGAACCTAGTATATGACTTGATCCCTGTCAACTCAAACACCTGCAGGTCCACCAGCCCAAACGATGCCCAGAACAGCGACTGAGACGTCTCAAACAAGCTGGAGATGAGTAAAGGAAGAACATGAGTGTGGAGATGAGAGAGCGAGAATAATGTCTGTGTAGACACAGGAAACAGGGGAAAATGTCTGTGTAGACACAAGGGAGAGGGGAAATGTCTGTGTAGACACAAGGAAGAGAGGAAAATGTCTTTGTAGACACAAGAGAGAGGGGAAAATGTCTGCATAGACACAGGGGAGGGGAGAAAATTACCGTAGACAAGGGAGAGTCAAAAGATTGTCAGTGTAGATAAGAGAAGGGAAAGAACGTCAGTATCAGTTTTATTTATAGAACAACAAGTAAGAAAAAGGACATCGATATGCAAATGAATCAGATTATGCTCAAAATGACACGTTCCAACAAAAACTATTTGACTCTGAAGTTTGTAAAAAAAAATATAAAAAACACTACATTTTATACTCAGACAAATGCTTTAGTCGTACTTTTCCAATATCTAGTCGCACAATAGCCTCTGTACTCTTAGAAGAATAGATGCATCTTGTAATCATTGGTAGAACATAGGGAGACGGAAGAAGGGTCTGAGATACTCACTTTGAAAACCTTCGCCAAACAGCACAAGACTGGTCTTCTTTGGGGTTCTTCTGGTCACCAGGGAGGGAGTAGCACTTGGCCTTGTCCATATCCGCATAATACCACAGCAGTTGGTTCAGACCTTAAACAAACAGCAGTCAGATGGTACACTTACGCAACACTGATATCTATTCTAATAAATACCTCAAAGGTGAATTTTTATGCGTTAGTTTACTATCGGGAATAATTTTCTCTCCTTCTCTTTCTCAGCTTTCTATATTGTCTCTAATTTATCCTAATACTGTCGAGATGCCCCTTTCTCTCTTTATGTCAATATACCACACTCCTGGCAATACGAGTATCACCTCCAATATACAGTATTGCTACTTGTCTAGAAGACTATTTAGTTTCGTTAAAAAAGCTCCTTAAGTTTCTGCCTTTGGCCAATTTCAAAACCTAGAACCAAGTTTAATCAATAATCTGCATTACAGAGCTCATTTATAGCCAGTATCCTTATTTCTAGTGAGAGACAAACTCATTTCTTTCTTTAATTTCTATATACACTGTACAGTACTGCATTTACGTTACCTATATTTTTATTACACATACGGGACTGGCAGAGTCGTCCGCAGATGTTACACGAGTGGAGGACTACAACAGTATCATCACCCTCACAGTAACACACCACATATACTCGTATCCTGCACATACACCTAGGCATGAGTCTGTTTAAGGTGAAATCACATCCTATGTTAGCGAGCTCCATGACCCGGTGTCAAGGAATAATCAAAGAAGACCGGACAACTCGCCAACTGCACTGGCTAACCATTACCCTGGAACATGATTCGCAAATCGATTAACATCCAGGTTCCCACTTACTGCTGGGTAGACAAAGGCAAATGGCGAGTATCGAACCCGGGTCCACTTGCTTTCAAGACGAGCATACTGTATGATTACAGTACATACATACATAATAATGGATGCCCCTCATGTAACGAGGATGGCCGGCCCCATAGGGCCACCTAGGCGTGAATTTGTTTAAGGTATAGAAGCCGTCGCCAACACAACAACCACACCCTAAGTTAACGAGCTGCTTGACCCAGTGTCAAGGAATCGTCCGAGAAGACCGGACAACTCGCCAACTGCAATGGCTAACCATTACCCCAGAACACGATCCGCAAATCGATTAGCATCCAGGTTCCCAGGTTCTGTTGGGTAAACAGAGGCATACATAGGGACACACACACACACACACACACACAAACACACACACGCGCGCGCGCTCTTCCTCATTTCTCAAAACAAAAACACACCCTTAATACCTCCCTTCCTCCTCCACCGCCAGGCCTGAACACCCCACGACTCACCACAGCCGAAGGCAAAGAGCACGAGCGTGTAGATGAAGAAGAACTTGATAATGTCGATCACCATCCTGCCAAGAGCGATTTGGAGAGGCCCCATGTGCGGGCTGACGCTGAAGATGTGTACCAACTTCAGAAAACTGTAGAAGGGGGGAAATGTCTCAATTCAGGTGCTACAGGATGATTTGGAATACACAGAATCTTACTATATAATTTCCCGCTACACAAAATCCCGCCACTGATACAAAGGTGAATTATTTTCCACCAACTTATAGGACTTCATGCTCCAATCCCTTCTGGGTGACTTTTAGGGTACAATAAGCTGGATTAGGTTGGGTTAATTGGAGTTAAAATAGGGTAAGTGCCATAAGACTTAGGCAGGGTTAAATACTATAGGCTATGTTAGGTGGAGTCAGAGAGATGAAGTTAAATAAGGTTTCTTTTTATATTAAGCTTTCTATTGCATTTATTTTACTGTCACTAATTTTCACTTAGATTTTAGCTTAAGGCGTTGCCTCAAAATGTTCCCGGCACCACCATGCCCTTACACCGTACCTCAAGATGTTGCCAGCACCAAACATCCCTTCAGATATAAGCATGGGATCGAAGTCGGGCCACATTTCTCGCGGAAAGTAGGGGTCATGATCTTGCCACATCGCCCGCTGAGTCAGGAAATATGCAGTCAGCCTTGCAGGGAGTAAATACAAAAAATTATTCTCATATGTGAAATCTTGCAGTATAAAGATAAATTTATCAGCTTTCATCCACTACCACTGTTTCTGCATGAAATGGATAGCAGGAAGGAGAAACCTCAAGAAACAAGAGAAATGGTAAGAGAAAGAGCCGCAATAATAGATGCGTGTCACACTATACTCGTATAAGTTTCTCATTGGCCGACATTTCGTCATATTTACTGTGTACAACTTTACTTACCGCAGGAAAATCCAGTTCATGTAGAAAAAGTTGGTGATGAAGTCGACGATGTTCCAGAGGTCCTTTATGTACTCAGTGAGGCCATCTTCCCACAGCGTCGTCATCTCGCCCCATATGAAGCCGAAGACGAAGATAACAATGAGAACCTCCACCAAGGAGGGAAAGCCACCCCGTGCCTCCCTCTCGTACTGTTCCAGCCGCTGTAACATCCACTCGTTACCAAAGAGCTCGATCACCAGCGTTTCCAGACGTAACGATACGATGACCAGCAGTACTGGTGATAAAAGGGAAGGATGATGAGCGTAAGTTCGATGAATCTTTAGCTTTGACAGTTTATTTCTTATACCCTCTTCTGAAAAGACAATGTGGGTCAGCGCTGTGTCAAACCGCCTGTCCTCAAACGCAGGAAGATTGTTCGCATCCTCTCTTGTGAACACCAAGTAAAAAAATCTGCTCAACGCTTCCACTTTTTCCTGGTCAGAATTTGCATAACTACCATCTTTAAGCCTCAGGTTCGATACGCTTACTCGCGTTTTTAATATCGACTTTGCGTAGCGGTAAAACACCTTTGGGTTTGACTTGACCTTGCTTGCAATCTGCCTAGGAACTCTTTATCAGCCCTTCTACACTCTGTCATTGCTTGGTTCCTGGATCTAGTATACATACTCATGTCCTGCTCGTCATTTGTCCTAACACACTTCTCGAAATCCTGAGTTGTTGTTTTTTTTATTAACTTTGTCGACCGCCGCACGGTTCATGTGTAACGGTCTCCTTGTATTCCTGGAGGCACTGGGTTTGGTCTTGGGTATATATTTATCGATCAAATGGTTCACTTTACTGGCTATGATATTCAGCGTAGTGTCTGCGTTCTTATATCTTAGTAAGTCAGGCTAGTGTATACTCCTCATTCCCTCCTTCATCCCGTCGCAATTTCCTTTGAAATATTTGAACCCTGACCTCTTTTTGTCATGAACCAAGTAACAGTTAAATCTGAAGGACAAAGGTACGTGGTGACTAGTGCCAACGGAGGCTAGGTGTTCTAGCTTGGCCACCATACCCTCCTCGTCAGTTATGATGAGGTCCAGCGGTTTGAATGTATGCTCCCCTCTGTAGTGAGTCTGATCTTTAACATGCTGGAACAAAAAATTGTCTCTCAAAGTTTCTACAAAAAAGTGGCGAGATAATTTTGGTCTTTAACGTGGATTCCTTTCTCTAGTAGATGCCGCCATAGTTAAAGTCCCCTATGACAAGGTTTACCGCCGTTATGTTGTCAATTAAGGTTCTTAAGTTCCCTTGGTTTAATAAGCTACATCTGACAAAGCATTCTTCAAAACATTCTCTCCTCATACCCTCACCTGGCTGGCTTTAAGGTCTTGCCGAGCATAGTTAACCGCACTCCACTTGCAAGTTGCTTGAGAAAGGTTCGTAAACGAGCCATATCCGCCTATACTGAACTCACATTCCTCTGGGGTATTGGATCACGTACCCTTGAGGGTTAACATACGGTCGACTCAGAGGTAAAAAAAAATCATGAACGACACTTACTGACAAAAAGATTTAAAAAGGACTCAGAAAATCACAGAAGAATTTAAGTACAGGAAGGATCTACAACACTCACAGAGGAAGGTACAGTAGGAGGATGAGTGGATAATAAACTTTATGAAAGGTTTCTTCATAGCATTGGTGTAGGAGGAATTGGGAACGAAGAGGAAGGCGAGGCAGTACACGGGGAAGATGCAGCCTATCTTGAAGATTTCCAGGAGCTGCTGCAGGAGGGTACGTCGCTTGAACCCCGGCATACCGTCGTACCACACTCGGCCCAACAGCTGTTGTACATTGGCATGGGCCACGAACTGCAACAAAAGACGACGTTCAGTGAACCTGTAGCTCACGTTGTGATTTGGGAGCCACTCTTAGATTCCGGGATCCAAACCTATCCTAATTAATGTAAATATTATTCAATATCGGAAAATTATGGTTTCACTCTGAAATGTGAATTACTGTACTTCCTGTATTTGGATCAGATGAAGATTAGCCCTCTCAGATTATGTCTCTTGGTGATGACGGGGGGGAGGTTAAGTGAGGTTAGAGTGGTTAATCTTATGGTGGAAAAAATGGGGGCTAGTCTTCAAGTGATCCCATTATTTCGTGAACCACTACCAAGACCCATATTCAAATCTTACCTCTGTAATTATCATAAAACATAAAAAAATTACAGTTTTATTATTGACTTTTAATTCGAAAAGAGTTTGGGTATTCATTAGTGGCTTTCGTACCCGTTCGTAATTCACAGCAACACTTAACATGAGCTGCCTTACTGATAACATTCGAGGATAATTATTTGTTTTTTACCAAATATTTTTATCACGGCATGAAAAAAAAATATTGTAATTTGACAGAAGCTCCTATTGATTGACCAATGAAGTAAGTAATCTAGTGGTTTATAGAAGCAAACTTACGTTAAAGATTATACACGGCTGCAGTATTTCTTCTGAACTGTTGTTGAATTAGCTTCTTTGTTTTAAATGAAGTCTCCATCTGATACAATGCTCGTTCTGGTATAACTTCCAGAGATTATGGGAACAAATTTATACCCAAATTTTCCAAATATGCACCCAGTAAGAACTACTTTGCTACTGTAACATAACTACGTAAGATCCTACTTTGTTGATACAACATGTCTATTTATCATGTTATCTGTCCTTCCCCTCTTACAATTGTGCTCTAACATACACCAAACCCAAGAGTTACTGTGTACCACAAATTCATGACCAGCTCCAACTTCTATGCATTCTCGCCTTTGCTAGGCTCAACACAGCCCCTGTCAACAGCCATCACGGTCTCCTCCTGACACTGAGCCATACACCAGTCACTGTGCTAACGTCTATAAACACCCAGTAAACACCGAACCTTTCAACAAACTTAGCATATATCTTACATGGTCACTCAAACAACAACAAAACCTTACAGCTGCTTAACTTCCAAAATCCCTTACAGCTATTCAACCAAAACTCACTTTATCACCTCACTTTCTTCCAACACAAGCACCCTCCCCCACCTCTATAACTCTCTACTCCTTCACCAACTCCCAGGACATCCCTCACCGATTTCTGGTTATTGCTGACTGCCTCCTTAAGCCTGGCGAGGTGCATGAAGTCACCTCGCCTGTACGGTTCACCTTCAGGGTCGTAGTTCAATATTATCTCCAGTTCGGTTGTGGTTCGGGTCTCGTCCACCAGCGCCATTGAAAACTCCTGCACCTTCTCCCTCAGGGACTACACGGAACAAAGAGAGGAAATGTGAAATATTGTACGAGATATATCAATCGATATGAAAATATGATACAGTTTCATGGTGTATTATATTTTGACATATTTAAGAATAAGCAAATCCTGCTATAATCTATACATATCATTGTATTTAACAGTTACTGTTGTTTTCTTGTATGATGGTCAGTGTCACACGAGGCGACTCACCGTGTACTCGTCCATAAACTCGTTCTCCATGCTGGCCAGGTTATTGAGGTCCTCGCTCAGGGTAAAGGCAGTGAGGAGCGGATCCTTGCTGGAAAGGCAGATGAGGGACGGAGACGAGAGAGCCTTGTACGCGTTGATTCTCGAGTGGGAATGTCTGAGGAAGGGGTAGAAGGCACTCCGTTATCTCCTGACTACACCCAATAATCAAGTAAAATAACATGAACTGAATAAATCTTCAGTTTTGCATCCTGGGACAAAACCACAAACGCAACTGATGCAAGCATACGCAAGCAGGAACTTACATATAAACTTCAACACTCATCATCTTACACACACACAAATAAATTCACCAAAAAACCTACCTGAGGGAGTCCTCATCACTAGCCTCAATGCATTCGTCACAGGCACACTTGACATCGTGGGGCATGGGCAGGGTGGCGCCACGGTCCAGTAGCAACTTGAGAATCTCGTAGTTGTTCTTGTGAGCGGCGAGGATGAGCGGTGTGATGTCCGGGGTGAAGTTCGTCCTCTCGAAGTTGGTTAGCTCCCACGACTGACGGACACCGAGGAAAAGATTCAATGTGATGCTTGGTTTTTACTGCCATTACTACACTATTACTACAGATCCCACACCACTGTCACAAACACGGCACCACTACAACAATTGTTATTATCACAACTGTCACAAACACGGTAAAGTGATTTAAGAAAAATAAAACTATCAGAAATTGTATTTTATTTTTTTAAATTGGGAATAACTTATGATAATTTATGCGTTATGTAATGTAGTTAATACGGTACTCACATAGGAGTCCCCAACACAGGAGGTGGGTCGGGGTACTGTTTCCAGGAGTCTCCAACACAGGAGGTGGGTCAGGGTACTGTTTGTTGGAGTCCCTCACTCAGGAGGTGGGTCAGGGTAAGCACTTAGGAATCCCCAACCAAGTGGATCAGACTACTAACGTGGATATATGGGAGGGTACTCACGTAGGGTTCTCCTGGTTTATGGGTCGACTCCTCGTGGGCCAAGAGGGTTTCCACCCCCTCCACGTACTCCTCAGCGATAGAAAACAGCAGAGCGTCCTGGTATGGAGGAGATACATTAAAAGATAAACCATTACATTCTATTGCATTAACTTTATTCCTTTCGTCTTGGTGATATCATGAAAAGTAGACCACAAATTCTCAAGTCCACAAACAACCTTAACTGGTCGAGTTATGATCACAGTGACACTAACAATTAACTGGTAACAGATTAGCAACGTTACTTAAACAATATCAAGGTTGAGCTTAAAATCTCTGATGAAAAGAGCAACGTTCAAAAAAATCCTAAATTGCAATTCTTAGGGTAGATATTGTCTATTCTGGAGGTAAGGAATACTATTTGAGTGATAAGATGGCGTAGCTCTTCGTGATTACTCGTTTAAGAAAACAAGAAGAAACACGTTAAGAAAAAATGGCGATTATTATGAAGTAGGTGGCCTTACCTTTGGCTCAATTTTCTCACTCAGCAGCAGTTCTACCATCTCCAAGTTCTCATTCTCGATGGAGATGATAAGAGCGGAGCGTCCCAGAGGGTCCAGGCAGTTGATATTGAAGGCGCCCACTTTCTTCTGATTTTCTTTCTTGGCCTTCTTGAGTATGCTGGCGGCACAGAAAAATGGATGTAAAATGTACTGTACAGTGGTAAATAACTCTTATTACAGATTAAGACGTGTCACTAACACGTCTTTTTGTAAGTGAATCTCCTGTTGAACTCGCTGCCGGGCTTAAATTTGTAAAAGTGGAACTTTAACAATGCATCTCTTTATACTGTACATTATGCAGGAGGCATTATACGTTAATCTGGAGGTTCATACATGTGGGGAGTGTTATGGAATGTGTGACTTACTCACACACTAGATGGGACCATGGGACTTAAGAGAAGTGTAATAAATAAAAAGGCTGGAGATAAGGTGTGTTACCGTATGAATAAACAAAAACGAAAGAAATTAAACATTAATTTACTATAAAACAACTACAACATACATGTATATAAAATAAATTTGTATGTACACAAACAAGTCATTTTTACCCGACAATGAGACCTAAACTACTGCTTGGTTCGTTCGTTAGTTGAAGCTGTTCTATTTGCACATGTAGGAATCTTAGTTCACAGACTGATGTATTGTATCGGCTCTTCTCACTCTTGAACGTCATTAGTAACTGCCGAATTGATTAACAAGTGTTGGAATGACACTGGGTGTATACCATCGACACAACACGACAAGAGATAGCTCCCAGCCAGGCCACAACACCGGTCTCCAGGACAGCCACCTTTGCTCCAGCACACTCGTTAACTGTTTAGTAACGTTGCCAGACAAAATACAGCGGGAACACTCTCCCTCCAGACACGATTATCGAGGGCGATCCACGCTGCCTCAACCGCAACTGCTGCATGACTCGTGCCAGCAACCCTCACACACGTGACACACAGTGGCGGCTCGTCGGTAGGCACTGTGGAACTGCAGCACCCCTTATTTCACCCGATATATATGTATTATGTAATATAATATATCATGTATATTTATTTATTTATACTTGTACAAGTTATTTAAAACTATTATCAATAATCCTTAAACTTAATGTCAATGGCCATCCTCTAATTCCGAGAAAACAACAAAAATCCCTGTATGTGGTGGAACTGTCTTACTCGACAGTTCCAATAACGGGCGTTTGCTTGTCTCACGCATGCTCCCATGTCCTGGAGGCAAGCAGGGGCGAGCACTGTGGATCACGGAGTGCCGATCTGGTTATCAGTGTGGGAGGTAGTGTTTACGCATCATTCTGTGTGGTGCTTACGCGCCGTCTGCTATATTAAGAGTATTTGAATGTGATAAATTGTAGATGATGTGATTATCATACTGTATGATATCACATCATCTTCAATTTATCACATTCAAATACTCTTGATATAGCAGACGGCGAGTAAGCACCACACAGAATGATGCTGATGGATGATGAGTATGATTCATACTCATGGAGACTACATTTTGTATTCATTGTTTTTTCCAGAAACTTTATTGTGTAGAAGAATTTTAATTAATTATACATGGCCTCCTTGTTTTCCCAAGAAACAAGTTCTGTGACAGTGAGTGAACTTCAACAACTTAAATTTTCACAGTTGTCTCTTCATGAGCAAGTTGCTATTAAGACAAGAGGCCGTCCCTCACCTAATATTCAAATATCTCAGCCAGGAATAAGCAACAGTAAGAGGTATATTCGTAGCTTTCATTCAGAACGGTACCAAAGGAAAAGTTGGCTCTGGTTGTGAAGTAAAAAATACATTATTTTCTTTTCCGTGTTTGTTGTTTGGAATTGGAAGTGGTGTAGCTTGGACAAAAGACGGCTTCAGAAATATAAACAAAATGAAAGAAGAAACTGAAAAACATGAAAAGTCAAAGAAACATATTGAAAGCGTGGTTTCACTATCACTTTTAGGAAGCGTAAATATTAAAGAAAAACTTAGTGAAACCTATAGACTTTCGATCAATGAGCATAACAGGAAGGTTACCAAGAACCGTGAAATTTTATCCAAGATAATAGACTGCATTACATTTTGTGGGAGCTTTGAAATTCCTTTACGTGGACATGATGAAAAAGATGATTCAGTAAATCCAGGTGTATTTAGGGGATTAATAAATTTTGCATCTAAATTAGACCCAGATTTAAAGAACCATTTAGAAACAAGTACAGTCTTCACAGGTGTTTCTAAGACTATTCAGAATGGGTTACTTGACTGCCTTCTGCAGATATACCATGATGAGATAAAGAAAGAGATTGAAGAAGCTTCATTTGTAGGTCTCATGGCTGATGACACAACAGATGTTTCAGAACACATTCAAATGCTACTCAGGACAAGGGGTAAAACAGGACCAGGGAAGGGTAGGTTTAAATGTATACTATGCAAACAGTAGGAGCGTTAGAAATAAAATAGACTTGCTGAGAGCGGTTGTATGTACCGAGAATGTGGACATAATAGCAATCACCGAAACTTGGATGAATCTGGCGAACAAGAACTTTATATCTGAGTACCACATAGAAGGGTACATCCTTTTTCACAAGGACAGGGAAGGTAGGAAGGGGGGAGGGGTCGCACTCTTCGTCAAGGATACATTAAAATGTTGTATTAATAATTCAAGAAAGGGTGAAATAGGAACCGAGTCTGTATGGGTAGAAATCACGGAAGGAAAAGAAAAACTAATTATGGGAGTGATTTACAGGCCCCCAAGTCTTGGGAAAGAAGCAGCTCAGCCCATATGGCAGGAAATGAGTAGGGCAACAAAATATATCAACCCGTGCATTATGGGGCATTTCAACTTCAGAAATATTGACTGGGACAACATTGCAGGTGACTATGAATCTGAAGACTTCCTAGACGCAGTACAGGACAATTTTTTGAAACAACTAATTACAGAACCTACTAGAGGTGATAATATATTAGACCTAGTATTAACAAATAAAGAAAATATTATCAGAGATATCACTCTAGGGGAAGAACTAGGTAACAGTGATCACAGAGAAATCAGGTATATAGAACAAAGGTCAAGGACAAAGCTGGGCCTTTAAAGTCAGGGAGGGGGGAAGTGATCAATAGCAGTGTAGAAATAAGCAAAGCATTGAACAGCTACTTTTTATCAGTTTTCACAGAAGAAATTCGCAAGGAAATTTCAGAGGTGGAACTGATATTTAGAGGAAAGGAAGAAGAGAAATTAAAGAATATCACTATCAGAAAAGACGATGTTCTTAAGAAGATAAATAAATTAAAGAAAACAAAATCCCCAGGGCCGGATGAAATTTTCCCTCAAGTCTTGAAAAGTTGTAGGGAACAGATTAGCGGACCCCTCGTAAATTTATTTACAAAATCATTAGATACGGGAGTTGTGCCAGACTTGTGGAAACAGGCAAATGTAGTATCCATATTCAAAAAGGGAGACAGAGCATAAGAGTCAAATTACCGACGGATCAGTCTGTCGTCAGTAGCGGGGAAATTTCTTAAATCAATTATAGCAAATACATCCGATCGCATTTAGAGAAAAGCAAATTAATCTACGACTCTCAACATGGGTTTACAAAGGGAAAATCTTGTCGAATAAATCTGCTGACGTTTTTTAGGAAAGTCTTCGAGGTAGTATATAATGACGAAAATTACGGTGTTATTTACTTAGACTTTAGCAAAGCATTTGACAGAGTACCGCATCAGAGGCTTCTGAGAAAAGTTAGGGCTCATGGAATCGAGGGGAAAGTTTTAAATTGGATAAAATCATGGCTCACCGATAGAATGCAGAGGGTCAGCGTAGATGGTGTTAAATCTGAGTGGGGCAGTGTAACCAGTTGGGTTCCCCAGGGGTCAGTACTAGGCCAACTCTTGTTCATAATCTACATAAGCGATCTAGATACTGGGATCAGCAGTGACATAAGCAAGTTTGCGAATGATACCAAAATGGGGCGGCAGATTAATTCAGGGCAGGATGCAAATTCACTACAGGAGATTTAAATAAACTGCCGGAGTGGTCAGAAAAATGGCAAATGAAAATCAACACCAGCAAGTGCAGCGTACTTAATATTGGAAGAACAAATACTGTCAATGTATACAGCCTTAACAACATCAACCTAGAGAAGTCGACTTGTGAAAGAGACTTAGGGGTACTTGTAAGCCCGGACCTACGGCCTAGAATACAGTGCGTTAATGTTCGAAATAAGGCAAACAGAGTATTAGGTTTTATATCTAGAAGTGTAAGTAATACGAGTGCAGAGGTCTTATTGCAACTATATCTCTAGTCAGGCCGCACCTCGATTATGCTGTTCAGTTCTGGTGCCCTTATTATAGAATGGATATCAATTCACTGGAATAGGTGCAGCGAAGAATGACGAAAATGATTCCGGGACTTAGAAACCTTCCATGTCAAGATAGGTTAAAGAAACTAAACTTGCATTCCCTAGAAAGACGAAGAGTGCGGGGAGATATGATAGAAGTATTTAAGTGGGTGAAAGGACTCAATAAAGGGGATATAGATAAAGTTCTTATAATATCCGAGCAGGATAGGACTCGTAGCAACGGATTTAAGTTGGATAAGTTTAGGTTTAGGAGGGAGATAGGAAGGAACTGGTTCACAAATAGGGTGGTGGACGAGTGGAACAAGCTTAACAACTTTATAGTAAGTGCTGGAACGCTGGAAGTTTTAAAAGGAGACTAGATAGATTCATGGATGATAGAGAGTGGTAGTAGCTCTCGACAGGAGCTGCCATGCACAGGCCAACCGGCCTATTGCAGACTCCTTATTTTCTTATGTTCTTATGTTCTTAAGAGTATATTCAAGTTTTGTTTACTATGTGGACACTAAGTACAACATCAAATATTACAGAGTTTGGTCCCGAGTGTTATATCCACATCCTATATCGATTAGTTAAAAATATGACTTTTCTCTTTTTCATCTTTGAAACACTTACCGTAAAAAATGTCAAAGAGACCAAGCATCACTCCATAGTGGGGTGGGTGACTCCAATACATATGACAAAGTAACTCTCCTCGTCACCACTTTTCAGAATCAAGAATTGGTCCTCTTGAATTATGCTTCTGAGCAGAATTACTTTGGTGAAAAAGTGGTGGATTATTTTAACAAATTTAACTTATGAGCAATTCTATACCACATATAGATAAGGAACTTAGCATTCACATGAAGTTGAGTTTACAAACTGTTCTTCGATAATATCATATGTTTTGCAGCAGACAGAGGTTATGTAAGTCACTGTAGTCATTCATGATGTATGATACTGTGGAGCTCCTTGACGAATCAGTCTGATTTGCACAGTGTAACAATGTGAAAGAAACGTGGAGTGTCTCTACTGTACGTGTTTGTTTCAGCCCTCCCATTAGGTCTAGCCCCACTTTCCCATACTAATCTCTCCCTTCCTCTAAGTTTCTGTTTCCCTTGATTCAATAAATGCAGAAAGTGGGGAAATAGACAAGAAAATAGGAGATTGAAAGAATAATTATGTGAGGCTTACTGCATGACAGAGGCTACGTCGCCACGTTCCACATACAGGAGGAATCGCTTCTCCTCGTCGTTGAGGATCTGTTCCAGCTCATCTTTGTCCAGGTCGTCGAGGTCCTGCTGAATCTTGGTCAGAATATTAGGTGACTCAGTTCGATCAGGAGGAGAAGCCGCCACATCCAGGGTGTTGCTGGAGTCCTCTTTTTGCCTTTTTTTCGCACCCATCGTAACGACAGGGAGCCCCCAAGTGATCGACCAGAATTAGTTTTTTTTCCAGATAATCCCTTAACAATAAATTCTAAGTAGATCACCGAGGAACTGACGTCAAGGAGTGGAGTAACAACAGTTTCTAGACGACTGACTATACCCAAGTAGGTCGCTGCTTCATATGTCCAGATTCACTGTTACCGGTACTGTACCATACTATTACATCGATCTCGGCTAACAGTATACGAGCCTCTCATACACCAGCCATGTGGGTTATGTATCCAAATGGGGTCGTCTCGGTATTTACCACAGCACACACAAGTTTAAGTTAGTTCTTATATTGGTGACACTCTGTCCTTACTACTTCTCTCTCCACCTCCCTTGATTTTCAAGCTCCATTTGTGTGAGGTAGGTGGGGGTGTGAGTCCATGGATGAAGTGTGAACGGGACAGGTGGTGGCAAGGGAGGTGCTTGCGGTGACGACTCCAGCTGACCAATGAAGCGACACTATACACCACCCCCGACCTAACACCTCCACCCTCACCCCCTCCACCTGTCTGCTTACTCCTTAATCCTATCCCCGCCAACCCCACCCTCCACCTAAGCCATACACCACCCATCCCACCCATCACCCAGGTCACGCACCACCCACTCCACCTTCAAAGATCCCACAACAAGCAAACACTTTGACTTCAAATACTACTCCGGTTTCTTTACTTGTCCTTATGAGACTGACCCCATTTCTAAATTGGTCATCCAAGTGCGCGCGAACACACACACACACACACACAGTGTCTCATACTGTAACTTTAGCACCCCACTGCCCGGTGTCTCTATGACCACGTAAGGTCCTTCATGTCAACACCTATGAACAAGTTGCTGCACCACGTAGGCTACATGGTAGGGCAAGAGACCAGTCCCTGTCATCAACTGTAAACTACAGTTTTTATGTTCAATTCATGTTCCTTTGTGAAACGACCCTCCCACCCCATATTTGTGTGCAGTACTCGTACGTAATAAGTCATTTCTGTCCAATGTATATTCTCAGCCTTTTGGCTGTTGAACTTTTTCAATAAACCGTTAATTATTATTATTACACCTGGAAATCTACAATAGCCTTGCCGTCGCTTTACTGTTTTAAATGACGACAAAAGCAGCAACAGCAGCAAGGCCATGCAAAAGTGTACATACTCTATTATGAACCTCGTCCGTGTCCTCCACCCTCTTACCAGTAGAAGACTTACACAATGGCGACCTCAGTGGCCTGATTTTGAGGACATTATTCTTCCTCTTTTGGATATAATCCCTTTGGCAGATCTTAAATTTCACTGACACCATTTGTAATGTTTGTATAATAAAGTTTTCGCTCGTTCTTTTTCTTCCGATTGGCAGGTATTTAAACTATTGAGAGAAGAGGAAAGAAAAGCAGATAAATTAATATATTAATGATAAACTTTAGCAAGGAAGGGTAACTTTTCTTGTTCAAAACAGCTCCCGAAGAGGCGAAGCCCTACGACAGGAGGTGACCTGGTGAAAAAGTAATAAGGGAGAAGGCGGACACGGATGCGGCAGGGAAGCCCCAGCTCGTGATAAGCTGTGCCAATCTTGGTGATCCTGTTACTGTTTCCTCACTCACTCACTCACTCACTCACTCACTCACTCTCCCTGTTATGACACCTTTTCACCACGCTCACCTACTGCTAACACTTACTATTATATTCACACATAGACACACACACACACACACACACACACACACACACACGATTCACACACACATACAGTAGACACACAAGTACGTGGATGACTGTACTGTGGGGGTTACAGTGGACAACACCTCACCGGACTACCCATCGCTACAAGGCACCCTGGACAGGCTACAGGCATGGACTACGGAGAACAAGGTCACCCTCAACCACACCAAAACCGTAGTCATGCACATCAATACCGCCACCACTCCAGTGCAAGCCCCAGCAGTCACAGTGGGTGCCCATCCTCTCCAGTTAGTGCAGTCTGCCAAACTCCTGGGTATTACCATAGACCACAAACTGGACTGGAAGGCCCATGTAAACAACACAATCAAGGCAGCCTCGTACAGACTCTACATGCCTCGACGACTCAGGTCACTTGGGGCCAGAGCTGAGGACTATCTACAACGCCTTTATTCTCCCCAAATTAACGTATGCGTCACCAGCCTGGTCGTCTTCTCTCAACTCTACCCAACAACGTCAACTAGAGAAGGTACAGAAAAGGTCCTGCAGAATCATGCTCGGCGCAGACTACTCAGGCTACAACAACGCTCTCTCCACCCTGGAAATGCCATCACTCAGTGACCTCCACCACCAAGCATTAGCAAGGTTTGGCAGTGGACTACTGCACCATCCTCGTCATCGCCACCTCCTGCTACCGGCAGCCCCCCACCCACCTCGAGCAGTCCGCCACTACAATAAAATTCAACCCATTAGAGCCCTCACTGACAGATATAAGAATAGCACCATCCCATCTATTGTTAAAATAATAAATTCCTGATTTATGTACTGTACAGCCCTGTAAATGTATTGAACGCATGTAAGTTTGTATATTTTCAGCCACCAGCTGCAACTCTATTAATAAACCGTTTATTATTATTATTATTATTATTATTATTATTGTTAATTTACAACTTGCCCATAATCTCAGAGAGGAAAATAGAAAGTAATCATGAAAACACCTTTACCTTGTTTGTTTTTAGTCCTTTTACACTTTCTACCACTTTCAACAATATAGTCCACTGTTGTAGTTGCTGATTACATATGGCAATAAGGATTATGGGTGAGTTTCAATTCAGTTCCTCTTTGACAGTCGACGAGGCAAGGGTACTTCAACAATATTCCATTGTTGAAGTCTTGAAACGGGAGTTAACTGGTCGCCCTGGTGCTCCTTGTCAATAATGAGCTTGGAGCGATTTCATTTATAAAACGGACCTCACCTTTGGTCTTTATGGTAGGGCTTGAACCTACCTGACCAAATATGTACACATGCTCAAGGTGCCAGTGCTTGTTCTTCTGAGGGCTCGTTAAAGCTAGTAACATCTACTTGTTTTGATACGCTCCAGGGATGACAGGTTTTCGGGTAGGGTTGTAAATTAACTAAGTACATTTACTTGAATACTGTACTCAACAACATTTTTGGGTATTTACTTTTTTTTTAAAGCGTACTCAATTTTTTCAGTACTTTTACTTAAGAATGGTTTTCTAATAATTTCATAATTTAAAAAAAATCGTTACTTATTATATGCCCCAAACAATAGATTTTAATATCCAATTACAGGACACAGGACAAGCTAACCAATCACAAACGTTACTTCACGTCTATTTCTTGTGAGCGTCTGTTTAATCATGCTGGGCTTATACTGTGGCCTAAGAAATCCCGATTGGACAGCCATAATTTTGAGAATCAGTTATTGATTAATCTCAAAAAAAAGATTTGCATATAAGCATGTGTAATGCTATGTGTCGATTTTTATCTTTAGTTAACTATATTTTTAATTCACTAGGGATTTATTTTAATATTTAATACTATTAATAATTTTGTTACTTTTTACTTTCAGTACCTGAGTACTTTGTGAAAGATACTTTTTTACTTCTACTTACTAAGTACACTGAACTTTGGATGCTTCTACTTGAGTAACATTGACAACGTAACAATACTCTTACTAAAGTAACAAAGTCCGGTACTCTTTACAACTCTGCCCGCCTCCAGTACAAAGTACTGGTTAAGAGATGTTACATTATTCGGTACCCGTACTTCTCTTGTACAGTACTACACTTATTTTACGTGTTACTTTTAGGCAACAACTTACATGATACTAACTTCAACTGGTTAATTTCCAAGATATTTAAATTTTCCTCCATTGCCATCTAACCACCGTACAAATATCACTGAGTGTGTTTTGCAGTACTAAGTGAAACTGATCCACCCCAATGCTTTGATCCATACTGTATTATGTGTTTGCTGCGGATCCGCTCGGTCACTCAAAACTGTCCTTCCTGACTGAGAATACGGGAACGCATTAAACTGACTCTCTTAACTTATTTAAAAGATTACTGAAGCAAGGGCAAAAGAGCGCTTCAGAACTTGATAAAAGCCTCTTACTTCCACTGAAAAAAAAAATTCGCATACGAACCTTTGAACCTTACGGCTACCAGTGACATAAATTCTCATGGGATTTGGCCTGTTTATCTTTGTTTCTGAATTAACCTACTTTGCAAAGTGCAGTTAGAGGATAATCCATCAGCGTTAAAGGATACTTGAAATTATGTTAGCCATTTTGGGCGCCCATGAGTATGGCTTCACGGCTACCTAACGTCGCATGTGCTACAGTTTTGTCTGAATTCATAGCCGCATATTGTGTGTGATCCGTGTTATTACAGTATTATTATTTATTATTATGAAAAGCTATTAATTATTAATATGAATAATATAATATAAATTGTAATAATCTTCCTGCAACATACAGTAAATCAAAACCCTATTTACTTTATTTTCAAGACTAAGGAGCCTCTAAAAAAACAAACCTATTTTTCATAATTTATCCCTGACAGCACTGACCGTGGTTAAGGTTAGGATATAAGTACCTTTGGCAGTATGTTCCTCAAGCAGATGTAAACAAAACTAAATATAAAGTCGTCCTCGACTGTGTGAAGATGGAACCTTTCAGGGACAGGTCCAAGCACACTGTGTGTGAAATGGCACAACACTTTATCTCTAATGGCAAGATAGCCGACATATTAAGATTGTATCCACTCTTTTGCACTTATTAACTATATCAATTCTCATGTACAGAACCAAATACGCAATGTGCTTGAATACCTCCCACGTAAATGTGAATAACAAAGTGTGAGGCCAGACATACTGCCTCACACGCCTTTACTCACGCATTTGTGAATAAGTTACCCTTTATGTATAGAACTAAACAAATAATGTAAATGAAATACTGTGTAACATTCAGTGCCATAATATCCTGACAACGGGGTTAATTATTATGACCCTTTGTAAACCCTACTCTGTAATCCTTTGGCGAAACCGCTCACAGGATGAGTGTGGGGTGCACAATAAAGTAGCCGCTGTAAGCGGCAAAATCAAATCAAATCATGGTGAGCCAGGCGGCGGTGACGGGAGTTGACATGGTTAATATTTGTTTAATGACTGCGGCAAGATTTTCGGTAAATTTTTACAAGTGGACAACAATGGATTTTTTGCTGATCAATACATTGTTCAACAACCAAAAAACTCCAAAACTAACCTCACCAAACAAACCTAATCTAACAACGTAACATAACATAACATAACCTGCTGTGTTTGGTTCGTTGATTGTCTACCAAATTTTCGTATTTGATAATTCTAAGATTAAAAGATTACGAATATATTTCTTTCTGTGGGTTAGGTACACCTAATACACCAAATACACACACAAAAAAACTTTTCTCATAAAAAAAAGCCACAGCCATAAAGATTCTCGAAACTATCTTAAACTTTCATTTTCTCTGTCACCTTGAACGCCATTCTCTTTTGTCGGATCACCAGTATGGCTTTCGCCAGGCGAGATCTACTGGTGATCTGCTCTCCAATTGCACCCATCTTTGGCCATCCTCTCTTAGGGATTGTAGGGATGCTTTCGTCGTGGGCCTCGACATCTCCAAAGCATTTGACAGGGTATGGCACAAGTCTTTGCTTTTTAAACTTCCCTCTTATGGTTTCTCTCCCCACTTTCTCTAATTTCTAGCTTCCTTGAGAACCGATCCATGGCAGTTGTTGTCTAGGGGTCGATCTCTCGCTATTTCTCTACCAATAGCCTAGTGGCTATTCGTGGTTTTGCCAATTCACACCATTCCTTGGAACCAAACCCCCGCGAATAGCAAGGGTTTACTTTGCCATTTCCCCTTGGGCCACAATGATTTTATATTCACTTTGCTTTAGTTTCACAAGGACTCTTATATTGAAACAAATGATTCTACAGTTTTATGACCTGTAATTACCTTCCCCTTAAGAGCATATGATCAATTTATATCCTGAGATATCAATGCAGTGAGTGATCTCCTGGCCAAGCCCTAATCACAAACCTGATCTCCATGCCCTGAAAAAACAAAGACCTTGACATGTAGCGTAGCCACAAAAAAAGCATCTGACAGGGTGGGTCCAATGACTTCCAAAATTATACGTACAACTCGTGAGGGTTGGTATGCGTGTCTTCACCCACCGCCAATCAGTATCCAACACAGGGTGAGTTGACATAAAGGAATAAAATAAATGGTAAGTGATTACTAGCACATAGTACAAGCAGACAACACATATCCCAATACTTATCGTCCCGTCTCATATTTTCAGAGAGTATGCAGATACTTTTTTTAGCTACGTGGTATTGTACATTTTAAGATTGGTTGTAATGAACCAAACAGAAGTTCACTATATCCCTTAGAACATTTTCAGTTAGTGGATAAGGCTTAATTTAGGGGTTAAAAGGAAATATGTTATCTACAGTATATAGTTCTATATCTTTATTGACAATTTTTACAGTTCATAAATTACAAATTATCAACCATTCTTCACTAAATTTGCAATTTGTTTATATGTCTTCAATTTTTACATTAATTCATCAATGTTGTTTTATAAAAAATCTGATATTCAAAAAGAAACAATTATAAATAATGACAACAGAGTGGAATGAACAGCTTTTCTTCACTATTCCACTCATTATACACCTTTAGTTTTGAACTTTTCTCATTTTATCATAAAAAATTATAACAATATATCTCATCCCACATCTAAGTGTGCATACAAATCAAAATTTGCATGAACCCTTTGTGGGGAAAACAACGGTATTAGAGAACTACTAGGCCTAGGGCTCCTAATTATACAGTAGAGCATATCAACCAAAGAGCATCTACTATGTAATCTGTATACTAAGCCTGAGTCCTCAACCAATATCCTTATGCTCCACACAACCAGACACAGTGTTAATGTGCCAACCAACCATTTACCCTGACATGCTTACCACACACACACATTCATACTACAGTATACTGTACTATTCTTTCAATGCTGCATCTTGGTACAGGTTGGGTATCCTTTATCCAAAATGCTTGGGGCCTTAAGGTTGTCGGATTTGGGATATTTTCGGATTTGGGAATACAGTACCTATATCCTGTATACAGAACCTGTATCATGCAGTAGCTCACCCAGCAGAGATGAGGCCCAAGTCAATGGTATGCACCAAATTCATTTATATTTCATTTACAGTATATGGATATATATATTTTGCAGGTAGTTTTATTAAATATAATTTAATCATTTTGGGTATAAAATGTGTGATAAGATGTACATTAAAGACCCAGAAAGGAAAGCAATCACTACCATTTGTTTGGCACTGCCCTGACGCCTGACTCTGAAGCACTGAGCAGTATGTGTCTTGCCTTTATTCATTACACATACATACTTACCCTAGTAAAATTTGTGATATATGCCATTTTCAGTGTATGATCTACCACAAATATAATGAAATAGACTTTCAGATTTCAGAGCATTTCAGATTTGGAAATTTTGGATAAGGGACACCCAACCTGTAATGGCTTTACCCCCTTCCTTTATTATTTATAAATATAGTGAAATCCCATTTTAATTCTCACATGATACATGTATTTTTATGGATAAAATATATGCATTAGGAAATGATGATGAAAGGGAGAGAAGACCTGGCACATACACTTCAACATCTCTTAATTTGTAATTAAATATTGAACATTAATGCACACTGTAAACTATTCCCTCCCCAAAAATTATCTTTAGATATTTTCAAATAAATTTTACTTGATGAGTTGGGAATTCCATTGAAATAAAAAATCACCACACCCTTTAAAGTCAATTCATGCTTCATCCATTTTTTACAAGTTCATTTATTGCTAGTGGTTTGCAGACAAAGATACTTGCTAAATACCTTTCTACATAAGTATTTAATGGTCAACTTCATATTTATAATGTTAGTTTTTACAGCATACTTCAACAATTGGATTTGTCAGTAAAAATTTTGTTTTTCTAATTACAAGTAAAGTTTAGGTGGCATTTACTAAAGCTTTGAAGTTCATCAACTAAACCCAGACCACCATTCACCAAATGTGTCATCCCAAACAGATAAAACTCACCACAAAAACTTTTTAAACATTCAAATTCAATTTTGAATTTCTCAAGACCCAAAAGAAATACAAGGGATACATTTAGTGCCATTGTTTCATCATTACAGGTACTGTTTTACTGTACAAATAGATAAAAATCTTATGGACAAAGGAATGAAAAAATATATATATATATATATGGCATATGTGATAAAGTCACATAAGTGAGGTATATGTATACTGTAAGTGGTGTGAAAAGGTAAAAAAAAAAAAAAAATTCTATAACAATATATATTACAGGTACTTAATTTTCTGTCATCTAGCCATTTGAAAGACATCGTTTTCTTTGTGTGGGCCTCATCACTTTCACTTAGACAGTATTGGTCATTGCGTGCATGGCAGCACAGCATGAAGCCAGTGTCGCTCTGGGCATTAGAGCGAGAGAAGGGTGCGCTGCTCGGCCCTTTAATTATTCCACTAGTTTTTACATTATTTTTCCTTATACCACTATATTCTCCATGCTTTGTTCTTTATTTTGGTATATAGTACATATCAATGAACACCATAATACAAGGAAAATGCAAATGGAAATCGATATTACTTAACATTTTCCTACTTTTTCAACTTATACGCGAAAGAAGTGGCTTAAAATTCAAGAATTTTATATTTTTTATGGTTTCATACAATTTTTCAGACAATTTTACACAAGAAGAGACCCCATTACAATTAATCAAACAATTCCATGGCAGTAAAATGAGCCCTATATTTGTTTTTTTTCTGCGATTTTTTGGCAAAAATGTCTGAGGCTGAAAGGGTTAATAAATTACTCATATATTTTTTTTGTCTCCTATAGTACTTTCATGTTCATTCTTGAAATCAATCATGGTTTACTCCTCAATTCCATTTACACTGGGTGAAACAGTTAAAAACAATGCTAACATCAATAATCGTGTTAAATCTATTTGTCTTGAATTCTTCCTATATAAAGTACTGTATTCACACAAATTTTGCTACATTACTGCTAAAACTCTAGTTCTCGATACAGTGTGAAACACACTTAAACTAAACAAAATCTTTTGCTCAAGTTTTTCCAAAAATATTTTGTTTTCCTCTTCCACTTCTGCTCAACAATAAATGCACTGGGGAACTTCTACTGCATACTAATATAATAAAACTCTTTAGTGGCACCAGTTGAAAACATCTGACTCCATCATGTCATGTCCGAGAACAGCCAAACTAATGAGTGCCATTCTTTGCATGTCTATTTGGGGTAATCCTGACATAACCTGGTTTAAATAAAAAACATAACTTGTCAATTTAGATGGATAACCATTTAAAAATTAATCTAGATAAGCTTTTACCGAGTACGATATGGATGAATTAATGGCAACACACTTTCCACTCTCCTTTACCACTAGAAATCTTACATCCTAAGACCCTACAAGTAGTACCCTTTCTTGAGAACCAGTTTAACAAATTGACTACCTATATCTTTCAAATACTCTAAAGTTAATTCAGTACATGGAAAAACTGTGATCATCTAAATTCTTTGTTCAACACATAATGAATTTAACAGTACAGCATTGACAATTATACTGTACATGTATATTATTTGCTACTTTTTCCTTCTAAATAAATCTAAAACAAGAATCTTGAGTGGCAATAAGCTCACAACACCAGATGCATTTCCAGGTACAGTATAAGGGGTTTAAGACTGCTTGCAAATACCAGCTCATGAACAGCAAGATTCCTCATTCTTCTGACCAACACTTCCCTTGCTGAATCTATCAATAAAAATGCCACTGTGGCATATCAATACCTATTGGATATGCACAAAGATTCCAGCCCAAAATATGGTGAGTCTAGTACAGTATTACAAGTTTTGATGGCTAATGATTGTTACCCAAATACAGGAGTGCTTCAACTTACAAAAGGTTACTTTCCTGGACAACCTCACATAAATTAATTGTATGTAAAGTTAAGCAATTTTTCTTATTGACTCCCATTAAATAAAGGAAAATATGTTCCTACAGAAAAAAATGTCCCCCAAAAAATAAAAATATACATTTTAAGCAATTTTTTTTGTGGGAACAATACTTTTAAGCATTCTAAGCACTGATAAAGCAGTACTGTACATTACAATATTTAACCCATATTAGAATACAGGTATATTCTACTTACAGGAAACTGTAGGTGGTCGGTGCTAAGGGTGATAAGTTATAAATTTCTGCCTCTTATTTGGTGTTTGGTTTGCCACACTTTTAGATCAATATACTGTACAGTAGCACCTTCATATGACAAATAATAAATAAATTATATTATAAAAATATACAGTACAATACATTATACCACTTAATTAAAAATAAATAAATAAACACTCCACACCTGCGCAAAGAGATTGGCAGGATTCCTGACGCTGTAGATGCACTCGGCAAACAGTTTCTTTTCAGCTTTGTTTTCATAGAGACGCTTTTGACGAGGATAAGATGAACACTTTCTTTGCATCTTTTACAGTATTTTTGTACCCCCATTCAACAGTAAATATGAGGATTAATAAAAATATTAATAAACAAATTAAAATAAAAAATACTGAATTGCCATTTGGCAATCGTTTCACTACACAGGACACAGCGAGCAACTGAATTTCCCCACTCCGTTCCCTACATCCCCTTCCCAGATCTGTGTGCTAACTCCCACGCACATAAGAAATGTTTAATCCCTTTATGTTTTTGACCTTATGGCAAATATTTTTTTTTTTGCATATTCTGTATGAAAGATTGTGTGTGCATGTAATAGAGTAAAAAAAAAAAATAAATTGTACACTTTATCTACCTGAAATTACAAGTTGAAAAATAACCATAACATAGCTCAAAGGTCAGCTTAGTAGACAAAGAGCAAAGGAAATGCAAACAAAATAATCTTGGTTTACAACTTACGTACAGTATTATCAATAATGATGAAAATTTCTTATTCAATGTGATGCACTAAAGAGATTTTAAGTATTGTACTGTAACTTCCAGAGGTAATTGATCCTTGCATACAGTCAGAGCCTAGGTGAAGCTCATCATTAATTATAAGACTCTTCTGAATGTTGTTGTTCAGTATATGCCAAAATGCATCTGGTAAGGCATTCAGAGGCTGAATGACAAATAATAGGAAAATTCTGAACAAACAAATGTAGCACTTGACCACAAATATTAGAGAATACCACACAAATTAGTCAAAGAATTGAAGAGTTTGTGGGGACAAAAATAATGAGCACAAAAAAAAATATTTCAAGAGAATTTGCTCGACAGTACTAGGGTATCAAAACTTTTAAATTACCCGGTAATAATGCTATTATATTCACCAAGGCATTCTCGAAGTCAAAAGGGTGTCAACAACTGATATAAAATACTTTAAATGCAGAGAACAATAATCAATTACAGTATACAATTTAGTGAACAATAAAAATATGCAAATAAATAAGAAATAAAACAGCCTGTATAATAAGATAAAGTACCTGTACACAGTATATATAAATGAGCTCAAAACTATAACAATAGTAAATTGGTTGTTGATGTTATACCTTATAATTTCTATGTAACCGTACAGCGGCATTTCATATTGACGGTGACAGATGACTTGCAAAACTGTGAACATCATAATCCTCTTCTTTTACATCACAGTACAGTATTGGGTTCTCATGTGCCACAGACAGCCACCAGTATTCAGTAATTAATAGCAAAAAATAATCAATCAACAGATAATTGCAACTTTGAAGTCTATACAGTGCCAAAGGTAATAAGAGAATAATCAAATTCATATCAACTTCTATCTATACAGTACTGTACTATACAGAGGTATAGTAGACCACACTTAGTAAGGTAATAAGAAAGAATGAATAAGAAATAAAGTTCAGTTTGTGTTCCTCTTGATTCTAGCCCCTCAATGTTTTTACAAACTGTTTATACAGTACATATATAATCTTCCAACTGTCATGTTATTTAAATCTAAATCTACTCCAAAAATTAATATACAGTACCTCTATACTGTACTATTTTAATATCTATAATTGTTGGGGCCCAGATCAGGCCAGACTTTCAATGTGCTGGTTTGTTGACAGTACAATACTGAGTACTGTACAGTATTACTCATTTGATGAATTCCGAGACCCTGTTAAAGGTATAAGCTGTAGACTGTACACACAGCCAGCTTTGACAGCTTACCATGCGAAACTACTACAACAAAGGACATGTAGCAAGTGAAGACCATCCGAGTGTGTGTATGTGTGGACAGGCATATGTACAATCGGACGTATATTAACATTATAAAAAGTATATACAAACAGGTAACTCGCATTTTACGTGCATTTGATTTAAGCATTTTTGGAATAACACGATTGTTCAATTAATACCAAAAGCTAAATTACACGCACCTATTTTCAAAATAACGCGCACAACACAGTTTAAATTTGTCGCGAGTATTCGCCTGGTCGCCTAGCAGTGGAGTCTCATGTGATGCCTGGTGAGGTGCTTTTAAGTTATTACTATAAAGTCGCAGTCATATCGACATCAACGATTTTAATTGAAAATAATAATTATTATAATAATGTAATAATAAAGATTATTACTACTCATGTAGAAAATGGCATATTGCCGCATACTAAAGAGTAGAATACAGTATATTAATTTACAATGTTCATTCAATAACATTCACAGTTATTAGTTATTAAGTTGGTATAATGTAAGCATGGAACATTATATAATAAAGATTAATTGTCAAATGGGAACTTTTACTGTGGCTGGAAAAATAACACCCTTTACTATAGATATATATATATTTTTTATATTTCATTTTTGCCCAGCATTTTTTCTTAGAAACATGACCCCAGTATAAATAAAGGTAATGTGTTTATTAAGTACAAGGTGAAAGTCAGGAGACAAGGGGGTTGATGTACATGGAAGAGTAACGAGACTGAATCAGCTGGTACAGCAAGAGTGAAACAATCATGGTGGTGGAGGAAGGTGATCCAGGCTTAGAGACTGGAAAAGCAGCAGGCCTCTTAAAGAACTGTATTATTGATGAACAGTCAAGAAAAAGATCTAATACAGTATATTGTAATGTCATCAGAGCCCATTAAAATTTTGGCAAGATTTCTATGTTTGATGACAGTGTATACGTACAGTAATTTATCAAGAAATAATAAAAGAGATTCCTTTAGCACTTCTCACGTTTCAATCACTAAAACAAAAGGCAGTTATGTAAGCATAAACACATGCAGACAACAGAAAACTGCTGGTCCAGCCATTATTCAAAATTATCTGCTACTATAAATCAATAATCCCTTATATAACATGCTTACTTAATAAACAAGTATAGCAACTGGGTTCATCAAGACCCTTGCCATCGTATCTACTAATGTCTTATTGCCATTGTTCAGTTGTTTCACTGATATGTCTCCATTGTCCTCACCACACTTATTTGTATATGTATTAAGGGATTATACATTGTCTAAAGTGATAAGAAACCTCAAAAACTGAAGTTCCTCCTACAGTATTTTATATTGTCTTGTACACTGTGATCTGACATTCAATGGTCTATGTACAGTTCCCTTCACTAGAGCATTTACAGGGGCTCATCATATAAACATTCCACAAACCATTACATTGAGATATTTGTTTAAATAATGTTTTACTTTAATTCCTTATTATGTTTACTTTTGTGAGTTTCCTTCTGTCGAATGTAAACAAACACAGGGCTGCCACACTGTACAAAACCTGACGAGCCCCTGTAAATGCACTGGTGAAGGGGACTGTTCCTAAGTCTTGGTAATAAAAGTTCTTTATCATTAGCTTACTGCCACTGCTCTTGAAGGTTCTGCCACCCTTATTTTTATTCACCTGCATTAAAACTGTTTTCTTACTTTGCAGGTGGAACCCACTAGTACAGTAGTCATAAATATTAGCATTTTTTTACTGAATGGAATACATCCAAGTGCTGAAAATAATTAAGTGGAAAAGATAATGGAAATAATATAATACATTAAAATAAAACTACTAAATATATTAAATAAAAAAATTGGATGATGTTTCTTGAATAAAGCAAAAAAAACGCAAAAATAAAAAGTACTTCAAATAATTTCTCTCAAGAGTAGGTTGAAGCTCCCAAAACAGGAAAATGTCTCCTACTAAGGGCTTTTAATGACACAGATGGCATAGTGGATCATCCTGAGCATAATTTGCAAGTTTGCACATCTTTCAAGTAACATTGGATGAACTGAAATTAATACAGGGAAGTATTGCAAGAACAAGCTTTCAAGCAAAACCACAGTATTCATATCTGAGAATAAAGAAAAACTGCTTTGAAATTTTGTGAAACTTATTTGGTGAGCAAAGTTATAAGCTTTAAAAGCATTGTCTTTATAAAGAGCACAAAATGAAGGTCAGCAGTTCCTATATTTGAAAATAATGAAAAATACAGTACAGAGATGGAGGTTAGAGTCGTAGATTATTAACATGAGAGGGAAGTAGTATATGAAGTATATTACTAGTCCTCTTATACAATCGCTCCCTTTTTATGAGGATTATGTACCTTTTGATCTGCCCCAAGTCCACCCGAGGTAAAAATGGGAGAGAAATAATAATATATATATATTTTACGGTATTATGAGACATCCATACAATCGAGGTGATTGAGAATTTTTGGAAAGAGGGAGAAGGCTATACAATGTAGTAAGGTTTAGGGACCAAATGTCAAATGAATTAAAGGAATTTAGTAGGTATATTAGACTGGCCACAAGATAATTGAAAATACAAGTACCAAATAAAATTTTACCAGCTCAATCAACATAAAAAGATGCAAAGTGACTGACATAGTTTGCTCAAGACATTGCATGCCTTACCAAAATATTTTCATCATAAAAAAATCCAATACTGTATATCTAAGTACATTGCTAGACTGAATGAGGAGTATTCATGAAGCTGTTTATGTAAATTCATTTGTGGTTTAAGACTGTAAACAGGTACTGTAATATGAACTGTCTGACAGACTAGAAGGCTAGTTTCAAAACTGGATACAGGTACGTGCCAAGTGGAATTTCAGTAAGTTATATCATTATTTTTCAAAGTTTCAAAATTGGACACTAGTTAGTCAGAAAACTTATCCATTACCATCTAAGTCGTGCTTACTGTCAGGGTCTTTTCACAGAAATCAAGCGATAATACAACTACTTAAAGCGAATCTCCTCAGTGACATGGGAAAGTTCTATCATATTGTCTTAACAATAGCTGCACCTTTGTAATACACATTAGAAAACAATATAAAGTAACTTGTGAAGACGTTTGTGGATTTCCACAGAAGTATGACAACCTATTCAATACGTATTAAGACTGGCATAACTCATCAATATCAAAGAAAGATAAACATTTCTTGGATTTTTTTCTTCCATATCAACCACCAACTTAACCAGAAATAATCCCTTGACTTGTTGTATATCAATACAATAAGAGATTCCTCTCCATATATATATTTATAATATATATTCCAAAATTCTTTAAATGCACAAGAAAACACATCTGATATAAATATTTCAATAATATTTACTTTATAAATCTAACATACATCATTCCCTTCTCCACTTTGTCTTATGCCTTATGACATTCATTACTGACAACCTTCACATTGGTTTTTAAATAGCCAACTGTTAGACATTCCAAATGCAATAATGCAAAAGGCTTTACAAAAAATTTAAACTCTACTTGACTAACAATATTGAATACCAAGGACCAGAAAGTATTTTTGGTAACCCATGAACAAGGATAGGTGGTAAAAACCATAGCCCAGTATAAAAAAAATACGAAATTGCACTTTTTCAACTGCCATAACATTCATACTTCATCACTCATGATCATCAATCACTCAAAATCTGCTGACTCACACAACAACTGACCTTGATGAGTGGCCTGCACTTACATATTGGCAAATATTATAAAATAAATGGAGCACATTCACTTGGGAGAGCCCACATATCTCCCCACCTTGATGTTGTACATGCCTGAGGTGTATAGTCATTGGTATCTCACTGTGAAACTGGCTGTACCTCTGCTACTACTGGTGCTGCACTTGTTCCATTGTTCAGTGAAAGTGATTGTTGGTCCTTATGGAATTTATCCACCTAGGAAAGAAATTAATGTTAGACAGATGGCATACACTGTCTTGGTAAATAAGAAACTGTATACTGTACTGTACTCCCACAGCCTATGTACAGTCAACCAAAGATGCACCGACCCCACCCTGGGTCTCGTGCTTGCAATTTTTTCTGGCAATACTGTACTTGATAAAGTAAGGTTGTATGTAAAGGTGATTGCGATTGGTGGATCTATCACTGTCAGAATAAACAAACCAAAGGTAGCATTTTTATAATAATAAGCTATTCATCATTATTTTAGATCATGAGAAGTTTCCAAATTTTTGTATATTTGCTTAAATAACTAAAATAACTAAAATTTTAAAGATCAGAATCACAATGAAATATTACACAGCCCCTGAAAATTGGTGGATGAGTGTGACAGACTTGGCTGCTTGAGTGAACAGCCGTCAGCAGAGGCGGGAAATATAACTGTGAACTTCATATTTTAGTGTGATTCTGATCTTTTAAAATGTTAGTTTTTGCATAATGTAGTTTTACTGATATGTAATTTGTCTTAGTATGTCTTATTGTGGGTAAAAATAAGTATATATTAAATGCGTCCTCCGAAAGTGTGAATTTGTTACCAGAGTTTAACAGTTAATTGCTACGCAGCAACACCATCAAATTTAGCAGCTTCAGCAACAACTAAAGGTTCAGTAACAGTTTCAGTAACAGCTTCAGGTTCAGCAACAGCTATGGTATCTTTATGGAAAGCTACAGCTTCCGCCAAAGTTGAACCGACTTTATCACTTGAGTAAAAACTCACACAACAACATTCATTGGCTGTCCTTATGTTTTTGACTTTACCACCATTGGTGAGTAGAATTTTTATTTTATATTCGTAAGTATTATTTAAAGTATACATGAACAGTAATAAGCGTTGCTTCCATATTCTTATGATGAGAAATGACGGTATGTTTTCACATGTACGCACTTACATACGTTGGCGTTCTCAATCCGTCTCGCTTTTGTCTTTGCCATTGGTGGTTAGCTACTTCTATTGTTCCATTTATTAACATAAATATTCATTTTTTGTGCATTAATTTTACAACAGCTACAACTAGGGTCTTATTTTCTTCAGTTTCATATACAGAACCATTGTCACAGGTGTAAACACTAACGAAAACAAAGCCGTCTCATCTCCTCTTTTGTGTTTTAATATTCTATGAGTTATTAATGAATTGTATTGTTCATTTTGCAAATATAAACATTAATTCAATCAAATACATATTCAGTAATAAACAATTATGAATCTTTTATACATATTCTTAATAAGATAAATGACGCTGTTTCCTCGAGTGTGCATGTATATTCGTTGGCATTCCACTATCAGTCTCTCACTTTTTTCTTTACTGTCAATGGTTACTTCTACTGTTCATTAAATAACATTAATTAATACATAAATATTTTTTTCATTAATTTTAGTACAGCAACAACCAGGGTCTTATTTTCTTCAGTTTCAGATGAATAACTGACACTATGGGTGTAAAAACTGACAACAACAATGGCAGCCCATCTCCTCTTGTGTGACCATATTATTATTATTATTATTGATTTATATTGTATAAGGTGCATTCATAAACATTATTTAAAGAATATAGTTTGCAGTTTTTATTAATTTTATTGTCTTGGTGGAAAAGAGAGTAAAAAGCCACACAAGAGATATGAAAAGGTCAGACTGTGGAAAGCATCTCATTATTATTGCGTTCTTTTAATTGTAATTAATGATTCACAATACGATGATTCACTTTACACTGCAATATTGGAGGTCACATTACCGCCATTATTCGAGGCTTCACTGTACAGTAATTATTATGTCTTACAAATTGGAATACTGTACAATACAAAAGTCATTACTGTACATGTAATTTATCTAATGTTCACCAGTGGACAAAATTCTGCAAACACTTGGCAATATCTGGCATCTCCTTGAAGGTCATATACTGTATATATGATTGGTTTATTTCTAATAAAGCTGCTTTTCATCACATTCTGTACTATACTATGCCAGCACCACAAAATGTAAAGAAAAAAATGCAATAGAAACAAAAATCTGAGAAAATATGTTAAAATTAAAATCCTCCCTCACGTTTTGATCCTCAAGTACAGTACTTATATACCACATACTGTACTGCCAAGCATCTAGGGAGTTTTATCCACAATTGTACCGACTACTATTTCAACAAGCAACGAATACAAATCTTATTGCCTAATAAATTAAAATGAAAGTCATTACAGTACATACAATTTTCCTGATGTAACTAAGAGTCTTGGTGTTAGTTTCTTTGCCTTCCTTGTGTTCTCTGACATTCTCTGGCAGGTAGGGTGGGGAGATGAGTACCTGGCCCATGACCAGGATGTTGGCTCCAGCCCACGTCACCTCCTCTATCCTGTATATTGAAGAATTTCACACAATACAGTATACATGTATTGCACTTTCATGAAGTTTCTGAATAAGTATTAATAACTACAGTACAAGGATAATTCTCAAACAAGCGCACCTATTTCAGGGCTGATAACAGGGGAAGACGAAAATGCCTGGAGAGCCCTCGAGGAAAGAAGGAAAATTTTGGATTTTTTGTTAGGCAACTTGTATACAGTACAGAGGGCCCCCCTAAATTCGCTGGGCTTAAGTTCTCAAAATGGCAGCGAATCGCCAAATTCACGAATAACATTTGCGGACCGGGGGGAGCATTTATACTTGTGTACAAAGAAATGGATATTCCCTTTAAGTGTCTGCCCTTAGGACAATTATTTCTTTTACCTGTATTCTATATATGTGTGCGTGTGTGTGTGTAGACACACACACACACACACAAAACACATACAAATAAATAATAACGGGAAAATACTCTTACAAACAATCAGAAACAAATTTATTAAAATTGTGACAGTCTATCCTCAAGGCCCTGCTTTATTAATAAAGTAATAAAGCAGGGCCTTGAAGGTAGACTCACATTTTAAATAAATTTATTTCCGATTATTTGTGAGAGGATTGTCCAATTATTATTTATTTGTGTCTACACGCACACATATTTACAATACAGGTAAAAGAAATTACTGTCTCTAGAACAAATGGCTCCCTGTCCTAGCTGCGAAATGATGGCAGCTTTGAAACTACCCACAGACATTCTTGGGTACATCCAGGGTGTCATCCACGAATAATAGAGGACCGCAAAATAAAAATCCACAAACTGAACTGTATTTTGGTGAATTCTGGTACCTCTTAAGTGTTTAGATTTAATGTACTCCATCTTGTATAAAAAAACAACTTCAGAATAAGTTTAGTCGTCCTCAGAAAGAATCATCTCAAAGCCCTGTTATTGTGTGTTTTACATTATGTGTCAACTTGTGAAGTCAACAAACACCTAACTGTCTTTCACTATCTACTCCTTATTCTTATGTTGTTTATTTATTTATTTTGGTAAATGTTATAACTTTTGTGTCATATCAATGAAGTTTCATTGAATTCATTTTATATAAACTGAATGAGCTGTATACAACAGATACAAATGGAATCATTAGGGCACACAACAGGCTAACAAACACCAGTGTTCAGTTTTCTTCACAACAAAATTGCAACTAAACCAAATTACACTGACACTTCAACCACCCCCCACCCCCAAAAAGTAAAAAAATAAATAAATAAATAAAAAATAAAAAGTAAATCGAAAGCCCTGTTTTTTTTTTAGCAAAATGTTTAGAACTCCCACTGTCTATCTCAAAAGCTAGTTACGTGAAAGTCAATATTGCATGTTTTAATGCTTACCACTTCTAATTTTTTTTATCACCTGACAAGAGATTAATCGTTGACATCCTAAACAAATGCTGGGTGGATGAAAGTTAATGAAAGTGTCTTACGTTTTACAAATAGCTATGAACAGCTTCTGGCCCTCAGGAGACACCCCTGACTGCATCGCCTGGATTAATCGTTGTTTTTCTTCTATGCTTCTCTTTGCACGAGAATTAAGCTGTGGAGAGGAAAGCATACTTTAAACAAACCTCCATAAGTGAAGAGCGCTCAACACAAAGGGGGTAACGGTAACATTCACTTCAACAAGAACAATAAACTTCCAGAGCAGACAGACAGACAGATACAGCAGTGACAACTTTGCTCCCTATTATCAGGAATCATGAGAGTTATACATTAACTCCAAACCATTAAGAGAATTATGAGAAGATGTATAGCTACCATGCAAGCAGCACAGCCCATTGAGTTGGAAATAAAATGATATGAGTTAGATCCAAAACTAAAATACAGTAACACTCAGTTTTCATACCTGTTATTTCTCTGATTTAAGAAATGAAGCATCAATGAGCCTATCCAAGAAATTCCTTCAGTGGATGACAAGACAGAAAGAAACCAAGAAGAAGACCAACGACTGGAGGGATCGATAAAATCAGGAAGTCTGTAGATGCTCAGGCAGCAAAGAGGGCCCGAGAAAGAAATTTGTAGAAGCAAATAGTAGAGGATTTTATCCAACAGTGAACCAATATAGGATGATGATGATGATAATGATGCTGGTAAAGACAATACAGCATTGATTATAATTCTATGATGACAGTAATGACAATATTAACTGTACAGTACATAGATACACAAGTTACAACTTATTCAGTGTTTTCTCACTGCAAGATCAATACACAGTACTAACCTTAGCAAGATTTAGAGATGGCAGGGAGGGTAAAGGGGATCCAGCCGCTTCCCTCAATACATTAACTTGTGAGACGTAGCTAAGGTTCACCATGCGTATGTCACATAAAGATGCACGTCCACTGCTCGCTGCTGCTTCTGAGACACTAAGTTAAGGATTTTCTATCAAAGATATAGTTTCACCTTTCATGCACCAAAAGTATGAATGACATGCCAATGAGAAAAATATAGTTTCACTAGTGACGTACACCCTTCTAAATGAGGGATGTATTCCCAGAAATGCTTGTTAACAATGAATTTGTTTTCTATAGTAAATGGGGGTTATATTATGGACCTAACTGTCTCAATTTAAAGACATGAGAAAAAATAGTAATATGCTATAGTACACTTAAGAAATATAGTACGTACAGTACAGTACTTAATATTGGAAGAACAAGTACTGTCAATGTTTACAGCCTTAACAACATCAACATAGAGAAGTCGACTTGTAAGCCAGGACCTACGGTCTAGAAAACAGTTCGTTAATGTTCAAAATAAGGCAAACAGAGTATTAGGTTTTATATCCAGAAGTGTAAGTAATAAGAGTGCAGAGGTCATATTGCAAGTATATCTTGCGCTAGTAAGGCTGCACCTCGATTATGCTGTTCAGTTCTGGTGCCCTTATTATAGAATGGATATCAATTCACTGGAGTCGGTGCAGTGAAGAATAACGAAAATGATTCCGGGACTTAGAAACCTTCCATGTCAAGATAGGTTAAAGAAACTAAACTTGCCTTTCCTAGAAAGACAAAGAGTGCGGGGAGATATGATAGAAGTATTTAAGTGGGTGAAAGGAATCAATAAAGGTGATATAGATAAAGTTCTTATAATATCCGAGCAGGATAGGACTCGCAGCAACGGATTTAAGTTGGATAAGTTTAGGTTTAGGAGGGAGATAGGTAGGAACTGGTTTACAAATAGGGTGGTGGACGAGTGGAACAAGCTTAGCAGCTTTGTAGTAAGTACTGGAATGCTGGAAAGTTTTAAAAGGAGGCTAGATAGATTCATGGATGATAGAGAGTTGTAGTAACTCTCAACAGGAGCTGCCATGCACAAGCCAACCGGCCTATTGCAGACTCCTTATTTTCTTATGTTTAAAAGTAATAGAAAAATAGAAGTATCAAGTTGCAATTCCTCCAAACTTTTACTCATACAGTATCCAAAAGGTAAGAAAAGTTTTGTCTACATAATTCTTTCCTAAGTGGCTCATAATAACATGCACTGTTATATATATAAATTATTATGGTACCCTTTGTCTACCGTTTTTATTAGCAGAGCCTAATTATTTTCACAATCACTCAAAATAAAAATGTATATATGGCAGCCGTATTAGTGGAGTGTGTTGTCAACAGTTTCAACGGTACAGTTTGGTTAGGTTAGTCAGAAAGACCATATAAGTAACTATCATTGTATAGTTTGCCCACCATGCATGCACATTAGGTTGCCGTACCAATAAAGATTAATATTTCACATACGGCTGCCATACCTGTATCCTTTGTCAAATAAAAATGACGCAACTGTGGGAGAAATGGAAGTGTTAGATTAAGCAAAGTAAAGCTTCATTATTTTGTGAACAGTAAATCGTGCGAGCAATGCCAGAACTTTCAAGTTTTCCAACCATATACAACATTATGGAATTCAGAAAATAAACAGTTCACGTCTCAATTTGTACTGTAGAATACTGTAAAGGATTCTGAAAATGCAAGCAGCACAAACCAATTTGGATATCCATACTAAAGGAAATCTTAGCTTCTTCCTAACTTAATAGAATTTACAGCAATTGAATAAACATAGTGTAAAGATATAATTTTAACAGCCTCGATAGAGTAAAGTGTCTGTAAGTGAGTAAAATATAAGGTGATACAGCATACGTAACGGGTACATAACTGAGGGGTATGATTACTGTCCTTGTAACAATCTGTTGAGTATTACATAGCCCACACTTAAGATTTAAACTGTATTTATAAAGGTCAATACCTTGCAACTTTACAAATAGTGTGTGTATTTTTTCTAATGAGTCAAAACACTTCCTTACCTAACCAAAAAATAAATATATCCATGAAATTTAATGACCTTCCCTTCTTTTCCTGACAAGTGTTATAAGTAGACAACTAAACAAAGACCCTTGAAGATAAAGGATACTCAGAGTCAGAAGCTTCACGTGTGGGTCAAAGGCCACCACCTCCCCTTGCAGCTCCTCGTCAAAGCAAGTCAAGCAACTAACTGTGCTGCCAATATTGAAACACTCATTAGATTCAGCCATCTTGCTCCTCTGGGTGATCCAAGGTGTTTATTATTCTGGGGTTTATAACAATCAACAAAAGAGACCCGTATAGAGAGTTGGTATAAGGGTTTAATGAGGTGTATAGAGCACTGGAGTCCCTGGTGCTGGCCGATCACCTCCCAGCTGGCGGGATGTAAACACTCACCTCTCTCTGCCAGGCTTGACTCCTCCTCTTACTATCTTGTCTCTAAATCAATTCCTCACGACTCAAACTACATAATATCGTATGAGAACTGTGGTAAGTTGATGAGTTACTATAAGAAAATATTAAAATTCTGTTTATTTTTCATATACTTTACTTAATAAACTTACCGCTATAAAGTAAATGAGTAGCCAAGCTGAGTCCCACAATGTCTAGTGTACAGTAATGACCCAATTGTAGCCACAGTCAAGTCAAATGATGGTCCTACAAGGGTAAATTGGGCTGTGAATCACTTCTCGATTAGTATTTAGTGTCAAAGTCACAAAAAATTGGTAAACTTAATTTAATCTGAGTTGAGTTAGGTTAGGTTACGGTTAGGTTAGGTTAGGTTAGGTTAGGGTTAGGTTAGGTTAGGTTAGGTTAGGTACATGCACTCGATCTATTAACTCAGATTAAATTAAGTTTACCAATTTTTTGTGACTTCGTGACACCAAATACGAGTCGAGAAGTGATTGGCAGTCCGATTTATTCATGTAGGACCATCATTTGACTTCATTGCGGGTTCATTTGGGTAATTAGTCGGACCCATACAGTACACGCTAGGAAAAAATATTTTTCGTTTATTTTCACGATGGTCATCATTGTCAAATAGATAAATTTGCATAAGCGCACCCCACTCTGTTAGAAAGTCAAAAATATATTTTTCTAGTGTATTTGTCTGTGTTTAGACCGAATATGACCTTCATTTACGGCGGAAATTGCTCGTTTTTTTTATCGATATTTTTTTTCGTGGGACGTTTACCGAAAAAAAAAAAGCTAGAAAAACAAAACCCAAACCTAACCTAACCTAACTGACTCTCACCATATGATGGAATCACCTATTTCTTACCTTATTGCCGTCTCTCCTTTGTCTTTGGGATAAGGGACGAGTTAGGACAACGCCACATATGTTGGTTTTTGCGATATTTACATTCAGTCTTGCACTTATGACACTTTACTGAGGTCGGGAGAACACCATGCCATCGAAAACATGCTGTAGCTTCTTCGTTTGTTTCCCAAAAACTCACAATCAGCTCCATATAATTTAAGTGACACCCATCACAGACTTCCATGGTCGGAACTGAATTTGAATTTAGAAATACGAGACCCAAAATAAAAATCGATTTTTATTGCGCCAAAAATACCACGAATTAAACCAAAAATCATTTTAATTGGTTGCAAAAAAAAAAGCGCTTTTCACGTGACGTGTACGGGAACGCATGCATGTGATGATTTATGAAGGAGACACGCAGTGTGGGAGGTGAGGTAGGAGATAATGGCGGAAGATTAATGGAAGAAAATAGAGAAAATTTTGGATATGCTATCTCCGTTATTATACATTTGCGATGTTAATGTAATACAGTATAGTATATGGTTTCTCACTTTTGATTTTTCTTTTTAATTTTATTTATGGCTCTACAGTACTATTATTATTATTATTATTATTATTATTATTATTATTATTATTATTATTATTATTATTTTATAATTTTTATTCTTAAAATAATTTTAATTTTTTATTAATTATTATTATTACAGTGGTCCCTCGGTTAACGAACACAATCCGTTGCAGCAGGTTGTTGGTGAACCGAAAAATTCTTTAACCGAAGCCATTGTTTCAATGGGTTTTGGGTAAATGGTTCCAGCTCACCGAAAATTGCATAAATTCAACAAAAATGGTAGAAAAGTTCACTTACTTTGAGGTGTGTATGTAGAAGGCTCCTGGATGATGATGATGATGGGAATAGAATGGGGGTGGAGGAGAAGGAAGAAGAGAAGGCATTGGGGTGGAGGAGAAGGAAGAAGAGAAGGCATTGGGGTGGAAGAGTCACCCCATGGCACCATTTCACCCAGAAAATTTAAGTTCTCTTGGTGTATTTCAAGATTATTTTCTTTAAATCAACACTGCACTGCATTATATATTGTCAATATGTAAAATATATTTCAAAATGACCAATAATTTGCTTGGAACACAGAAAAAAAGCATTTAGTTGAAGAGAGTCTCAAGCAAGATGTTACCTCCAGTGAAAACAGAGAGAGACTAACGCCTGTTTGCTGTGTTAAGAGGCTGGATGCCGCGCATTAAACTAGTCACTTTACCTTCAATTATGTTCAATAATTGTTAAAATGACAAAAAATTTAATATTAAACTTTTAAAATTATTGAATAGTATAAACTTCTTGATATTTACTAAAATAGTAAGGAATTTAAGCCCTAGAACCGATTAATGTATTGGCGGACTAATACTAAAGCTGGTTGACCGGCCAGTGCAAGCGAAAACATGTTGAGGTCGGTTCGTAAGAAATTCGTTAACCGAATTTTTGTTCGTTAACCGAATTTAAGAATCTTATGGGAGGCAGTTCGTTAACCGAAATTTCGTTAACCGAGGGACCACTGTATTATTATTATTGTTATTGTTATTATTATTACTATAATTATTATTTTGATATTTTTGCCCCCCAAGCTCCGATGTGGGTCAATGACCTGTGCCCTGGTGGGCTAATCTTGTATAAAAAAATAAATAAATAAAAGTGGCAGAAGCATTATTAGAAGACTGCACCAACCTAACCTTACCTAACTTCTTAGTCGTGGGGCTCCCCGCATATTAAACAAAAAGATCTTCGGTTATTATAATACTGTATGGTAATTTTATGTTTTTTGTGGATGTGAGAGAATTCTCCCGGACCAAGTAGCTCATAAACATACACTGAGCGTCGGACAAAATCGAGCGTCAATCAGGGCGCCTTACCAATTTATCGCCGTGCAAGACGAAGTAGTGCCCCTAATGCGAGCATAGGCTCCTAAATTTCTACCAAATGAAGCATTTGCCCAAGAAATTAATATCATATGGAACTTAGTCCTTCATAAATCAATGAATGTGAGGTACACCCTGTATCTTTTTCTCTTTTTTTCCAGAAAAGTTGGAGACAAATTGTTCAACAATGTCACATGAAGAGAGTGAAGGGAAATCAAGTAATAGTACTGACTCATTTACTTGCCGGGGAAATGAAAATGGCCATGCTAAGAAAACCAACAAGGTATGATTCAGACTTTGTAAAGTTAGTGGATTATAGGGATGTTTATCAGGGATGTTTATAGTCCAGTGTTCATGGATATTAGTTCCCAATCCCATCCACCACTTCCCTTACCCCATCCTTCCACCACTTCCCTTACCCCATCCTTCCACCACTTCCCTTACCCCATCCTTCCACCACTTCCTTAGTCTTTTTGGTCTCTCTTTTCTACTCTTCACTTGTGCTTACTGCACTTCTCAACACAGTTCAGTATGTTTTTACTACTTCATCAAACTATGGTTGGCTCAGTGTCTGATTTCCACAAATTTCTTTTCATGCCTTACCTGGGCTAATAATTGATACCATTGTTGTCCGTATCGGTGGGTAGCTCCACCGCCCATAGCTGTGAACTCTGTATTTTGGGGTCAATTAGTCAAGGTCGTAATAGGATTTTATAAAATGGTTTCACAATCACACAACATTAGGCTTACACTGGAGTCAAAAGATTAGCGGTCAAGATCATTGAAGGAACTTCATAGTAGGTATTCGGAAATAATGTTTGTAGCTTAAATTGAGTTTGTATCATGTGCATTCATTAAACATGAGAGGTGATTCATCTTTAGGTCAGAGATCAAGGTCATTCTAGGGATTTACTGGTAAATGGCTACAACAGCATGAAGGATGGTCTTCCTTGGAGTAAGGATGAACCCTGTTGATGTTGAGGTCAGAAGGTCATTCTCATTATAGGAACTTGTTTTTATTATCAGAGTGTATACATGAGCATAATACCTGTATTATCACATAAACTGTAAGTTGTTGTCATATAAGTACAATTATTGCTTGTACAGTACATATACTGTACAGTACATATATGAATAAATGTTCATGACAGACAACTCAAATACCCAATTACTTTCAAACTACTTTTGTTCTCACACTTTTGACCCATTCAGATGTTTGAGGTGTACTGATATTTCTCAGCCTCCTCATGTTCCCACAAAGACTTACAGTGCCATCATCCTCAGTGGCACTGCCTCCAAAGCGTTCACAGAAGCGTGTAGTGGAAAAAAAGTCTCTGCAGCACTCTATTGGACCAAAGTCTCTGACTGGAATGTCATGTACATCCTGGCAGCTATGGGTCAGAGCTTGGTCCATGAAGTCTCTCGCTTGACCATCAGTCAGTCTTAAATTTGTCAACATTGAATCCAGTTCTGTGAGAACATTGCAGCCCTCATCAAAAATAAGTTCTCCCTCATGGTGCCACTTGTCATCCATTGGGAACTCTTTTAGATCTGGCCTGTTGATACCACATCCTTGAGGTAGTGTTGGAAGCTGCCTTCATGTCAATGATGGGTTTGTCGACAGGTCACGATATTCTGATGTTCAAACATTTCCAACAGAAATGGAGGTTAATTGACATAAGCGTACCCTCAACGGTGATGGACACCAATCCAGATCCCTGGTTACTAGTGATCGCAGACAAAATCATCAAGTTTGCGATGGAACAAATTGTGATCCACCAGCCCAGGGACAACTACTGAGAACTCTGGAAGTATCAATCATCTTCCTCGGTGGGGCTCCTCCCCTTGGAATCCGATTCAGAGCTCCAAGAGGTCTCCATTGTGCCAGGTGGATGGCCAAATCCATCTATTCTTTGAAGCTTGGATGTTCCACACTCAATTCAAACTGACTCCATTGGAGGAAACCAGTCTGAAGTCGGTATGTGATTTCGTCATCACGATATACCTCAAGGCTTGGTTCCTCGCTCCTACACAAGACCTCTGGCTGTTGAATGAGCTCCAGTGATACCACAGCATCCATCTAAAGATTTTGACAATGGCACTCAAGAAGTTTCTGGCATCTAAGTGAGCACCTTGTCCCTCTGGAGAAGTTTGATGACTTGCTGTCTTTCACTTTGGAAAACAAAAGAACGATGCCACAGGAGATGCTCCAGACAGCAGAGGACATGAATCCACTGAAGAGGGCTGTCATGGAGACATCTGCCATTCAGGAGAAAAAGATCAGTTCCTTCTTCAGCGGACAATCCCAGGAATTCTTTCAAATCTTGGGACTAGATGACGGCTTCCTACTGAAGACCTCTGAAGCTTGGGAATCAGATGCTGCACTCCAGAGGGCCAAGAGAGTAGCATTGCACCTCAAAGTTGTCAATGATCTGACAGAAAGAGGAGTTGCACTGATGACAGAGTACAACAGGCTGATTACTGCTGATGAAGAAAAAAGCAGTACCTTTTGCAGGATGTGGCAGACCACAGGAAGCATTTTCCTACACCAAAAAACTTTGGTTTGGTCTAGACTAGAGCCTTACCAACACAGCCAAAGAAAGAAAGAGTTCGTGCATTTGTGTTTTCGCTTCAGCTACCATTGTCATGCACTCTTATTATTATGAAATGTCTTCCTTGGTAGTGACCTCTAAATATTATTTGTTTGTCGTGAAATTTTTACTGTAGCATTATCTTGTCAAATATAACATTTTTGCAGGGTGCCCTGATTAAATTTCATTGTTTCGTTTTGTACTCCTGTTTTTGTACCACCCTACCGTGTATCTACATACTCTGTACAGTGTACATTGTCTATATTCAGGCTGAACTGTATAACTGGTAATCCAATTGTAAACCTGTATGACAACTTTACTGAAAAAATATTATTAATATTATTATTATTATACATAAATGGTTGGTATTGGATAAGTATAGATAACCATAGTGCTGTACATTACTGTACAGGTATGCATAGTATACAATATACCGGTACATAATATACACAAACCCAGCTTTAAATATCAGAATTACCATTTGGTTGTTTTGGATTTTTCTTCAATAAAAAGTACTGTAGATGGTTATATTTGTTGTCAGCCTAACTTATACTTACTTTGTTTTTTGTAGTCATCAAAAATGGACATGGAGTCCCTTGTGAAAGCTGAGTGTTCCGAGCGAAACTTACATGACCGTCTGGAGAAATTCGCAGAAGAGATGAAGTGGTTTGACCTAAAAGAAGATGGTAATGTCTAATGTTTTTTGCCTAACTGTTCTTACAAAACAAACTAAGGTGGTCCCCAACCTGTAGTTCAGGCACCCGCAGAACTATATTATGGAGCCCGCAAGGGTTTGTTATAGCACCCACCTTTATATTTAAAATGACATAGGTACAGTAAACCCTCGATAACTCGGCACATATGGGGCTCTGGCCATGCCGAGTTATCCCAAATTACGACTTATTGAGGCACTTTCCCCTGCCAACAAAAATACAACAATAAAAAAATATCAACCCATATATGTGTACATGGTACATGTAATTACTAAATGTAAAAAAAGTAACACTTACCAGCACTGCAGGCGAAGAATGAAACATCATAGTAGGTGACACAGATGCATAGTAGGTAACACAGAGACATGGTAGGTGACACAGAGGTATGGTAGGTGACAAAGAGGCATGGTGGGTGACAAAGAGGCATGGTGGGTGACGCAGAGGCATGGTATGTGACACAGAGGCATGTTAGGTGCTGCAGGTGACCAGAATGCCGAGATTCTCCCAGATAATTTTATTTATTTCGGCATTTCCCGAGTTATACTATAGTACATTCCGAGACCATATCCTTACCGAGTTATATGAAATTCCGAGTTATTAAATGCCAAGTTATCGGGGGTTTACTGTATGTGGTCTAGAGCCTACAAAAGGTTGGGGGACCACTGCTATGTTATGCTTGTTGCCCTACTTATGAAATTAGCTAATGGAATGCTGTACAGGAGGACCCCAGGTTACATATGTCCAACTTATGAACATTGGCAATATGAACGAGGTTAAACTTTAAATTTACAGTACAGTACACTGTATTTTATTTATTTACTTATTTTTATTTATGGGGATTGGATTAGGCTAGCACACCTGGGCACAGGTCACTGATCCACATCGGACCCTGGGGGGTGAAAAACAAAACCTGAACCATAAATACGGTGTAAATATGGAAATGGGAAAATTTAAACAGATCAAAAGTGAGAAACAATATATATGTTGTGTTATCAAAGTAAGAGAAACAACTGAGACCCTACAATTGTGTGTAAAGAGGCAGAGAGTCAGTCAGATTAGCAACCTGGGACTTGGTCACAATTTTTGTGATGCCATATGGCAAGAGGGTATACCATTAGACAACACATTATGCTTTCAATATCTTCCCAGGCAGTTAACTGATGACTTATTTTTTTACTTTCATTTACTGTACTGTATTTTGTCATTCTAATTCTTCTTTTCTCTTAAATTAAGTGATTTTAAATGTATGTAAGGATTTAGGCTATCATATAGTGGGATTTTAAACATTGTTCTGTACAGTAAATACGGTATGCACATTTTCGACTTTAGAACTGGAGGCATCATTTAAGGGGGCTCCACGGCCAAATTATAGTTTCTTAAAAAAAAAGGCGCTTCACATTTTGTGGATTACTAATATAATGAACTGGCTTACAGTTTTAGAAAATTTTAGAATAATTTGAATTAAATAATAATGACAATGAATTATGAAGAAAAAAATCTATGACTAACTTCTGATGTCACAATAAATAAACTAAATCAAATGAACTCCAGAGCATCGGTGCTTGTGATGGGCTGCAGTCCTCCTGCCTCCAACTGAGAAGGTAAGGACAGGGACCCGACAAGGGGGTTGGGTTGTTCATCTTTATTTTGTAGAACAAATTCCTAGTGCCACCAATAGTCTGTCAGAGCAGCTTCAGTCACATGATATTCTAATTTCTGATGCATGTTCTCTCATTGAGTTGACCAAGAATGAATTACCAAATAAGAGAACTGATAATGCTTTCTTTAGTTAGTTTGATACAACCAAGACTTTTGCCAAGTCAATTAACATTCACACTGGTGACACATTTAGTAACCGTTGCTAAAAATGAGGGAAGATCACAACGAATTCGGGTGTCCTCACATCTCAAACATTTTCTCATAAACACAACCATTGGGAAAAGTGATGTTGAGGTTTCTGGCAGCACATCTTTCACTCTTGTAATGAATGCCAAAGTAGATTATTTTTCCATATTAGACAGGTTTATTTGAGAACATGATAGGCGCTTCTCAGAGAACATGCCCTTTTGACAGCTATTTCGTCCTTTGACTGTAATTCAAGAGACTTTTTAGAACTAGGGAACTTACCCGGTAACTCTATCACACACTCGTATCAGAGCATTGGTGTGGATGAAATCCTTTTACATTCCCAAATTTCTGTTGCCAAAAGACACATTTCTAACAAAAGTGAAAAGTCAAAGAATCTGATTACAGTTTGCCTATTCTGAAATTTTTAAATTTTTTAAAATAATCATCACTCTTCCAGTAACCACTGTTTTCTGTGTTGGGTTCGGTGAAGCACTATTTACGAACTTTGATGAGCATGATCGACTGAATTACTTACTTCTGATGACCGCTGAAAAAGAAGTGGTCAAAGCCCTTGGTTTTGATGTTTTCATGGATGATTTTGCAAAAAATGAAGTCTAGAAGATATCCTCTACTACAATAGATGATATAAATTTCAAAACCTATTGCTTTAACTTATTAATTTGATCGTTAACTGCAAATACAGTAAGTGAAAAATAAACCTGTCTATCTGATACCATTTAATCACTCTTGGTAATAATATTTTGATATTAATAAAGTGCAGTGTATACAATGAGGGGTCTCTCACTGCCTTCTTTGCCCCCCTCCCCCCTAGCCAACCTGAAATGACTCCTCTATTAGAACTTCCATAGAAATGGAACTCGTACGTAACCCATGGATCGCCTATATTTATAAGATAAGGTTGGGAAGCTTACCATGTATGTATGTATATGATATTTCAGATAATTTTTACTTTTAATTATTCTTCCACTTAATATATAGGGTGGTTGGAAACAAGAACAGATACACATAAACACAGACACATACATAAGCCCCCTAACTCACTGTCATTCATTCTTAATGGTGTCATTTAATTATACAGCATGCCCTGACAAATTCACTGATTTAAAGTTGCTGCCATTTTCACGACCAGGACAGGGAGCCATTCGTTTTAGAGATAGTAATTTATTTTACCTGTAGTGTGTGTGTGTGTGTGTGTAATAATAATTATAATAATAATAATAATAATAAACGGTTTATTAATAGAGTTGCAGCCGGTGGCTGAAAATATACAAACTTACATGTGATTTAGACATAATTATATTCGTCCAATACATTTACAGGGCTGTACAGTACATAAATCAGGAGTTGTTTATTATTTTAACAATACCGTAGATGGGATGGTGCAATTCTTTTATCTATCAGTGCGGGCTCTTATGGACTGAATTTTGTTGTAGTGGCGGACTGCGCGAGGTGGGCGGGGGACTGCCGGTGGCAGGAGGTGGCGATGACAAGGATGGTGCAGTAGTCCACTGCCAAACCTTGCTAGTGTTTGGTGGTGGAGGTCACTGAGGGATGGCATTTCCAGGGTGGAGAGAGCGTTGTTGTAGCCGGAGTAGTCTGCACTGAGCATGATTCTGCAGGCCCTTTTCTGTACCTTCTCTAGCTGACGTTGTTGGGTAGAGTTGAGAGAAGACGACCAGGCTGGTGTCGCATACGTTAGTTTGGGGAGAATAAAAGCGTTGTAGATAGTCCTCGGCTCGGGTGGGTGCCCCAAGTGACCTGAGTCGTCGTAGCATGTAGAGTCTGTAAGAGGCTGCCTTGATTGTGTTTTTTACTTGGGCCTTCCAGTCCAGTTTGTGGTCTATGGTAACACCCAGGAGTTTGGCAGACTGCACTAACTGAAGAGGATGGGCACCCACTGTGACTGCTGGAGCTTGCACTGGAATGGTGGTGGTATTGATGTGCATGACTGCGGTTTTGGTGTGGTTGATGGTAACCTTGTTCTCCGTAGTCCATACCTGTAACCTGTCCAGGGTGCCTTGTAGCGATGAGTGGTCTGGTGAGGTGTTGTCCACTGTAACCCCTACAGTGTAGTCATCCACGTACTTCCACCTGTGAGGAGTGTCCGATAGAGCGTCGTTGATCAGGAAGCACAGTGGTCCCATCTTGGTCCCCTGGGGAACACTGCCTCACTCAAGAAATCAGTGAGCCATGAGACCAGGTTGGTGGGCAGCCCTAGTGCAATGACCTTGTTGATAACAGTGCAGTGATCAACAAGGTCAAAAGTCTTCCTGAAGTCAACAAGGGCAATGGCCAGTGATGTCTTACGTTTCTGCAGGTTTGTGTGCAGGAAATCCAGGAAACTAACTAAGCAGTGTGATGTAGAGGAGGTCCTCATATTGCCATATTGCTGTGGATCAATTGACTGATAAATACTAGCAAATGCCCACTCAAAAATCAAAGTCTTCACAGAGTAGATTTGGTATGGGGGTAATGGCAACTGGCCTGAGGTCGTGAGGGGACTGTGGGGTGGGGACCTGGGGATAGGGGTGACAAATGCGGTTTTCCATTCATTAGGGCATTTGCTTTGTCTGAGAGATGCAAACTCCTTGTAAATTTTGATTGGGAGGTCAATTGGGGTTGTGGAGAGTTTGGATTTAAATTTCAGGAGTTTGTTGGCAATTTCAAATGGTTGAACACTGGGAGGGGGGAGGGGGAAGGTAAGTAAGCCGGGAGGAGGTGAGGTCAAGACTGGGTAAGGTATGACATATGGTAGCAAAGTGGTTATTAATTATCTCAGCTGCCTCCTCACTAGGTAAATGTGAGATGAAAGGAAGTGTGGGAAACTGACGGTTAAGACCACAGAGATATTTTACCTTAGAGTACCACTGACCGATGCCGACCTCCTCGAGGCCGTGCACTTTCCTGGGATAATAAGACTTCTTGGCTGACTTGATTTCCCCGATGACCTGGTTAAGTAGACTTTTTTACAGGCGTTTGTTGGGGATTTAGATGCAAGCAAAAATGATGGGAAGGAAACCCAAAAACAAAAAATGAGCATTGAAAGTAAAGCAACTCATTGTTGCTGCATTGATTTCACGAACTTCACCAGATTTCATCAAAATTTGTCATGTTCTCACAATTTTTTTTTTTTTTTGTGTGTGTGTGTGTGCATGCATGCGAGCGTGCAAAACACATGCAAATAAATAATAATGGGAAAAATCCTCTCACAAATACCGGGTAATCAGAAACAAGACAACAAATTTTTGAAAAAAATGTGAGTCTACCCTCAATTCAACTCCATGCTTTGTTATTTAAGTTAATCAAGCCCGGAGTTGACTTGATGGTAGACTCACATTTTGTCTTGTTTTTGATTATTTGTGAGAGAATTTTTCCCATTATTATTTATTTACACTATATGTGTTTTGTGTGTGTGTCTACACAAACACACACATATACTGTACAATACAGGTATACAGGTAAACGAAATAATTGTCCTAAGGGCAAACACATAAAGGGAATATACATTTCTTTGCACATGAGTTGAGTATAACCCCCCTCCCTCGGTCAGCAATGTTATTCGCGGATTTGGTTATTTGCGGCCATTTTGAGAACCTAACCCCCGCAGATTTAAGGGCATGCTGTATTACATTAAGGTGATGTAAAGATTAAGAAAAAAATTATTGATCAATGAATAATACGGGAAGAAAACTTACTTAAACATTACATAGGTAAACAACACTACAGTGCAGTACTGTACTATATTCCATCACTGAAATGTGATTTTTTTTTTTCAGATTTAAAGAAGATGGAAATTTTTAAGAATAATGGTGATTGATAGTAACCTATCAGTCAGCGTACAAATATAAAAAAATATATATTTATTTTTTTGAAAAGTGGATGTGGCAATTAAAGATTTGATTTACATAGAGAATAATGTCATGGGCGTCTGCTGGGAAGGGGGGGTGGGGGGGGGGGCAAGAGGGAGCAGTTGCCCTCTCCCTGGATCAGGTTAGTGTCGAAATATATAAGCAACAAATACCCAACAAAAGAAGAGGATTTAGAATCAAACAAAAATGAAGGGAAGGAAAACCAAAAACAAAAAATGAACATTGAAAGTAAAGCAACGCATTGCTGCTGCATTGATTTCACCAGATTTCATCAAAATTTGTCAGGTTCTCACAATTTTTTGTTTTAAAATCAGACAGTAAAAACCGAACCTAAAAAATCAGCCCACCAAGCCTGACTGTGGGGGGCTTGCCTATTCCCCCCTGGAAAAGTTCCAGCAGATGCCCTTAAATACAGTAGATAATGAAATATAAAACTTCATCTAGATTTTAGTTTTATTCTGTTCATGATGGTTTAGAAATACAGAAAACATAATACTTAGTACAGTGTTTATTTTCAGAATCGTTACCTGTGTTACCAGGTCCAGATATTGAAGATATTCAACAGAGACAAATAGAACTTCAACCACCAGGAATTCCTTTCTTTACTGGGACGCATGTCCAACTATATACAGAAGGTAATTAATAATACTTTATATCAGGAACAGTTGACCCAGATATACAGTGACCTCTCGTTTAACGAACGCCTCGGTTAACGAAATTTCGGTTAACGAACTACCTTCCATAAGGATCTTCAATTTGGTTAACGAATTTCTTACGAACCGACCTCAACATGTTTTCGCTTGCACTGACTGGGCAACCAGCTTTAGTATCAGTCCGCCAATACATTAATCGATTCTAGGGCTTAAATTCCTTACTATTTTAGTAAGTATCAAGAAGTTTATACTATTCAATAATTTTAAAAGTTTAATATTAACTTTTTTAGTAATTTTAACAATTATTGAACATAATTGAAGGTAAAGAAACTAGTTTCTGGCGTGCCATCCAGCCTGTTAACACACCAGGCAGGCGTTAGTCTCTCTCTGTTTTCAGTGGAGGTAACATCTTGCTTGAGACTCTCTTCAACTAAACGCTTTTTTCTGTGTTTCCAAGCAAATTATTGGTCATTTTGAAATATATTTTACATATTGACAATATATAATGCAGTGCAGTGTTGATTTAAAGAAAATAATCTTGAAATACACCAAGAGAGATAAAATTTTGTGGATGAAATGGTGCCATGGGGTGACTTCTCTTCCACCCCAATGCCTTTTCTTCTTCCTTCTCCTCCACCCCCATTCTAATTCCCATCATCATCATCATCATCATCATCATCATCATCATCATCATCATCATCATCCAGGAGCCTTCTAAATACACACCTCAAAGTAAGTGAACTTTTCTACCATTTTTGTTGAATTTAGGAAATTTTCGGTGAGCTGGAACCAGTTACCCAAAAACCCATTGAAACAGTGGTTTCGGTTAACGAACGACCTTCTGGAACGGATTGAGTTCGTTAACCGAGGGGTCACTGTACTGTACCATGAACTGGTATCTCTGTGAGAAACAGAATGGCCCTAATGAACCTTGCAATAGTAGCCAGACTTTAGGAGTCTAGATAAATATTCCACAGAGTTGCCACATCTCATAAAATGCACCAGCCACTGTACATAAGTGCAGGTAACTATACCATTCTTCTCTCACATTATCTCCCTTTCTTGGGATTTCTGTATCCTCTAATCCAACTTACACCTAAATTGGAAAGAAGTAAAGGTAAGAGAGTCATTGTACCATAATCAAATCACCTGTTTTCCACATGCAGACTGTCCCGACTTACGACAGGGATGCATTCCTGGACCCTGATTGTAAGTCAATTTGTTTGTAAGTCAGAACAGTGTTCATTCCATAGTTTAGGTTAGATTAAAGCACAACTCTGCCAACACCAAACAACAATACTGATGACACGTGTTTCTACCACCGCCCTATACAGTATGGTCGGGATATATTACGAGATAGAGTCCAATGATCTTCGCTATATACAGCTGCTCCCCGACTTACGACGGGGTTAGGAACCCAAATCCAGGTCGTAAGTCGGACATAAAAAAACAAAAAAACATAAAATCTACAATGAAATACAGTACTACTACTACAACAGTACTACTACAGTGTATTTTTTTCCCTTAAACATGGACTCCAGCCTCCCCCAATAGCCACACCTTCGCTGCCATTTTATTACCTTAATACTGTATTAAATATCCTAATACTTGAGTAGCTATCCTAGCTGTGTTGAATTAGTTGATCCGCAGATCTATGCGGCATTCAGTGACTGTAGCCTCATAGTCAGTATCTGCAGCTGTTGTCGGCTTTGGGGCCGAAGCTCTTGTTCCCCTGAGGCAGAGCAAAGCCGACCGAAGGAGAGAGAAGGACAGTCAACATTTCATCCAGGCTGTAACATAATTTCTGGGCTGCTGCTTCTGTTCGGAGATCACCTCCGCGAGTCTGGCATAAAAATATCTTGCACTTGGTCCCATCCCACCAGAGGTTGTGAACACTAGAGGAGTGAAGCTGCCTTGATCAATGTTCTGAATTCTCTCCCCGTATTCCCTTATCTTCTCGTTCTTGTTCCTCCTGCGTGCAGCATCGAGAGCTAGGTTACGGTGACATGCGGCCATGGGATAAAAAATCCTGATGTCGAAGAAAGCTTGCTGTCCCCGCGTCCAGAATCCTCGAGCACTGACGTCCACACGGGCTTCGTTAGATGTGTTTGAATTCCTGTGTTGGAAGATCTCACCATCCAATGGAAGGAGGGTCGGTTCTACCATGACATCCCGGCAGATTTCCTTCAGCCTATTTGCTGTGAGGACCCTTACCTCGTCATGTCTCATGCATATGAAGCCCCCCTTTTTGCACACCATGGCGTGATCGCCATCATAGGAAGAGCCACACACGCATTGGGAGGGCAAACCTTCCACTGGCCAACCGTACCTTAGAGCAATGGCATCTGTAAATTCTTGTTTATTAAGACTGAAACCATTTGCCCTTATCGGTAACGTAGTTAACCAGTTCGAGGCGCCCACCTCCTGCGCAATAGCTACTTTTTTTTTTTCAATTTTTCTGGCACCTGCAGCAACAGTTGCTGCAACTTATCATTTTGGCAGTGCTGTCGATCTGTCATAATGGACCTACGAATCTCATTTACTTCACTGGTCTCGACCTCCCCTGTTGCGTTCTGGGCTATTATGTGGTCCGTGAGGGCTGCCGTGAGCTTAAGTGAATTTTGATGTTCGGTGGCTGCAATCTCCTACTACTACTACTACTACTACATTTTTGCCCCAGGCCTTGATGTTGGCCATTAAAAATTATACTTTTGCCCAGGTCGGCTAATGCCCTTTAGCAGAAAAAAAAGAAAATAAGAAATATAAAATAAAAAAAGACCAATTGGTCAAGCTCTTGTTTCATTGGTTGGAAGTTCAGAGTTACAATCTGTTAATAGTGTTACCCAAATGTCATACTTATAAGGGTTTCTTAGGCTAGGTAAGTATCAGGGCCTAGTTCCAGGACCAGGTTCAGGGATTGATAATGCCCTTACTAATTTTATTAAGGTACTCCTTAAAAAATCTTTGATGCATATAGTAAAAGGAACCTTTTTTTTTTCAGAAACACTCATTTGGCCATTCCATGATAACGCAATACAGAGCCTAGCAAAGGTTGACCCCTCAAATGTGAGAAGATATATTAAAGAAGGACTTTTTCAAGTAAGTGTATTCTCCATCTGTCAATATCCATTTTGTGTTTTCTCGCATTTAAATTTTTTTTTGTCTATTGAATTGTAAAGCTTGCCTCCCTACACCTACCTCTTTCTTTCAACCCTATGGCCAGTTTTGACCAGACTAATTAATGACTTCTTACTGTAATAACAATACTGTTTATAAATTATAATTGCATCTGCATAGAGGCAGACTGAGATGGTTTAGATATGAGGAGAAAATGGATGACACCAATTGGGTCAATAGTTGTGAGCTTAAATGTGTATGGGACAGCAGAGACAGGTCAAGAATAACGTTGAGAAAGGTTTTAAAATATAGCATTAGAGCTAAAAACTGGTCAGTAGAGACTGTAAGAGACCATGCTGTATAGAGAGCTGCCATAAAGTAACCGTGGCTAAATCACACAAGCATGGAAATGGTCGGAAAATGTTGATTATGATAATTATAGAGTCTATAATTCATTGAAATTTCTTATTGATCCTTATTGCTGACAGTTTGTTCATAAACCTTATTCAGTAATATTAATAGCTCTGTCCCTGTCTTATTTAATAACCTAGTTCTTTAAGAGGGTCTTGGTTTCATATCCAAGCCCATTAACTAATTCAGGACTTGAGAAAACTCTAACATATTTGACAAACACTCACCACATTCATTCAGATTACATTACTATACTCTTGTATTTGACTGAGTTCTTATCCATCAGTGAATGGATTACATCTGACATAAAATGCATAGGTAGAAATTGTATTAATACAAAATTAAAAAAAATATTCAGTAAAATTTCCACAGCTTTGAGAATGGGAATTTATTTATACAGTTTAGTTGAAAGGTTTAGTTGGTTTTATGAAGTAAGTTATGAATGGTAATTCGGAAATCTTTTTTCTTTCAGAGGCAATATTCTTCAAAAAATTCAGCCAAACTTTTGGTGAAGTACCTCTTCCATGTTATGTGCTCTACCACAGATGAAGAGTTAAGGTTTTCTGCTTACAACACTCTCTGTTACTTGTTTGAAGCCAACGAGCCAAAAACCAATATACTTAAAGATCTTTACAAGGCACTTGCTAATTTAGGTAGGTGGTGATGTATTCTATTTTCTTCCAATTTCTAAATTGTCTTCTTAATTTGGATGTCACTAATCCAGAAATCTGGATAATCTGAACCCTGTGTGGTCCAGCCATATATTTTCTGGAAAAATCATAAAATTCCTTTATTGAGTAAAGTACCGGGTATGTAAGACTTCTGAAAAGTGGATAATTATGTAAATTTGATACTATCATGAGCAGCTATCCAAGGAAAGCATGTAAAGAATCAGACTATTTGCAGTTTGGCAGCTGACGCACCATCCTGGGAACACCAGACTCGGCAGCAGACTCCACAATCCCACACCTACAAAAATGAACCCCAAAAATATTAGTTACAGTATTAAATATTTCCCATTAAGCTTTCCATTATCTTCACTTCACTTTTCACATCACTGGCAACCCATTTACACTCGCCTTAGAAGTCGTAATCTGCAGCAGAGTCGGCTGCTTTCTTGTCACTCACTCAGAAAGACTGAGCGGGTGAGCGTGAATACGTGAGTGAGCATCCACGGTGGCGCGTCTGGTGAGCAAATAACGCATTTGTTTGCTATGGCGGTACATTTAAAATATTTCCGGTTTCCCTCGTGAAATAAAAAAATTATTGCTATACAGGTGCTCCTCTACTTATGAATGAGGAACTGTTCTTGAGGCTTGTTTGTAAGTCAAACTTTACTCCTGTAGATACCAAACATGTTGTAAAAAATTAAATGATTATGGATATTTAGTACAGCTATACCCTTTAATACAGCCTTAAAACTTTGCTCACTCTTCTCCTCTTAGGTAATGTTTGTTCTGTATGGAATTTTCTTCAAAATAATCCAGTCCCATCCACATTAAACACCTGTTCTGGCAGGTAATTCCCCTCAGTGATGATGTTTGTATCTCTGAAAGTTTGTAAGTTGAACGTTCTTAAGTAGATGAGCACCTGTACAGTATATAGGAAAATTTCGATAATTTTGGTAGTCGCGGTATAAAATTTTTTTTATATAAAGTCGCGATATATCCCGACCCTACTGTAAAGGGGGGTTAGAACCCCACACTTAGGAAATTAGGTAAGGTTAGGTCGGTGATGTTTTCTAACATCACTTTTGTCACTTTTTTTTCTTATCAACAAAGGTTAGGTTCAGTGAAATTTTTAAATAACCACTTTTTATCACATTTGCACAAAGTATGACAGTGTCCACTATAAAACACAGTGAAAAATCTCCGACGGTTCAGTCGACCATAATTACCACTTGTTCAAACATAAAATGAGATATTGTTTGTTAAAGTGTTTTCAAATGATGGAATTAGTACAGTATATAATTACTTAGTACAGTAATGGATATTGTTATGTACCTAAAATAAAAACAACCCTTAAAATTAAAATACTGTACATTACTCTACTCATAAATATTGTTTTTATGTACAATATATGAATCATGTTTAAAATTACAAAGCATCGAGTACAATAGGAACTATATTTTTTATTACCTGACTAAGCTATATTATTTATATTCAATATCTGTATAGGGGCTGATGTTAGCAAGCTGGCCGTGAATGTATCAGATATCAAGTCACCTGTCATTCCTTCTTCTAAAAGTGAGAAAATTGTAGCTGAAAATTCCTCCAGGATCATCAGAGAAATCTTAACAATGGTAAGTGATCCATTGAAGAATTCCACCAAAGTTTAAAAGTTGTAACATGATATACAACTGCTATACAGTAAACCCTCAAGTTTGGCGACTTTCTGTTTGGCAAATTCAAAGTTGGCGGTCAAAATTCTAAATAGTACCCTGCTTTCCATTATGGCAACCAAACCATCACCTTTGGCGAGAGTTTAAATTTAAATGCAATCACAACTAATACAGTAATTGTAGAATAATAAGTGCAAGATATATCTCACTTAATATTACTAGAGAGCATTATTGGTGAGTATTTACCAATCCCAGTCAGCTGTTCAGGCGGCCATTTTGACCGCGCCAATCCATATTCCCCCCGCTTTTATGCTGCCCAGTTATGGGGTCACTAATCCTAAGGGGTTACTTAAATTACTACTTAACTTAATGTCGCTGCCACCAGACCCCCTGGACAGTATGTTGCTTGCTTAGGTAATTGGCAGAGCAAGCCAGGCATTGGGTTGTCGTTTTTCATTGACCAAATCGAGAATGGAAGGAAGGCTTTTTCCCATTGAATTAAGCCCTCTGGTTTGGTGATTCTGGGTTTGGCGAGGTTTTTTCGGCACAAATTAGTCGCCAAACTGGAAGGTTTACTGTATAATGTACATACGAATATACTGTACAGTATTTGGAAATGCTGTTAACTACTCAAAGTCTCCCTGGGCAAATTACCTATTAAATGGTTTGTTTTGTACACCCAGAACACTTTTACTTCAGTCAAATAAGAATTATGTGATAACTAATGGATTTGGGCATCCACTTGGTTAGGGAGCCAGTTACCCCCTGGATCTAGTCCCCTTAAGATCCTCAACATAATATGGGCAGAGTGTAACCTTTTGTCTTACCACAAACTAACTGAAGAACTCCTTACAGATGCATTCAGCTGCATACTTTCTCTCTCTTCCCCATAAATAATGCATGCACATAAGCCTTCAGTCACCCCTCCCCCCCCCTTCCATTGACTGGCCTATTGCTGCCGGGTAGTAGCTGGACGTAGATAAAGACAGCTAGCTCCATTAATTATAGATTGGTGGTCACTTGATACTACCACAACATCATGTGGAATTACCATATAATTATATCTCAAAGGAATGTCAGGGGTTAAGCCCGTCATTACTTACTGGGAGCTCACCTATCCCCTTGTCCCCTCCTGCCCTCCTATCCTGGAAAAGTTCCAACAAAAGCAATGCCAATGGTGTGAATAGGGTAAAATATGCATTTTTTTTTTTTTTAAGAATAGCATATGAATAATATGATTATGCCGACTTTAATTTAGGTAGATAGGTTAGACAAGGCAGTTTATAGGCCCATTTTAACATCACTTCTCTTTTTCAGCTTCTGCAACTTCTGAGTATCATTTTGACCAACAGCAAAATGTACAGTGAAAATGATTTAGATGAACTCATCTTTATTTTTCTTGCCATTGGCTTGGATCCAAAGGTGATCGACACCAGCTTGGATTCTCAAATTTCCACCTGTATTTGCCATGCACTCAATTTATATGCTTCAGATGAGATTTTCTATCAGGTATGTTTTTGTCATTACTACCATTATGCATGTACAGTAGCTAAAACAACTATCTGCACAGGTGGGGGTCGATATGCTTCAAAATTTTATGTGTGACTAGTGACAGCCCTCATATGCCAAAATTTATCGTCCATGGTCTCATATTGTTTCCCACAAAGTATGCACAGATAGTTGTTTTAGCTACTGTACATTATTTTCACAGTTTCTGAAGCTCTGTACTGTACATACAATTGAGTTGAGCATTTTACAGAGTTATGTAGCAGAGTTCATTTGTCCTATTGTTATATACAGTTACTCCTCGACTTACAACCACCCGGGCATACGACCGCCTCAGTCATACCAAAATTTTTTCAAATTACGTATTTCCAAGTCCCGACGCTAGTGATTGCGAAGATAATACATAGAAAATATAAAATGGGTGTCCCTTTTTCTTCTCAGCACCACAAAACTCTCACTTTAAAGCTTGCCAGCCATTTTAAAGTGAATTACAAACGAAAATTTTGTCAGTACACACGCAATCACTGACGTTGGGACTCGAAAAAACGTAATTTGACAAAATTTTGGTACGACTGAGGTGGTCGTAAGTCGAGTAGGTCGTAAGGCGGGGAGTAGCTGTATACATGTACCATAAGAGGCTGATCATATGAGAACATAGTACTGAATCAATAAATAAACCTGAGGAATTGCAGCAACCCCAATCAGGCCTCTACCCCCCTCCCCCTGCAACCCCCAGCCTACTTACATACACAGTGTCTTAACTCTCGTTAGGCCTACAGAATTTCTGATTAGACCACTGTATAGTATTCAATGAGTAAGTGTTGATCTTTTCATAAGATTTATTTTATTTTTATTTTTTTTACCCATTTCTTAAAATATGTACCTACATAATTTTAACCCATTTCTTAAAACCCTCTAGTAACCCCGTTAAAGATACTATATTCTCTACAAAATAAGCTCATGTAAATGAGTGTAAGTAGCGAGGTGCAGCACCCTGATACTATACATATGAAGGCAGGACTCAGACTGAAACTGAGAGTCTGAGACAGTGAGGCTTGTGTTGCACGTCACCCATGCACAGATGTTCTGCGGCACATAAACCGTCCAGACTGATGCTGGATTTTCCCGATTTTTTATAAAATATTTCTGGTGAATAGAGGAGTGCTCCAGAGCACCAAAAAGTCCCCCCCAAAAAGCAAATTCCAATATACTATACTGATTCTGATTTATCAAGGTTTTTCTGTAATATGTAAACACTGGAGGTGATAAGGTGAGTCTCCCATTGTGAATGTGGAATGTACCCTTTGCAAAAACTGGGGTATTCGTGTATAATGAAAATTTCTTCCTGTATTTGTTATGACATTTGTGTGAAATGACGTATATCTGTACAACATATAGCGAAGACCACCCTGTGCATCCAGAAAATCTATAATAGCCGTACAATGTTTGCTCCCTTATTTTATAAGCAAATTAATAAATAAGTTTGTTAAATGGCAAGAAATAAAAGTACAGGTATCCCTCGTTTAACAACTGTTCAGTTAACGATTTTTCAGTTTAGAGATTTAAAGATTTTAATGCCCTTTGGTGTTTAACTATCTGCAATTTTGGGTTTAGCAATCTTCGACTCACTGGGAAAAATTTGGGAACTAGGTCGGAAGAATGGGGATTCTGTGCTCCAAGTGAGCATCTCTGCTATCACTTAATACCACTACAGTACATGGTTTTGGGCATAGATTAATGTGACTTACTGGTTATTGGGTATTGTAAGGACTGTTCATATACCCTGAACTATTGTGATATTGTAAAAAGTGATTGAACTTTGTGATAATATCGAGTAATCGTGCAGCTGTTTCGCATTCCTCATCAGGCAAGGCCAAACTCTCCCGCAAGTCCTTGAGCTTGGAGGTGAAGCTTGACATTATATGTGGACTTGGTGAGTGTTACTTTACTGTAGTGTACTGTAGTTTACTATTACAGTACTGTATAACAAATTCTACTTATTTTCACCCATTTTGCAATTTGGCAATTGTTTCAGTCTACACTGGACACTAGACAGCATACAGCTGGAAGATTCCCACGCCGCTGCCCCTCCTTTCCACCGCCCTTGCTCTGCGGGTTAACTGACGGGCACATAAGAAATGATTATTCCCTTTATGTTTTGACATGATAATTATTTTATTTTTTATTTTTTGTTGCACATTTTGTATGAACAATTGCGTGTGCATGTAACAGTAAATGAAAATTAAGAAAATTACGTATATCTACCTGAAATTAAGAGTTGAACAATAATTTAGCTCACAGCTCAGTCTCACCCTCTCTGAGTGGTACTGGGTGGTGAGTCCGACACTAGGCTACACAATTACGTGCCACCTCCACAGTTATTATTCCTTTTTATCCCTCGTTTAGGATATTATATCTTGTTTTCCCTCATTTAGCGAACATTTCACTTAGCAATATGTTTTTCAGTAATGCATTGCAATCACTAAATGGGGGATACCTGTAACAAGAACTAATAAGATGGTTCAAGGTGTCCTAGTTGCATAGTACAGATACAGTAAATGTGAGGAATAAATCAAATGAATGATAATAAATAAATAAAAACTCTATTCCCATTTGGCTGCTGGGCAACAAAATTTGTCAATCTTTTAACTACACATGAGTGACAGCTGAGGTCCTTCGGTTCCCCCCCCCCCCCACTTATTTTGAATTCTTATTACATGAAGAAAGTTTGTATCCTTTTATATTTTTTACTTTATGGTAATTTTGTTTTTGCACATTACCGGTATGTATGAAAGATTTTATGTTTATGTAACTGAGTAAAAAAATAATTAAGTTAAATATATAAATCTGAAATTACGAGTTCAAAAATATCCATAACACCCCACAGCTCAGTAAGGTTAGCCTACCGTGAGCATGTCCTGGGTAGCTACAGTATTGTTCACCATAAATGCTCGGTAAATTTTAAATTCCACCACCATAAAACTGTCTGGACTAGTGATTGCTGGAAAATCGGTGGTTTACCTGTACCACAATTTTGTATAGAAATTGGATAATGAAGATCCAGTAGCATTATATGTCTATATGTCCATCAATGAGTTTCAAATTACTTTACAGTACTGTAGTATAGTAGCTTCTATACATCACTCCCTTCTTGGCAATGAACTTAAAAGTATTTTGATATGCTCTTCTTACATATCAGTGTAGCTTTTTTTTTTGCAGTAACTGAAAAGAACTTTCAAGGGTTTCTATGCATTTGCAGAGCTTACAATAGGCATTTGTTAACCTTAAGTTAAATTTTCTGTTTAAAGTACTGAGATAAACATACTGTACAGGTAGTTGCAGTCACAGTAGTAATCATCCTTTTATTGCAGTAATTGTACATTAAGATAAGTTTTTAATGCTATTTCTTCTTATGTTTCAGAGAGTTGAAGGTCTGGTAGAACAGATTACATCATATAGTGAATTTCATCACCATAATGTTTCGCATTTTTGCTGTATGTATATTTTGCCTACTCGCCGTGGTACAATTCTCAGATCATCAATTGCTTTTCTTCAAGCCCAGATTAACCTTCGAAAGGAAGAAAAGATCCTTCATGTTATTGTGGAGGTAAATTTTACTAGCTACTCTTATATAAGTTATTTTTTTCAACATAATGCTGTACATCAGTGGTCCCCAACCTGTAGTGAAATTAATTAAAATATGTCATAACTTGATACAACTGTCGTGTACAGGACGTGTGTATTTACCCTAGACCGGGCCCAGAGAGAGAGCCAGTAAATATAAAAAGTACATTGACCCCTCGGTTAACGAACTCAATCCGTTCCAGAAGGTCGTTCGTTAACCGAAAAGTTCGTTAACCGAAACCATTGTTTCAATGGGTTTTTGGGTAATTGGTTCCAGCTCACCGAAAATTTCCTAAATTCAACAAAAATGGTAGAAAAGTTCACTTACTTTGAGGTGTGTATGTAGAAGGCTCCTGGATGATGATGATGATGATGATGGGAATTAGAATGGGGGTGGAGGAGAAGGGAAGAGAAGGCATTGGGGTGGAAGAGAAGTCACCCCATGGCACCATTTCACCCATAAAATTTTAGTTCTCTTGGTGTATTTCAAGATTATTTTCTTTAAATCAACACTGCACTGCATTATATATTGTCAATATGTAAAATATATTTCAAAATGACCAATAATTTGCTTGGAAACACAGAAAAAAGCGTTTAGTTGAAGAGAGTCTCAAGCAAGATGTTACCTCCAGTGAAAACAGAGAGAGACTAACGCCTGTTTGCTGTGTTAAGAGGCTGGATGCTGCGCTTTAAACTAGTCACTTTACCTTCAATTATGTTCAATAATTGTTAAAATGACTAAAAAATTGAATTTAAACTTTTAAAATTATTGAATAGTATAAACTTCTTGATATTTACTAAAATAGTAAGGAATTTAAGCCCTAGAACCGATTAATGTATTGGCTGACTGATACTAAAGCTGGTTGCCCGGCCAGTGCAAGCGAAAACATGTTGAGGTCGGTTCGTAAGAAATTCGTTAACCGAATTTTTGTTCGTTAACCGAATTGAAGATCCTTATGGAAGGCAGTTCGTTAACCGAAATTTCGTTAATTGAGGCGTTCGTTAAACGAGGGGTCACTGTATATAAATGGTAACAGTTAGATGTTTAAAACTGTAAATAACTGTACAGTATATGATATTTTTGTTTCTTGAATGTAGATCCAAATTTTTGGCGCCCTCCACTATATTTACAATGATAAATGTGGCCCAGAGCCTCCAAAAGGTTGGGGACCACTGCTGTACAGTATATTCATAGCTTTATGGCTCAGTTAGTAGAGCATCTGCCTGGTACTGTATCTTTTTTATTACCAACCAGGATGGAGGATTGGGTCCCCTCCTTGTACACCAGCCCTTGTATAGTCAGTAGTAAACGATTACAGTAAATCCTACTTAATCTACCATCCACTGCCATGGAATTGATGTAAAAAATTTAAATAACGCATGCAAACCCTATGATTTCCACTGTATGAAACCATAAAATACACTTGGAAATACCCAAGATACTCAATGAATTAGTCTAATATTTTTTTTACAGGGAAATTAAAACATAGTAGGTAGAAAAGTATTAAGATCAAGTATGTTTCTACCACCCCAAAAGCATGGTACAGTATTTGCTAGAACTCAAAATATGCAGTGTTAGATGGCATTGCTAACACTACAGGTAATTGTACTCAAATCCAAAATACCGGTACTGAAAATCATAGCTGAATTACTATGATAACTCACATGAAGAGTTATGCCTTGTGATCTATTTTACTAAATTTATCTGGCCTGTTTTTATTGGTTTATACAAATTCCTTGCACTGATACTGTACTCTATTTTTGAGGTTATTCTTTCCTTGATTACTGACCACTAAAGGATAACAGGGAAATTATAGTAGATTAAAAATTATGCTTTGATAAATTATCTTTAACAGGTGAAGGATCTATTAGAGTTGATTGAGGAACAGTTGTATGTACTGAGTGAGGAAGAGGATGGGTATATTTTACACTCTGTTATGAAGCTTCTTGACTGCTGCCTTGGCCATGAGCCACTCCCAGCAACCCAGAAGGTCAGTCAATACATATTTAAAAATGAAATAAACTCAAATAAACTCAGTATTACATATTATTATCTTTATTAATGATGCATATTGTGGGAACCATATTGCTTAGCGATACAAAAATTTTTACCCCAGATTTATATAGTATTGACTAGAATATTCCATAAATAAGCCACATACAGGAGTTCTGCTATAACGCGTGTTTTGATAACGCGAATTTGCTCTAACGCGATTTATGAATTCGGAACAATATTTGTATAACGCGAACGCTTGTTTGCTATAACGCGATTTTTGCTTACTATTTCTCCAATTTTGTGGTATTAACTGTGAATATGGTAAAGAAGAATATCTCCAAAAAGCGCTCTGATGATAGAATTCCCGGTGATTATCGTAAAAGAAAGGATATAACACTTGAAGAGAAGCTCAATGTTATCAACCTCAAAATCACCCTTCTCCCCCATCAAGTTACATTCATATTTTTTCAAGGTAAAGTGTTAAATTTACTGTATGATTTCATTATTAGATATGAATGTAACATTTATTTAGACTGTGCTATCCTTTGTGTTAGGCTAAATACTAAATTTTTTCGATTTCGAGTAATCTGCACCTAACCCTATTTTCTCCATAAGCCCTGTTATTTCTATTACGCGATTTTCTATAACACGATATTTTACAAGAACACAATTATCGCGTTATAGCAGAACTACCATACACCTATAAAGTTATGACTTATTTATTATGGTGTGGGACTTGTCTTATTGGCTTGATGTGTAATCTGTACATTACTAACTCTTGGAGCCTATTTTTACACTTGATACACAGCATCTATCAGGGCTGTAGACTGAGTTGTCTATAACCCTTTTTTTGTAAGGTTGGGGGAACGCAACTACGCTTGAGACTAAAATGTTTAAACACGGTTCCAGACTTGGGTAATACAAATTGGTTAGGGCCTATTAAAGCCACGTAAGTGGATTGCCTCTAACTATTTTTTTTTTTTTCCTAGAAACACCTCCAGGAGATTTGTGACTTGATAAACCCTGTCATTAGTGGTAGAAGGGACAAGGTGGATGACATTAATCCCACCATTTTCCGTTTTTATGCAACTCTTGTAATAGCCAAGTGGAGAAGGAAAGTGGTAAGTACAATACAGTATATACAGTATACTCTGTCTAATGTTAATGGTCTTCAATTTTAAGGATATTAATAATATAATACTACAATAATACATACAGTGAGTCCTCGCTTAACGTCGGGGTTACTTTCCTAAAAATGCGACGTTATACGAAACAACGTTAAGCGGATCAATTTTCCCCATAAAAAAAATAGATAAGACACGGGAGTTATGTTCCTGAGCCTCCCTTTGCCCCATGAAATACATTAAATATACAGAAATTCATTGCCATTTCTATAGAAAATAGTGCATACATATACAATTACAGTACAGTCAGTCCCCGACTTACGACGGGGTTAGGGACCGACAACCAGGTCGTAAGTCGAAAATGCGAAAATAATACATAGAAAATCTAAAATGGATGTCTCCTGGGATTTAGTTATTATTTCTAAGGAAATGTAATTTTATTTTACTTTTTATTCTATTTTCTTCATAAATATGAATAAAATAACGGTGTAAATTTAATGGGATCCTAAATTAACCATGGTTTTAAATAGGAATCGTCTTTATTCGAGGCTTTCCTGTACAGTACTCTGAATTGAAAATGGCTCAGAATTTTTTGGGGAAAAATTCTCTTAATTTTGGATCTGTGAACAAATTTCTGAGGTTGAAAATCAGGTGCATTTTCTGAGGAAATTTCAAGAGAGATTGCATCATGCTCCAACGCATCCCCACGTGTCAGTCATGTGGGTGGCCTAGCTGCTTAGATCACTTAGCTCATATTCTGCTGCCATTATAGAAGGTTGTTCCCTCGCTAGCTGCTGATATTGCATGCAATTCTTGTTGTGCAGATCTGTACATTACTGTGCTAATAGAAAAGGAACATTAGTTGCTAAGTAATTAAAACATTAAATTCATAAAGAGTACAAAGAATCTTCATGTGGTGTTCCCAGGACTCGGTGGGGAGGCAGCAGACTCTTCATGAACTTCATGCCAACTCCGTCAGGAAGAATGGAGAATCACTTCTGCCGGATGTGGAGCATTAAGAATGAAGCCATCTGGGCCCAGTTTTATTTACTAAGCCTCAGTAGTTGGTAAAATAGCAAAGGACTGACAGATATGTATTTCTGTATAATCATAAGATTATGAACTCGGTTTTATCCACCATTTTTTCGATGATATTCATACCATTTTGTACCTTGCTGTACATGCTGAAGTTCCAATCTGTACAGTCATTTGTTTTTGCCATTTATGGGGAAGCTAATGATTATTCTATTGGTATTTAGAATTGAAATAAATAAATAAAAAATAAATGTGAGAGAGAAGAGAGTGTGTGTGCTTATACTCAAATTAATTGCTATCTTGCAAGAAATACAGTAATGCAAGTTATATTCTGCTAAATCAAGTCAGTGACATTTTATAAGCAAAAAACTTAAACTCCCTGCATTACAGTGTACTGTATATATTCCTGAGTCCCTGACAACTACCCAGTAATCTCCTCTCCTGGCTGTCAACACCCCCCTTCCCAACCCAACCCATATGACACCCCTGATGAGACCCACTAATCCCCCCACCCTAGAAAGGGTGACCTGACATTCCATTAGAAGGTCAGTAATATAAGACCACCCTACCTCCACCTGACATTGCATCAGGTCAGGTCAGGTCTCCCCCCAAAATACTTTAGCTTTGGCTCGAACTAGTTCACTAAATTGAGAAAATACTATATTGTTGTACAGGTAGTTATATGTAGAAGTAGTAAATCAATGAGTCAGCAATGACTCACCATTGATCCTCGCCACATACAGTTGTTATTAGTTTAGTTGTGTTCATATACTTTAGGGCGATTTTACTGTAAACATCATTTTGTTTGGGTATTTTTAATATTTTAAAAGAAAAAAACCTAACGGTGAGTACAATAATGTGACCACAGAAGTTTGTGGGTTAAGGCATGTAAAGAGAGCAGCAGCAAGGTCAGTTGACTTGCCCAACCAGTTGCTTTGCAGATTCGACCTGCATTTCCCTATGCAGACTTGAATTATTGCAGCTCTTACTGGTTTCAATGTGGTCTTTGTTATAGTTATGGGTTTAATATTCAGGCTCATCACATGAACACACAACATAGCGGGTGTGACACTTTGAACCTGTACTTACACATATTGTACACCTTTTTATCCACAATTATATGCCTTCATACTGTACTCATATACAATAAAGTAGTTTTTCTGAGAAAAATTTAAACTTTTTAATATTTTTGGATTTTTATATTTTCAGATAAAGGATCCTTGACCTGCAGTTATTGCTTAACACTCTTGAGTTTGGGTAGGTGCTCTTACCACACTTGACTGCACTGCACGAGATAATTGCACATAATAAGTCATGGCAAACATGTTATTTGACTCCACTTTTTAAGGATGCAGCACATCCTCCACCTTTTAAGTACAGTATACAGTTAACCCTCACTTTACGCGGTCCCGCATTCCGCGTTTCCACGTTTACGCGGTGCCCTGCCGGAACCCAGGATGCTCACATTCCGCGGTGCGTGTACCCCTTTACGCGGAGAGCGGGTGGCGAGCCACGCCATTTTTGGATCCAAACCTCCCGCCATCCGCCATGTTGTGTAAGCTGCGCGAACATGGTGCGCACAAGGTCGCCCAGTCATCAAAACATTACCAGTTCTTCACCCGCCACCCACCACAGCCGGCCCAAGTCAGTGATAGTGATAATTATGGTGAGGATATGGACTTATATGGACTTTGGGGAGTTTGACAAAGAGGCCCTGCAAGCCTCTGTGGTGGATAGTGATACAATTGATACAAGTGACACAGGTGAGGGCCAATAATCTGCCCTCTGACTCGGAACCAACCGCCCATCCCCGTGTGCCCAGCCATTTCTTCTACTAATGTAAGTGTTAAAAAACCTAATATTATTGATATTTCTCTTAATTATTAATTGTGTGTGCATACCATCATAAAGTTAAGATAATATTTTTACTACAACATAGTTGTGTGTCGTCAAAAAGTGGAGTTTGGGGATCGGCCCGGATTCCATTTCAATTAATCCCATATGTTATGTTATTCACTTTACGCGTTTCTCACTTTACGCGGGACCCTCCGGGTTACATTAACCGCGTAAAGTGAGGGTTAACTGTACAAGCATTTCTTGCATATTTGTTAGTTTACACTTTGAATATGATTTCTGTGTACTGGTATGGACAAATTACCTTGTAGGTTTTGAACAAAATTTTATATTTACAAGCATCAGTACACATAAATCAAATACGGCTGTATAGGGCACTTTAGATAATTTTTATTGAGCTCCCTAACTTTTTCAATAAAATATTAATCTTTTCTAACATTATTTCTCAAAAACAAAACAAAAAACAACATGATTCTCACAATATTAAATCTCTTCAGAATGATAGCAGTTTTTCCTATGTTTCTTTGTTAATGTTCCTTCTTCTGTTAGTGTATGATTCCTATTGTTTCACCCTTATGATTAAATACAGCATTTTATTGACAATACAGTATCTTAACTTAATGAATGCATAAATGCACAATGAACAATATATCAATAAAGGAAGAGAGTAAATGATTTTCTGTACAATACTCTTACATATAAAATGAACCCATGAAACAATAAACGGAAAGTTGATTATAGCAAAAGGCACACTCCCACATCCTCAGTTCTCGCACTGACGCTCTAGCGAATGGACATATTGTGTGACACTATCTCCTTCTACCACGTGCATCAACCATTACCACGATGTCCAAGAGGCCAACCACTACATCATTAACTAGCCCAAAGACCATGAAATCAAGACAAGCAATTACATTGGAGCAGATAATCAAGGTGCTGAAAGCACTGCAGCGAGGAAATGGTGATTCAAGTGTGGGGCGCCAATTTGGACAGTAATGTGGATAATGAGCTGGTCGAGTTGGGCTCTGCATCTTCAGAGGATGAATTACCTAAGTAAAGTTGAGTGAAAATCTATTTTTGATGGCATAAAGTAATTAAAAAATAAGTTGAGAGGAAAGTGAAAGTGCTTGGTAAGTCAGACGAGAGGCGGGTGGTGTGCAGCACCAGCACGACCACCCTCTCATATCAACCGATTGCAAGTAAACAGACCAATTCGCGTCCCTTATGTTTAGCTGTGTTCATTTATGAGTGTTTGTTTTAGCATAATACTACAAAAAACAATGTTTTGTTTATTCTAGGAGATGGGCTGAGGAGCATCTGGGTAGACTCTCAGTCTTTTTAGTATTTTGTGTTTCTCTCAAGTACCAAACTAAAATATTCCATTGAAACAACACTTCGATTTAGTGCGAATTCAGTTTAAAGTGACCTCTCTTGGAATGTATCTCATGTTATATCGACGTTCTACTGTACAATTATAATGCAGTACAGTAACTCTTGTGTATCAGCATGTGAGTATGTATCAATAAAAGCAACATGAACAAAAATTTCTGGCATAAGAATAAATCAAATAGTGTATAGAAATTCAAATACTGTATCGATGTACAGTGGTCCCTCGGTTAACGAAATTTCGGTTAACGAACTGCCTCCCGTAAGATTCTTAAATTCGGTTAACGAATAAAAATGCGGTTAACGAATTTCTTACGAACCGACCTCAACATGTTTTCGCTTGCACTGGCCGGTCAACCAGCTTTAGTATTAGTCCGCCAATACATTAATCGGTTCTAGGGCTTAAATTCCTTACTATTTTAGTAAATATCAAGAAGTTTATACTATTCAATAATTTTAAAAGTTTAATATTCAATTTTTTAGTCATTTTAACAATTATTGAACATAATTGAAGGTAAAGTGACTAGTTTAATGCGCGGCATCCAGCCTCTTAACACAAACAGGCGTTAGTCTCTCTCTGTTTTCACTGGAGGTAACATCTTGCTTGAGACTCTCTTCAACAATGCTTTTTTTCTGTGTTTCCAAGCAAATTATTGGTCATTTTGAAATATATTTTACATATTGACAATATATAATGCAGTGCAGTGTTGATTTAAAGAAAATAATCTTGAAATACACCAAGAGAACTAAAATTTTCTGGGTGAAATGGTGCCATGGGGTGACTTCTCTTCCACCCCAATGCCTTCTCTTCTTCCTTCTCCTCCACCCCCATTCTAATTCCCATCATCATCATCATCATCATCATCATCATCATCATCATCCAGGAGCCTTCTACATACACACCTCAAAGTAAGTGAACTTTTCTACCATTTTTGTTGAATTTAGGCAATTTTCGGTGAGCTGGAACCAATTACCCAAAAACCCATTGAAACAATGGCTTCGGTTAACGAATTTTTCGGTTAACGAACAACCTGCTGCAAAGGATTGTGTTCGTTAACCGAGGGACCACTGTACTTTCAGCTAATGTAAATTCATAATACTGTAGTATACAGTATACCATACCTGTACAATACTATACTTTATACATGCAAGCCAACAAATCTCATAGAACTGAAAAATTCACTAGTGGCTGGAACTATAGAGTACTTAGTAGAGTTTTTATAATACTCTTTACATCCAATCTGTCAGCATTAAAAAGAAGTATATAATGTTTCTAGGTTTAAAGAAGTGGAATGTTTGACAAGACAGGTAATCTGACTAGCCATTAGAAACTCAAGTTTTCAGCACAATACAGATTATATATTATATCAAGCCATCAGTGCAAAAGCTAAATGTCATTTCTAAAAATAATATCTTGACATAGATCCAAATAACAAGGTTGCTTTCTTAAAAATAATTACTTTCACGCCGGGCTTGAAGTTTGTGGCTCTTGTAATCTATAGGAGGAGTGTGTTGTGCACCCCTGCCATGATGAGGGCTGATGCTGTGGTGACGACCTTGTTTGTAGCCAAGGTGGAGGTCATCTTCATATCCTTTCATTGAGTTATAATCCTCAAATTTTTGTCTAGGGTCATGTCTGTCATCGTACTCATATTTTTGTTGTGGGCCGTGTCTGTTGTCATACTCATATCCTTGTCTAGGGTCATGTCTGTCATCGTACTCATATCTTTGTCGTGGATCATGTCTGTTGTCATACTCATGTCCTTGTCTAGGGTCATGTCTGTCATCGTACTCATATTTTTGTCGTGGGCCGTGTCTGTTGTCATACTCATATCCTTGTCTAGGGTCATGTCTGTCATCGTACTCATATCTTTGTCGTGGGCCGTGTCTGTTGTCATACTCATGTCCTTGTCTTGGGTCATGTCTGTCATCGTACTCATATTTTTGTCGTGGATCATGTCTGTTGTCATACTCATGTCCTTGTCTGGGGTCTTGTCTGTCATCGTACTCATATTTTTGTCGTGGATCATGTCTGTTGTCATACTCATATCTTCGTCGTGCATCACGGTAATGATCATATGACGTAGGATCTTGGTTGCTGCCTCGTCTGTAGTCCTGTTCTTGACCATAATCACTCACTTTTGTGTCATCCTGGTCCTGGAAGGGGCTGCTATCATAATAATCTTGGTTCTGTCTATGGTGATGATCATTCATTAAGTTGAGGCCATGGTAAGGATCTTTTTCGTACTTGTCATCATTACGTGCCTTTGGCTCATGATGACTGAAGTCCCGTTTATCAGAATCATGAGTATGTTTGTGATTGCCAATAGTGGCAGACTCACTCAGAATTTCTCTATTGCCATAATGGTGGTCAGGGTCATCTCTGGCATGTGAGGAGCTTTTAACAATGTCAGAATGTTTTTTCTCTGATGTTTTTTTTGTAAATGTTTCCATGTTACTGGAAAAGGCAGCAGGAAGAGAAGCTCGACGATCATTTTGGTCACGGAGTCTCTTCTTCCCAAAATCAAAATCAGTCTTCAGACTCCAGGCAATCATGGACTTGGTTACAAAATCAAGCTCCTCATCTGCCTCTTCCTTTTCTCTGTCAGAGGATTTAGGTTTCATATTTTCATCTTTTGTTTGTATATTTGTCTTGCTTTCTCCTGTTACTGCTCCTTTCTGAATTTTGTTTTTCTCTTTTTCAAGCATTTTTGGTGATTCTAAATCATATGATTTAGAAATTTTTTGAACTGGGGGCTGAATCTTAATTTGCTCTGCCTCCAACTTTGCAGTCACCTCCCTGTGAGAACGAATAACTTCAGCAACAGGAACCCAGTCTCCCTCAGAAGGTAGCTCATCAAATCTGCTGGGTATGAGATCAGATTTTTTCCAGTCTTTATCATCATCTTTGTTAAGAAGGTTTTTTTCCCGAGGATCATCGCCTTGGTCCTTCGAACCATCATCCTTTGGCTTGATTGACTCCATGTTGTCCCTATGTCCAAACACAAAGAAGTTTTCATTAAATTGCAAGGGTATTAATTTCACAGACAACTATAGGTACTGCATACAAAATTTCTAGTTAAACTTTGATGAATATGCAATTTGGCATATAAATCAGCATTTAAATCCTCATAAGAGAAACAGTTTTAACACCCTACATTTAAGCTATTGTCAACCATTTACAGTACTTAGGAGAAAGTTATTTTTATCTAAACATATGTTACTGTATATCAAAGACCGAGCCCCAGCAAACTAAAACTGTACAGTACTACTGGTACATATGACTGAATAAATACAGGTGTCCCTCTCCATATTTTATCATTTCAATTTTTATTTTATAATATAAATTGATATAGAAAATCTTGCCTGCACAATTTGTAAAGAATTCTTAATTGAACCTTTATTTGTGGTGCAGTTGGGGACTTTTCTGTACACTCAACGTTGTCAAGCCACCTTCTCCGTGAGTTGTGAATTCCGAGCACATTGACACGTGGATCCAAAGCATTTATGAGTGAGGGGGCAAGGGGATGATAGGAGCTGGTGTGTGAGGAGGTGGCAGGTTATGGGTGTTGAGGAGGGTGTTCAAGGGCTAGAGGGATGGGGAAGGTTTAAGGTGTTACTTGTGCAGTTACAACACAGCATGTATTAAGCAAGGATATAAATATGTACCTAAGGCTGGTGCTGGTATAGATACATCCAGGAGCCAGTACATACCCAGTACTTGCCAACATTGCGTAACAGAGACATGACAGATCACCCAAGCGGCTAACAAGACAATCAGTGACGAGAGGGAACAAAAAAAAAGCCTATAGGCTGGCAGACTGGACTATGGCCCATGGGCCGTATGTTGGACAAGCCCGTAATAGACTAACACTTGGAGAGCTTGATCAAGCAGGACAGTTCACAGTGTTAGGTTTACAAAATGGTGGCACCTGGAGCAGTGCTACATATTTGTTCGGGCAGTTGATCTGTTCTTAGTTACTTTGTAGTGAATTTCTCCCCTACAAACGCTGTTTGTCGCTGCATAGCCGACCCCGCGAATTCCACAGTGTGTGCCTCGTGGTCTAGGTCAACCAACGCCACCCACGGAGCGGGGGTCAACTACTAAGCCACGCCAACCCCCGCTATTTAAGACCTGACCTCGTGGTGATCTCTCCTCTTTCTACCTACACCAACCAGCCAGCAACACCTCCTCCCCCTCCGCCTGCCTGGCGGTCCTCGCTCCCGCCGGCAAGCATGGCGACCCACAAGCTGTCCTCCTCTGAGCACCCTCACCAACCAGCTCTCTCTTCTTCTAGCTACAGCCGCAACAAGCTACACCTCCTCCTCCGCCGCTGCCTGGCGGCCCTCGCTCCCGCCGGCGAGCATGGCGACCCACAAGCTGTCCTCCTCTGAGCACCCTCACCAACCAGCTCTCTCTACATCACGCTTGTAACCATGCTGCCTTCCCAGCACCAAGCTGCATTGTACATCCAATACAACATGTATATAGAGAGCACATTGTGAGTTTCCCTTCTCCAACCCATTCTGAGTGAGAACCAAACAAACCCATACCCCACAAATGGTGACTCCCGGAGATGCGCACTCACACAGGATGGAGGAGAAACCGATCACTCTCCCAGTCTTCAAGCAACATGGCAGACTGGATTATCCACCCAGAGGCAGCTCTCATCGGCTCTACAGCTACTGTCTCTAAACCGCAGGTTAGACACCCTAGAGCAGCACTGCTTCTCTAAGCAGACACCAGCTCCTCTTCCTGCCCCAAGCACCACGTCTTACCGACCCTAGCACACCCGTCCTGCCTCAGACGTCGCCCCTGGCCCAGCAGTACCCCCTGCCGCCCCTGATGCAGCCCCTGCTCCTGACGCGGACCAACACACCCGTCCTGCCTCAGACGCCGCCCCGGCCCAGCAGTACCCCCTGCCGCTTCTCCTGACGCGGCCCTTGCTCCTGAGTGCGGACCCACACACCCCTCCTTTCTCCCTCAGGTACTCCCTGCTAATGTCCTGCACCCTGCTGCTGTCGTGGACCCAGCTGCTGTCACGAGCCCTAATCCGCTTCTGCTGACGCAGCCCTTGCTCCTGACCCAGGCCCACACACCCCAGCAGGCGCATCTGACGACTCTGTACCTGACGTGAGGGAAGTACAACTTTCATCGCCTCCACACACCCTTTTTCTCCCTCTCTACTCCCACAGATATTGTGTATCTAGACAGTTATCTCCAGCAACCGGCTCATCCACGCCATCGCCGTTGTCTCACATGAGGCATGCACCGCCCGTTCTGCCTCACATGTGCTATGCAACCCTGCAGACAACAAGTCTCCTACACTGCCTGGAGGGAAGGAGGGAGTATTATAGTGGATTTCTCCCCTACAAACACTGTTTGTCGCTGCATAGCCGACCCCGCGAATTCCACAGTGTGTGCCTCGTGGTCAAGGTCAACCAGCTCCGCCCACGGAGCGGGGATCAACTACTAAGCCACGCCAACCCCCGCTATTTAAGACCTGACCTCGTGGTGATCTCTCCTCTTTCTACCTACACCAACCAGCCAGCAACACCTCCTCCTCCTCCGCCTGCCTGGCGGTCCTCGCTCCCGCCAGCGAGCATGGCGACCCACAAGCTGTCCTCCTCTGTGCACCCTCACCAACCAGCTCTCTCTTCTTCTAGCTACAGCCGCAGCAAGCTACACCTCCTCCTCCGCCGCTGCCTGGCGGCCCTCGCTCCCACCGGCGAGCATGGCGACCCACAAGCTGTCCTCCTCCTCTGCCTGGCCTCGCTCCCGCCGAGCATGGCGACCCACAAGCTGTCCTCCTCTGTGCACCCTCACCAACCAGCTCTCTCTTCTTCTAGCTACAGCCGCAACAAGCTACACCTCCTCCACTGCCGCTGCCTGGCGGCCCTCGCTCCCGCCGGCGAGCATGGCGACCCACAAGCTGTCCTCCTCTGAGCACCCTCACCAACCAGCTCTCTCTACATCACGCTTGTAACCATGCTGCCTTCCCAGCACCAAGCTGCATTGCACATCCAATACAGCATGTATATAGAGAGCACATTGTGAGTTTCCCTTCTCCAACCCATCCTGAGTGAGAACCAAACAAACCCATACCCCACAACTTGTTGTGAACTTTATTTTACAGGAGGAAACCAGAGCACCTGGAGGAAACCTGCAGTGTTTGGCAGGGTCACACTGGATAACACCCTTCTCTCAAAATATGTAGAGACATACTTATTACAAGTATAGCGAGATGCTATACTGTCTATAACAGAAACTGAGGAACTGGAAGTGGTTAACAATGGAGAGTGTAGTCCCGTTATCCTGGATGGGTGGTGGAGGTGTAACGGAACCAGGGGCAGGCTGAGTCAAGTATGGTCACCTTAAGGCTGAAGTGTGCTTATGCATCTGCGTAGATGTTCATAATTTCCTGTACGCGTTCAGTGTGAGTGGTGAGGGTGAGGTCGTCCGCATACTGAAGTTCAGTGATGGAAATGACCGGCACCTTTGTTCCTGCCTGGAGATCTTATGAACAAGTCACGGCGCTGTTCTCTTCACGTTTCCTTTATCTGGCAGGCAGAAAAGATCAGTGGTGCCACGTGATGGTCTGAAATCACATCGAGATTCAGAGAGGAAGTTTTCCGCCTCGGGAACAAATCTGTTTAGGAGGACTCGTGCAATAATCTTGCCACCTCTGGTAGTTGCCACAGCATGACCGGTCTCCCTTCTTCTTATCGACATAGACGTCAGAGGCGTCTTTAAGATCTTAGGGAAGTTCCTCGTCTCCAGGAGAGAGTGGAGACGTTTGGTAAGCAGAGGTCCTCCTGTTTTATACACTTCGGTTGGGATTCCATCAGGCCTTGTGACCTTGTTATATTTCATTTACTTGATGGGAAGCTATTTCATCACGGGATGGACCTGCTGTGTAGTCGGAACATCTACATCAGTGTTTAAGTTGAGCAGGGAATGGTAATACTCTTTCCGACAATAAATAAGTCTCTCTCCTTTAGTTCAAGTTTACACCACTTGGATTCTCTAAAAAAAACATACTCCCCTACACCAAGTGAGGGTGCAGGGGAGTATGTTTTTTTTAGAGAATCCAAGTGGTGTAAACTTGAACTAAAAGAGAGAGACTTACTTATTGTCGGATATATCTTAGAATCCCCAAACTGCAGCTTATTAAACCAAAGGAACTTAAAAGCCTTAACTAACAACGCAACAGCGCTCAAACCTACCCACCTCCTGGTCATGGGGGACTTTAACTATGGTGACATCGACTGGAGAAATGAGACCACACCAAATGACCTTAATAATCCCGCTACCCTTTTTGTAGAAACTCTAAGAGACAATTTTCTATTCCAAGATGTTAAAGATCCGACTCATTACAAAGCTGAGCAAACACCCAAACTGCTGAACCTACTCATAACTAACGAGGAAGGTATGGTGGCCAAGCTGGAACACCTAGCATGAGGGAGGAGATGGGTATTCATTGACCTAACTCACTAAGATATAAGAATGCAGATACTATGGTGAATATCAAAGCCAGTAAAGTGAGCCACTTGATCGAGAAATATATACCAAAGACCAAACCCAGTGCCCCCAGGAATACAAGGAGACCTTTACACATGAACCATTCTGTGGTCGATGGTAAGGAGGCGTATCATATGTCCCAACGGATGAAGAAACTGCACTAGCTGAGACTGTATGTGAGAAGGACCTAGGTGTGTATGTTGACAATGAGCTGAAGTTCTCGGGCCATTGCGAGAAGAAGGTAAATCAGGCAAATAAATTATTGGGTCTTATAAGAAGGTCGTTCAGATATCTAGACGGTCCGTTCCTCGTAACGATCTTCAGGAAAGAAGTGCTTCCCCCATCTGGAGTACTGTCACCCCATCTGGTCCCCGAGATATGCTAGGGACTGTCAGTTGGTTGAAAATGTTCAAAGGAGGGCCACCAGATTGGTGCCTGCACTTCGGCACCTCAGCTACCCTGAAAGATTGGAGCGCCTGAAATTGCCTAGCTTATACTACAGACGGGCAAGGGGTGACCTAGTTGAGGTGTATAAGCATCTCAGGGGGCACTACTCAGTCGAGTGCCCTTACTTGGAGCTGGCGGACGCTCGCCCCACAAGGAGTCACAGCTCAAGATTGAAGAAGCCGCAAGTCCAGAAAACCGTGAGGGCAAACTTTTTTGGAGTGAGGGTTGTAAACTCTTGGAGCAATCTACCAGAGTGTGTTGTGACGGCACCGAGTGTGAGCTCTTTCAAGACAAGACTTGACCAACACTGGAGCGGGTTCAGGTACATTCAGGAGCCGGTGCATGCCCAGTACTTGCCAACAGTGCGTGACAGAGACGTGACCGATCGCCCGGGCGGCTAGCGAGCCGATCTTTTGGTGAAGAGGATAAATGAAAAGGAAAAGTAATCAGAGACGTGACCGATCGCCCAAGCGGCTAACGAGCCGATCAGTGGCAAAGAGGATAAAAGAAAAGAAAATTAAGAAGAAAACTCAGAAATTCGAGAAGTGTGTTTGGAAAATGATGAGAACAGGAAGATCCAGGAACCAAAGTTAGAGTGTAGAAGGGCTGAAAAAGAGTTCCGGAGGGAGATTGCAAGCAAGTTCAAGTCAAACCCAAAGGCGTTTTACCGCTACTCAAATTCGAAATTAAAAACGCGGGTAAGCGTATCGAACCTGAGGCTTGAAGATGATAGTTACGCAGATTCTGACCAGGTCAAGGCAGAAGCATTGAACAGATTCTTTTCCTCGGTGTTCACAAGAGAGGTTGCAAACAATCTTTCTACATTTGGGGACATGATTTGACACAGTGTTGACCCACATTGTGTTCTCAGAAGAGGGTATAAGAAATAAACTTTCAAAACTTAAGGTTCATAAGACTCCTGGCACGTGACATGGTGCATCCCAGAGTGCAAAGAGAGTTGTACAACGAGCTTGCTAAGCCCCTGAAGATCTTGTTCTGTAAATGCCTGGATAAGCAAAAGGTCTTCAGTGATTGGAAAATGGCTTATCTGAGTCCTATATTCAAGAAGGGCGATCGTCCCTCCACTAATTATAGACCAGTGACTGACCAGCATAGTGTGTAAAGTACTAGAGAGCATCATAAGAGATGCTATGACGGAACATCTACTATAAAACAACCTTGTAAAGGATTGCCAATACGGGTTTATGCCAGGACGCTCCTGCTTACACAATTACTCACGGTACTGGAAAATTGGACCCAAATTCTGGAAGAAGGGTGACAATATCGACAATATATACCTCGGATTTTCCAAGGCTTTCGACAGCCTACTCGATGAAAGGCTGAGAATTAAACTGGAAGTGTACAGGATTCGGGAAATGTCATAGAGTGGATTGGAGGCTTTCTGCATGATCGCAAGCAGTGTGTGGTGATTAATGGTACGAAATTGCCATGTGTACCTTTGACAAGCAGGGTAGTGTATTGGGTCCTCCAAACAAATGTTTGCGAACGATGTCAAGTTATTTAGGGAAATTAAGAACCAAAGAGACTGCGAAGGGCTACAGAAAGATCCTGTAAGCTTGAATTACTGTCACCCCGTCTGGTCCCCGAGATTTCCGAGGAACTGTCAGTTGATTGAAAATGTCCAAAGGAGAGCACCAGACTGGTGCCTGCACTTTGGCACCTAAATTATCCAGAGAGATTGGAGCGCATGCAACTATCTACCTTATACTACAGAGGGACAAGGGGTGACCTCATTGACGTGTATAAACAGTCGACTATCCATACCTGGATCTGGCGGATACCCGCCCCACAAGGGGTCACAGCTCAAGGTTGAAGAAGCCACAAGTCCAGAAAATTGTGGGGGCAAACTTTTCGGAGTGAGAATTGTAACTCTTGGAACAACCTACCAGAGAGTGTTGTGACTGGACCTAATGTGAGCACTTTCAAGACCAGACTTGTCCAACACTGGAGCAGGTTCAGATACATTCAGGAGCCGGTGCATGCCCAGTACTTGCCAAGTGCCAACAGTGCATATCAGAGACGTGACTGACCACCCAAGCGGCTAACGAGCTGATTAGTAGGGAAAATGATAAAAGTAAAGGTATGAGTAAGTAGTTAGGCCATGAATTGCTTTAGTGGAATTTTAAAAATCGCGCATCTGGTGTTGATCCGCATTTTTTTTTCGCGTGCTTTTTTGTCTACCATTCATCCTTCATTTCCTGAAGCTTGCACCAGGACATTGATTTCTTCTGGAAGAAAGTTCTGTACTATATCAGCTTTGGTCTATGTAACTACTTATCTTCCTACGCAGAGAAGTAAATCTTATCGCTCTTCCACAGATTTCTATGATTTATTGAAAGGCATATATGAGACAGAAGATCCTTTCACTGCTGTCTATATAGATTCTAAATAAATTAATTGGTATTTGTAAAGTAACTCGTAAGGAACGAATAGATTATTACTGTATACTTTACCTAACAGTGGTGGAGAGACGTGCGAGTGTGGCAGCACCTGGGATTGTTTAGTGGAGACTGGCATTATCACTGCCCTCCTCCGTGCTATTGGTGTCGTCCCGATAACATCAGATACTTCTTATCTCTGAAAAATGATAAAGACTTAGTATAGTATTATTGACCTTTCTTCCTTGTCAACTACCCGCTGAATTGACATGCTACCTAAATAGTGTACAGGAAATTTATGTAATAGTCATATACAGACTGATTACTAATGACAAACAAGTTGTTCTAAGGATAAACAATAAGACTGTTATATTAATGTCATTCTAAAATAAGAAGGCAGAATGACTTTACACAGGGGCGGATCCAGGAATATCAAAAGAAGTTTTGCGTGGGGGAACATGGCGAGCAAAGCGAGCCCACCCAGCTGGAGTTTTTTTTTGGGGGAGGTGGCTGTTAGCCCCCCTCCCTCCTCACGAAAATATTTTTAAATCTGGCCAATATCATGGGCATTTTGAGGCCATTTTGAAGCCATGTGCACTTGATATTAGGAGATATTCTTCTGTCAATCGTAATAACTTTTTACTATACACAAATGCCTGAGTACAATACTGGATTAAAGAAAAAATATTGGGATTTTCTAATGAAAAGGAGGGTCCAGCCCTCCAGGATCCCCCTGGAACAGCCCTTGTTATTCGTATTTGGTTAACACGACAGTTCCTTTTTAAAGCTTTATCGGACAATTATCCCAATTTAGCGTAATGAACACACACACACACACTACTACTACTTTGCTGTCACTCGGAATCGAGTATGACGATCAGCCAGCTATGATTCAATGATATGAGTTATTAAGGATGTCACCTTCATTGGTGAGTTCTGAGGAGACTACATAAGCCGATACGGGACCGGTAAGGTCATCCACAGATGTTGCACTTGTGGAGGGCTACATCTAGTGCGGGAAGGGCGGCGGCAGCGTTTTTCCGGCGTTGGAGCTTGTCTACCTTGGTATGCAGTCGGCTCACTTGAAAGTATTGACACCTTCATGTGTGGTTCTCCTCGAAGCATTTCGGTGTGGAGTAATCGTCTCAAGAAACACTGCTGCTGCTAGAGTACTCTCTACGGCCAACCCCTGGCCCACCCTCCCACCAAAGCTCCAGGATCATCACCAGCAGTCATCGAAAGATCAACATGGGACAACACAGACGTACCGATACAACAGGTAGCAGCCAACACACCCCGTGAACGCGCACAAAGTGAAGAGATCAATGATTTGAAAAATAAAATTAAAGAATTCAAAGCTCAATTTAAAGCTCACTGAATGTGAGAAGGACCTAGGTGTGTATGTTGACAATGAGCTGAAGTTCTCGGGCCATTGCGAGAAGAAGGTAAATCAGGCAAATAATTATTGGGTCTTATAAGAAGGTCGTTCAGATATCTAGACCTCGTAACGATCTTCAAGAGTGAAATGCTTCCCCATCTGGAGTACTGTCACCCCGTCTGGTCCCCGAGATATGCTAGGGACTGCCAGTTGGTTGAAAATGTTCAAAGGAGGGCCACCAGACTGGTGCCTGCACTTCGGCACCTCAACTACCCTGAGAGATTGGAGCGCCTGAACTTGCCTAACTTATGCTACAGACGGGCAAGGGGCGACCTAATTTAGGTGTATAAGCATCTCAAGGGGCACTACTCAGTCGAGTGTCCTTACTTGGAGCTGGCGGACGCTCGCCCCACAAGGGGTCACAGCTCAAGCCAAGATTGAAGAAGCCGCAGGTCCAGAAAACTGTGAGGGCAAACTTTTTCGGAGTGAGAGTTGTGAACTCTTGGAACAATCTACCAGAAGGTGTTGTGACGTCACCGAGTGTGAGCTCTTTCAAGACCAGACTTGACCAACACTGGAGCAGATTCAGGTACACTCAAGAGCCGGTGCATGCCCAGTACTTGCCAACAGTGCGTAACAGAGACGTGACCGATCATCCAAGCGGCTAACGAGCCGATCAGTGGTGAAGATGATAAAAATAAAAGTAAAAGGCACTCTTTTAGATGTTCTCAATCAATTAGCAGCCTCCAGCTGCCAGCATATCCCAGGGGCGTGGAAGCACCCCACTTCTAAAGAGATGTGCAACACTTTTATGAAGCCACGCTCCTTGGCTGGATATATCAGTTCCTATTAATTACACTCCTGTTGGTAGTAAGCAAATGTTAAACACCGATTTTATGAGATGTGTCACACTAGAAACTATTAACAGATTCATAGAGAGTACTAAATCAAGTGAATGTTATGCTTTTACTGATGGTTCTGTGCAGACAAACACAGGTAGAACAGGCTGTGCAATTGTAATATATAAAGAAAAAGAGATGATAGTGTCAAACAAGCAAAGGCTGAACAACTGGGCCAGCACAACACAAACTGAACTAACTGGAATCTATTTAGCCACAGACTACCTTAAAGAAAATGGAGGTGGGGTGATATTCTGTGACTCTCAAAAGTGCTTTGAAATCAATGAACAGCCCGTCAGGTTCTATGTCTAAAGTTGTATGTGATATTAAAAGAAATGTGATAACTGCCAATGAGAACAACTCTCGTATCGAATTTGTGTGGATTCCGTCCCATGTTGGAATTAGGTATCATGACCGTGCTGATAGACTGGCCAATGAGGCATGTAAGAAAGAAAATGTTGACCGTGACCTTGGCCTGTCCAATGCTGTACTTAAAACATTCAAGTCAGAATCATGAACTCTGATCTAGAAGAACTGAGAAATGCAGAGAGACCTGGCAGTTGTAACATTAGGAAATATGAAAAAATTTGTAACGAGAGGTACCGGTATGGCCAGCATAAGGACAGAACCATACAATGTGATGTAGTCGTGGCCAGAATTAGGCTAGGATACAGACACACCTGGCAAGTTAGTAACGCTGTACCCATACCGGAACACTCAGCATGTAAACTTTGTGATAAACCTTTAAAGCATATACTTGAACACTATATTATTGAATGTGACACTGTCAAAGACTTCAGGCCACCTGGCTTATTGTATTATGAACTTTGTAATTACTATATTGAATCGGGGGTGCTTGGGGACATTCTTGCTGTTTATCACAAATTTGCTAGCCCACACTGATTAGTCTTCAATTAGAATATGACGTCCAATGAATATGAGCCACTGTCTTGCATGGCAGCGAACAGTGAAATCACCCACATGACTCTGACCTATATATACTGTCAGTGAATATGATGCATTTCCTTGTGTACGAACCTGTGTCCTGCATGACAGTGAACAGTGACATTACCCACATGAATCTGACCTATATATACTGTCAGTGAATATGATGTATTTCTTTGTGTACGGAACTCTGTCCTGCATGGCAGTGAACAGCGACATTGTGGTGGATATCTCCCCTACAAACGCTGTTTGTCGCTATGTAGCTGACCCCGCGAATTCCACAGTGTATGCCTCGTGGTCTAGGTCAACCAGCGCCGCCCACGGAGCGGGGGTCAACTATCTACCCACGCCTACCTCCGCTATAAAAGACCTGACCTCGTGGTGACCTCTCTCTTTCTACCTATACCAACCAGCCAGCAACACCTCCTCCTCCTCCGCCTGCCTGGCGGTCCTCGCTCCCGCCGGAGAGCATGGCGACCCACAAGCTGGTCTTCCTCTGAGCATCCTCACCAACCAGCTCTCTCTACATCACGCTTGTAACCACGCTGACACTTCCCAGCACCAAGCTGCATTGTACATTCAATACATCACGTATACAGAGAGCACATTGTGAATTTCCTTTCTCCATCCCATCCTGAGTGCGAACCAAACAACCCGTACCCCACAACATCACCCACATGAATCTGATCTCTCTCTCTCTCTCTCTCTCTCTCTCTCTCTCTCTCTCTCTCTCTCTCTCTCTCTCTATATATATATATATATATATATATATATATATATATATATATATATACTGTTAATGAATATGAAGTATTTCTTTGTGTATGAACCTCTGTCCTGCGTGGCAGTGAGAAGTGATACCACCCTCAGTGTCATGACCTGACTGAATTACTCAGCATAGGCAAACTGTACTCCAAGCTTTGTCAATAAATTTGTTGAACTAAAACTTCTAAAGACAAAAAACTTAATTAGATGGGAAATACAAATATCACCATTTTCTAAGCTGTCTCGCTTTTCTTTAAGAAGACCTTGCAGCGTCAAGTTTAGATCAGCTTGCACAAATTCTGACTTAAAAATAAATTTTAAAAAATATATTCAGGAATGATGGGAATGAGTAGCTTAAATTTATTATGAGCTCCATTTCACCAGTTGTGCAGCAACTAAAAGTGTCAAATTGGTAACTATTGGGCAAACTATAAATACAGTACATTCCAAATATTTTCCTGAAATTGTACAACTTCACCCTGAAATTCCTTCCGTTTTCTTTTATTATATTGTGTGTTATAACGGGGTTACAAACCAGATTTACGCACTCATATAGATTGGTTGCGCAGAAACTATAGTTTACTGACTTTATTAGATAAAATGGTATATATTGTATATAAGTGTTAGTAATATACATCGAAACTGAGAAAAAATCAGCCGACACTTGAGAAGACCTACTTTGTTTACGACTGAGTGCGGAGGGACTGTCAGTCGGGTGTTCCGCGGCATCAGGTGAGACAAGTCGATTGACTGGCTCAGTTTAACGTGACTATTGACTTATACGAGTGTCTCAAGCAGTCAGTCAACATTTCCTCCAACACAGATAACATAGGTGAGTATTTGTGCTCAAAAAGTTGAATTTCGCCGATTGGTTGTCAGTAGAGTGCGTTAGTAGTCGACTTGTATGGATTCATAGTAGAGTCGATCACTGCTTGAATTTTGCTTTTTATGAAGCTTTCACTGCACTCGTTAACGCTGTTGTAAGTTCCTATAGATTCAGACTTGAAAAAGTTTCTTTAGGTGTTGACCAACATACCTCGAAGTGCCATCTTAATAAACTAGTGGATATAAGGTGCCATGTATCATTTTGTGTTAGTCAGGGTCCACAGTGTTTTATACCGCAGATAATAGACTAACAGTAGTGGTTCAAGTCATTTCTACATGACCAACAAGGACAATGTAAATTTAA